GAGGCTGAGTTCCAGCAGGCGGCTTCGAGTTTTTGGATGGTGGCGCGAGTTCACCCAAAATCGATGTGTACATTAACCACTTATAACTGGTTATTTTAATGGGATAATCATCTTTATTTCATGGGATTATATACCAATAATAGTGGTTAATGATGGTTAATTGTTAATAATCACTGGTTGGTGGTGACTGGAACCATGGAATTTTATGACTTTCCATATATTGGGAATAATTTTATCCCAACTGACGAACTCCATGATTTTTCAGAGGGGTAGGTCTACCACCAACCAGATTAAGATGGTCAAATATGTTAAGTTTAACCAAAATACCAGGGCCTAAGGCTAGTTCTGAGATGTTCTCAGCAGGTTCTAGATACAACTGTTCTTTTCAGGATCGTTAAATATTGTTTATCCGGCACAGTGCGCCGGTGCTAGGTCTGAGTTGGTTATCATAAAAACATATCCCCTTGAAAAATCCGATGATTCCAGTGTTAGCTCTTTAGACCATCGATATCCATCCAACACTGGAAGAAACCCCAAGATTCCAGGTGCCACAAAAGGTTCAATGACGTTTCTGTGGAAAATGGTGGGTGTTTCCACTTCCATGGTCGTTTCCTGAATGTAAGGTCAGATTATTGCGTAACATGGTAAATGTTTACATTCACGTCACTTTCCATATATAGAATGGGTGTTGCTGAGAATGGGGTATGGCCATGTACATCCCCTTTTATAGCCATTGAGTGGGGAAAACGATGAGAATCTGACTTGGGGTACAGCGGAACCGTTAAGAACGGAAGAAAAAAACTTTTTAGGTCCCCCAAAGTTTTTTCAGGTGCAGGCATTCCAAACAGAGCTATAGGCTAGATATTCCACCATGCCAGGACTTGAAAGGTTATTTTGGCGTGGTATTAGGTTGCAAAGGAGGCGGGGGGAAGAAAAAACCTTGTTAGGTCCCAAAATGGTTTTTGCAGGTGCAGGCATTCCAAGACAGAGCTATAGGTCATATATTCCACCATGCCACCTGGTGAATACTGTCCGGGGATACCAACAAACTATATTTGAATAATTTGAATATGTATATATATATATACAGGGGTAGCTACCATATGATCAAACATGATCATTGACCAAGACCTTACCATATATATTATATATCCCTTTGTTTAAACACCACGGCCAGATTTTGCTCATTCCTTGATGGGTCGCCGCCTTGCGCAGTTCAAAGCTGCCTAGCTGCTTTGCTCAACAGATCTACCAATGGGATCAGGCGGGGCCTGTTTTCCCGACAAAAGAAGTGGCTTGGGGCAATTTTACATAGGGAACATGATGATAAATCATGGGATTTTGGGGTACCCCATTTTAATTCAAAACCATTTATTCATGTGTTTAAGTGTGATTCCTTCAAAAGAAAGTTGTGTTTGGAGAACATTTGGTACATGGAAAACTGCCACTCGCACTGGGATACTTGTGGCCGTTGCTATGTGTGTAATAACATGTACTGTAATAACCACCACACCAAATAACACAGTAATGTGTGGAATGTCCACAAGTATGTATTGGGGGTTATGGACCGGGATGTGCATCCAAGATCATGTAGATATTCCAATCCAACTCAATTACTCAATTTATGTTCATGGGCCACCGGGACTGCACGACTACTGCATCCAATCTGTCATGTTGATAAAGAACGTGGAGGAAATACTATGAGTCATCGACATGTGCTGTGTATTTTACAGTTTAAATGTATGTTTGTTTTCCATATTTCCTGGGACAATCCATTCCCCAATGACAAATAGCTGGTTCTAAAAAGTTTGACTGAATAATATGTGTGGCACCTTTGGTTGTATACAAATGTGACTAACATGTTATCCCTTAAATCAATCATCGAAATTAACCAACTCAAACGTTGGATTACTTAGGCTTCTCCCAAATGTGGTGCTCCAACTCGAAAACAGCAGCGAGCACATTGACGCCGCTGGTCTTTTGTTTCAGAAAATGAGTGTGGCCGTTCTACGCGGCTGGCTCTGCAAAGTCTGGCAGCTTTTAAGTACTGTTTCGCGATTCCAGTTGGCCTCAGCCCGGGAAGGGGTGGAACTGTGGCGAGTCGCTCAAAAGCAGCCCGGGCACCTGTCACAGGTGGCATTGGATGAGATGACCAGGTACCTGGCCGACAGAACAGAGAAAGGGGAGCTGGAAACAAAATGGAAGGGCCAGCGGGTGACTGCCTATCTGAACCAGATTTTGCTGGCAGCTCATCCCCCTCTAAGCTCTCTATCCAATTGGCGACCCGCGAAACCTGCACTGGCTGCCGGCTTTCAAAAGTTCGAAAGAGACGGTAGTGGGCATGTCGAAAAGTTCGAAGAAGAATAGCGGAATCTGCCAATGATTGTGGATACATCCACAATGTCTCAAAAGACAACCCTGTCTTCAGCCCTGTTTGCTTCCTTTATGGGTGTGTCACAGAATTGTGGGAAATGTGCGAAGTGTTTATCTGGTTTACTCCAAGAGTCAGGCTTACCAGTGTATGTATAACATCGAACCCAATTTGAAACCTTTTTGTTCCGAAAGTAGATCCCTCGGAAACATTCTATAGTTTTCCACTTTTGAAAGATGTGTGTATATATATATGTTTCTATCTTACATGTATTCATCATATGTATGTATATATTATATACATATACATATGTATGTATTTTTAGGTATTTTTATGTATATATATACACCCACATATACATGTTTGCATATTGTATATGTTTGTATATATATATATATATAGATAGATACATGAATCTTTTATGCAATGGTCAAACATTGGAATATTCAAGCATATTGGGGCATGGTCATCAATCCGTCAATAGGGATATATATATATATATATATACCAATTATGTGTGGATTCCAGGGGATTTTCATGGCATGCAGTGGATTACCATAATCCAGTGGGATATTATGGGTACATGACACATTTTTGATGTAATATTTATATATATATATTATGTAATATATATTTATATATATATATATATATTATGTAATATATATATATATATATATATTATGTAATATATATATATATATATACCTGCGCCCAGTGGTATAGATAAATGTGTACTTTTAGGGTGTTTGGTACACTTTTTTGGTAAACGGGCAGATTCTGAAAACAACCTCATTTTCGAGCACATTTTTGAAAAGGTAACTGTGTGGACATATTTTTCCAAGTGGCTAATAATGGCTATGATTTGTGCCGTTTTCAGTTTTGCCAGCCCCTTCCCAACTTGTACTCAAACATATACGTCCAAATCAGCCCTGTTGGCAAGCATGTGGCTGGGTTTGAAGCCTAGTTGGCCTATATAGTTACTTTCACAATGTGTTTGTTGAAAGATGACATGGGCACAGATGATGTGACCAACATGCAGCTATTAATCTGTGCCAAATATCCCCATACCCCATATATAGCTTCACCATGATTTACTTCAATCAAAAAGCAAGGCTGCTGCGCACGATATTGAAGACGTTCTTGTTTCCATGCATGACTGGATGCATGACTTATTTTTGAGATGGTTGCATCTGATTCCTCCTCCAGGATAAAAAACGGAAATTTTCCGCTCGCTGTGAAATGTTTGAAGCCCTGCCCATGGGTAACTCATGGCACGACGCACAAGTGCTTGATGCATGGGACTATATGTGGAAACACCTCAGGACAAAAGTAGCCGGCCTGTGGCATGGCTGTGCATGACAAAGTTTGACCGTGAACTCTGGGAAACACAGTCAGGTTGACGTTTGCTTGATGAAAAATGGCGCCTTGCATTAGGTCGGCTTTGACATGCATGATGTTGACATTTTGCGCCTGATATTATCCAAGGGTCTCGCGCGAAACGGGCGCGAAAACGCGCGGAACGGGCGCAAAAAGGCGCGAAACGGGCGCGAAAAAAAAAGTGTACCACTTGACCCTCTTGTTTTGACGGTCATGACGTGTCGCGTGTTTTTGAAAACCCTTTTTACGCATGGTCCGAAGAGAAGGCGCCGCCATGTGGTCTTGAGCTTGTGGGGGGCATGTTGTTGTTTGCTGGAGGTATCTTGGCCTATGAAAAACATACGTGATGTTGAGGTGGATACTTTAGATTTACCCTGTCCAAAGCTCGGTTGTTTACATGTGCTGCGATGCAACCCATGTTGTCAGGCGTAGCTGTTCGAGGTCGTATTTGGCATGCTGCACATGCACTAGCGCGTGACAAAAGTGTCCTATCGAGCCTTTGGGGAAAGAATCAGGTTGATTACTATGGAGAGCCACGGAACTTCGGACACCTTTTTTTTTTTCAGACCCTTAAACGGGCACATTTTTTGAAATCGGGCAGAAAAAAAATGGTACACATTTTTGTGTACCAATGGGAGGTTCAGGTATATATAATCATATCTGATATCATAGAATTTTACTTGATAGAACATAATACAATGCAATATAGTATATAGTACATATATAATACATAAGATATGTTTATTAAATATACTATATATATATAATACATGTGTTTTTATATATATATATGTTTTCGTTTTACAATTTTAGTATTTATTACAATATGCAATACATAATATACACCATTTCATAGATAATAAATCATATGTAATGTATGATGTAATATGTCGATGTGATATGATATTGTTCAATAGAATATTATATGTTTGATTCAATGCTATATAGTAGATGATGTATATATATATATATATATGATATATATATATATATATGTAGAATACAATGTGTTTAATTAATATGTTTTCAACGGTGTATATATATATATAAATATGATAATACAGTATGTATATATATATAAATATATATATATAAATAAATATATATATATATTGTGCAAATATACTGTATACTCTAATACATGCTAGTGTATATAATATACAGTATATGTCTGACATATGTACTAATACTACATAATAACAACGTTTGTTTTTTAATGGACTTCCCGTCGGCCTAAAACCGCGTCCAGGACGGCAACGGTTTGACACAGGAGGAGATCGAAGCCGGCTTGCAGGTGGAGGACCAGCCCTGACCGCGCTTTGGGTTGACTTTGGGGATGGATCCCGGCCAAAAATGCGAGGTAAATGCGAGAAATTCATGTGTAAATGGATGTACCATGAAGTACTTTTCATGCGGAATTTCACCAACAAATATGGGATTAATATGGATTAATGACATATACCATATTTGGTAGGGGAAAAAATGGGAACAACGTTTATTTCACAGGCTTTTGACATGGTTTGACCCACATCTTTGTGGTTGTTTTCCGTTGTTTTGGGCATTGTTCGTGTGTGGTTTTTTTTTTTTTGTGTGTGTGGTTTGTGTTTGTGTTTGCTATCTTAAAAACACGTTCAATCAGGTTTACCGTTTGTACAAGACCCTCTTATCTTGATCACATGACTCGTGCTTCGTTCATGGGGATAACTCTTGTTTTCCTAACATGCAACCATGTTTTAGACATTAGCGGGGAAACCACACTACATGGCAATCACCATCAAAAAGTTACAGAGCCGACATTTTTTTGAATTGTATCATTAATTCATTATTATTCTATATTGCAATATGTTGCAAATTTTGAAACTTACTACTGCCAAACAAATCACAACATGGACCACCAAAGTGGGAACACATGAACCGAAGACCATTGCGATCATCTTCCAACCGGATGTTGAGTCAGGGAATATGGCAGGGGTCTTCATGTTTTCCCACTTTGGGGCGGTAGATTAACCGCCCATTTGGGTGATGTTCGTATACAGAAGAAATGTAAGGAAGTGTGTTCAAAGGAGTCTTGGGAACTCCAATACCAAACAATAAGCAGAATTGGGGCGTTCTTAAGATACTCAGGCACCATCAAAAACCTGTTAGGTGTTTATGATAGTTTAAAAAACAGCGAAAACATGTTTAAGCCGCCAAGTATCAGGGTGTGTTCTGCATGGTTATTGTAAATCAAAAACTGAAGTTTCAGTCTCTGCAGATCTGATTGTCTCCTTTTTGCATTATCTTTTACCATCCTGTACCATCTGGTTATGACTAACATAGCCATGGAAAATCCCCATGTTTAATAGGTAAACCATCTATAAATGGGCCATTTTCCATGGCTATGTTAAATAACCAGGGGGTAATTAGAAATCGATTGGTATGGAAAACCAATGGTTTTCCTATTTAACTGATCTTGAAATGCTGGGTTTTCATCCGTGTCAAATTATTGGACGGTATGGAAATTATATTTTATATAATATGAATATTATATTATAGTATGGGAACATCAGAAACCCCCATCATACTATCTAGAGACTGTCACAATGGAGATCTATGCCCCCATACAAGTTGTTGGGGAAAAACATGCGGGACAATCATACCTACTTGTTTATGTTTTTGAGGTGATTCGGATTGTGATGCATGGTTTGCATTTACAGTAAGCCATAGTAACGCCTATATAAAAGATAGAAAAGTAATGTATCTCTATTTTAGAACTATATATCACTATATCATGATTCTATGACTTTATAGCACCCCATTTTGTCTATATGTTATCTATAGCATCGCATTATCGTAGCACATGTCTATCTTTTCAGCAGCGTTTCGCCGTTCTGGCACCAGGACGTGATGGACGCAGAGGCTGAGAAGATGTTTGCCGCTGGGACAGAAATCACGGGGTTTGCCTGAAATTTGCTGCGTTGAAACAACGCCCATGAGGTTTTTATACAGTATGCGCCATGGTCCACGGGTTGTTTTCCCATAAAGGGGATTGGTCATCAATCCGCGAGTGATTTATATACACATCATCAGGATTCCGATTGATGGATGGCCATAAACCGTATACCATGTTTTGACCATGTCACATTTATATAAACCATATTCTGAGTTCATCCATGACACTTGGATTAAATTGATGTTCCACCTCACATTACATGTTATATATAATGTCAACCCCGTAATAAACCATGGTTTATTAATTAAGGGGGGTACCCCTCCAATAGTCATTTCAACTAGTACTTTTTTATGGTATCCTCCCAATTAAACAGCCGTAAACGGGGTTTATTAATCCAGGGTTGACATTATAATATTTATATTTACCCTTTGCAGCAGGGTGCTTTGAGGGTCAAGGTATATGGATCTATGACTTACAGACGGTGTTTGTATTGTTTTGACATGTTGTGGCCCCAATCTTCGTATGTCATAGTTTGTGGTGAAGTTATGTGCCGCAATTTGATAAGGTAATCAATTATAGTTTACACAATAGTCGATAGACTATAATATGTATATAGTATAATCATAGATTATGTCATAGACTATAGTTAACAGTATTATGAACTCCAACTTTCGTGGTGTTATGGTGGGATTAATCTTGAACTAAGCATCTTCATAAATGTTTTGTAGGCCCTGGTGGCTCGCGCGATGACGGTAAGTTGCTGATCAAAGACTATATATATGCCATTATATCAATGGCCATTTCAGGAACCGATTCATTGGAGGTACCTACCATATATGCAGTCTATGTAAGGGCTAAGGGGATCCTGGAATTCCCAATGATTATCAAAGTACCCGCATTTGCCCAGAAATTTCATCGCGGCAAAGATGGACCATTTTTATATGGGGTACCATCTGGTTATTTAACAGTTCGCCATGGAAAGATCCACCATTCAATAGGTAAACCATCTATTTCTATGGGCCATCTATACCATGGCGATGTTAAATAACCAGAGGGTACATGCAAACGATTTTGGGTAGTAGCACCGGGTGACCGGTTGGGGCTGAGGCCTATGCTGATCTTGATTGCGATGGCGCGCTGAGCATGGCCCTTGGCCGAACCCAGTTCGATGGCTGATGTTTATATAGATAGATAGATAGATATATATATATAATTATATATATATGATGATTGGCTATGACGATTGAGCATAAAGACATATAAAGAATGCCAGATGACAGGTTGTTTGTTCTGGATCCAGACATGCAGGATCACATGTACCCGTCAACTGGGAGAGATTTTGGATGATCGGGGGTACCAAAGTGGAAGCAACACTTGGGCATGATGGTTTCTCCTCAAACATATTTTGGTATGTGGTTGAGAGGGAACCCTTGTTGCAGCTGTGGATGCGATGTTTTTTTTCTCCCCGTTTGAAAAGGGCTGGAGAAGCGGACTTGCAAGCTTTGCGCAGAATAAATTTGGATGATCAGAATTATAATTTTCACCCATTGAAGATCAACACTCACAGTCACAGTCTACTTGATGTTTGAGAAGGCTTTATGTACTTCCCACTACTCGGGCAGAATTCCCACTTGGCTGCGTTGACTGTGTGATGGCTTGACACCATTAAGCTCTTGTTTGTTCTAGTACCCCATGTTGGTTGGTTCAGTATACTCCAGTCTTGGTGGTTTCAACTATACGATTCACGATGCTTCACTGTTCTTTCATGAAGTTCATAACAAAAAAGGACCAGTAGATGGTCGACCATGTGTGTTTTTTCTCACATTGAAACCACACTGCGATGATCCAAATTTAGTTGGCACATGTCTTGGGATGTGTGGCCCAGCCACAGAAACAGACGTCGATGGAGGTCTCTCCGAATTGGACCATTTGCGCTCGGAAGCACAATTGCCGAAGTACACGCGCGGATGCCAAGACTCAGCTGTAGCCTGGACCGGTTCATGCCCTCTACGAAAATTTGTTGCATAGCTACGGAAGATGATCTTGTTGGATGATTTACCAATGGTGATGTTCAATACTGGTTGGTGGTTTGGAACATGAATGTTATTTTTCCATTCAGTTGGGAATAATCATCCCAACTGACGAACTCATATTTTTCAGAGGGGTAGGTAGGTATACCACCAACCAGGTGATGATCAATAGCTATGCAGGCTATGCAACAAATGACCAGAGGGTACATCATTCTGGGTAAATTATAACGACCTCACTGCGACCTCACTGGAATCATGGTTAGTAAGGGAAATCATCCCCAAATGGCCTTAATTCAGGTTAGTGAATATTATAATTTACCCAGATTGGTCAACATTCGGATTGTCGCCCGCTGAGGACGGATTTGCTTGGATCAGCGGATGCCTGGGAACTTGGAGCAAGTTTTTCGCCGGGTTAGCGAGTTACAGATGTGATTTGGGTCTGTCTGAAAATAGGGTGTATATACTATATAATGCATATATATATATATATACCCCTTAAATATGGCCATTTCATGATGATAATGCGGATAAAGCCATGGATTTTTCGGTATCCATTGGCCGGAAATACCTTAGAGTTGACTGGGATTCCATGGCCATCCAATCATAACCAGAGTTGTAAACCCTTTAGGAGAAGTCAGGTACTACCGTTTTTTTTATGTGGCGTCGTCTCAATCTTTTTGGTTTCGAATTCCACTCCATGATGAATCCTCAATTTTGGGAGCCATACATCCCTGTTTTTTTGGTTCCAAATATGTGTTTCAATCCACTGCGGTACTATGTTCATCCCATGGTTTCTAGGTCAGGTCGTGTTTCATAAAAGAAAGGGAGATGGGATTAACAAGGTCCGTTGGTGAGTTTTAAACCATTATGTTATATCATAAGTTATATCCCTATTGGTACCCCATCAAATCACCATTTATTATAATGTCAACCCCGGATTAATAAACCTCTAGGCTGTTTAATTGGGGGGTACCATTTCAGTATTGGATTATGACTATTGGAGGGGTACCCCCCTAATTAATAAACCATTGTTTATTAATCCGGGGTTGACATTAGTTAAATCTCCCTATGTTTCTTGTTGACATCCCGGCGCAGGTGGATGCTGACAACAGACTCAGCAAATTGGTGCTCCCAGCCACGTTTCTTTCTGGAGATTGGCCTTGGATTCCTTGGAGGAAAATTCAGGGGATCAAGAAAACCCCAATATGAATCAATGGCAATCAATAATATAATATAAATATCGATATATATATATATATACTGCAAGGCGAAATGTATATATATATATAATAATAATCAATAATGATATATGGGTCGATCCCATCATCAGGTATATCAAAAACCAAAGAGGAGGATTGAGATACAGTATTATTGCTATATTTTTATTGCTTATGTGATCCTCCTCTTTGGTTCTTGGTCGCTTCGTTTGAATCCACCCTCGAAGAACACATAATTTCCTGAAAAGAGGGTCGCCTCGATTGAAGTGGATTATCAGATGTTTCCCCAATAAAATTGCGTGTGTTTTTTGTTGGGGTACGCAACCCAGTTTCAAAAGCTAAGTGCCATCGTTCAGCTAAGTTTACCCAGGAAAGTCATGGGAATTCATGGAATTTCTTGGAAATTCTTGGAAATTCATGGAAATTCTTGGAAATTCATGGAAATTCTTGGACATCCATCATCAAGTTCCAAGAATTTCCAAGAATTCAGAGATGGGGCCATACCTCGGAGGGGGAAGCCATATTTCTATCCATTTCTCATCATTTACTCCACCTATACCTTGGTGATTTCTCATCATTTACCATTCGCATCCCATAGCCCTTTTCGCTTTCGGAGGGTCCACCTTTCGCCATTTACTTCCCAGTGATCACTTCGCCATGGGATCATGTTTGGATCCTGGAGAAATTCGTCGTAGCGAACTGGAAAATCACTATGATATGAATAGGCCAATCATCTATAAATTGGCCATTTACCATAGCTGAATGTACTATGTACCATTTATTTACCTATGATAGATATATGATATAATTTAAAACTATAATTGGCCAATCTATAGTGATTTTCCGATTTTCCAGTGCGCTACGTAGCTAATAATTACTAAGATCACTAATTGTTGGTGAATCTAAAATAAATTCAATATCACTATAATAATCCAAATCATCTATAAATTGGCCATTTACCATAGCTGAATGTACCATGTACCATTTGTTTACCTATTATAGATAAATAGCTATAGATGATTTACCATAAATATGTTTGTCTGATAAATTTTACCATAGCTATGTTAAATTATCAGAGGGGTCTGTACCCCAGTTGCGATCCACCCAGCAACCACCTGATTTTGCTGCCGATGCCAGGAGTTTGTAGCTGCCATGCGGAAGGCCATGCGGGGATTGGTGGCAGTGACCTTAACATTTCTCGCCAAGCCCAACAAAGATGACATTTGGATAGACAAAGTCTCATTTTACGGCATGTTTATCATTCAAACAGGAATCTAAGCAGGAATTGAAGGAGCAAAATACTGAAGTTAGTTGAGATACAATGAAGAAATCAGTTTGTTTTCTCCTGTGGATTCCAGTAAACTAACATTTTTAGCCGCATTTGTAATAGGTAATTCAGTGGTGAGTCATCTTTCAATGTCCCATGTTCAATAGCTGTTGGTTTACCTGCCAGAGGGTTTGTTCGATCTTCGCTCAGGATTGAAACCTGGGATCACTGGCCCAGACACCTAAGATGGAGCTAGCCAGGTAATACATGCGATCTCCTGACAGCCTGACATGGTGATAGGACCTGAGATGCCACAGATGTTGCTAGATACATCATTATTTGCATATATATATATATTTAGATATATTTAGATATAGATACACATTTACATATATAGAGATTTATATATATATATATATATTAAGGATATATAATAAAGATATAAATAAATATATATATGTATAAAGGAATATGTTGAAATATGATTAACCGATCCCCTGAAAGAAACCCCTAAGGGGTCCCAAATGCTAAGTTCTTGTATAGCTATAGGCTATAGATGAAGTAGGACTTAAAGGACTTCATTATGGTAATGAAACATTAAGTAGTGCTACTATGGTTATTACTATAGTTTAAGTAGGACTTAATTATACTGTTAGATGGTTTGGTTAAAATATTTTAAAACAAACATCACATGTTTGGGGCGCATGTAGGATTGTGTTTTTCTACCCTGACTCCCGTTCCTGTTGTCACAGTCTGGCGTGGCCACCGCACAAGGACCGGACAGGGGAGAGAGGGAAGACGTTGGAAAGCTCGTTGATTGGAAGATCAAAACGTGAATAGTCAACCTATAGTATATGCGAGGTTCCTAAAATAGTGCTACCCAAAAATCATCCAAGTGATGGTTTATTATCGGAAAACCAATGGTTTGGGGTACCCCTCTTCTAGGAAACCTCCATATAGCCCCTGGTAATTTAACCATCAGTAATTAGTTGGACGTTCATGGCATTTACTGTAATTTGCATTTAGATGGGACATGTGATAGGCTACCCTCTGGTTATTTGACGTAGACGTAGATATGGAATGATATGGAAAACCACCTTTTCTAATAGGTACATGATCATGTTTATGTTCTTTTATAGTTGAGCCATGTGTCATAGCTATGTTAACTGACCAGATGGTCGTGCTGTTGTTATGTAACCAAGTGCTAAACCGACTGGTTCTCTGACTATAGGATCAATGCTTTTACTATACAGTACATGTGCCATATTCAAACATTGATTGCACACCCATATTGGGGGGATGGTCATCAGTTCATTAATAGGCACTTATACAAGAATTGCAATAGAATTGTCAGGACTTCTATTATTATGGGATGGATGACCATCAACTGTCTACAATGTTTTGATTATGTAGCAAATAAAGTACAGTATATAGTATATAGTGAATATTTTTTAATAGTATACAGTATATAGTTGGGAACCTGAGTGTAACTGCTATTTGATAGTATACTAAGTGCCATTAAATTACTTCATCAATTCCCGGCAAATCCTAATACGACGGATCGGTACTGCTTAGTAGCCTTGGTGATCGGAAGTCCCCTAAAATAGTGGGTTATCATATGTATAACTGGGTGACCTAACCCCCCTTACCAAGCAGCTTGGATTCATGGGGCAAACTACCAAGTGGAGTTCAGTGGCTGCGTCTGAAAATGGGGTATACATGGTATACCAAAAACTGGTTGGTGGTTTGGAACTTTTTCTATTTTCCATATATTGGGAATAACCATCCCTGCTGACGAACTCATATTTTTCAAAGGGGTAGGCTCAACCACCAACCAGAAATGGCCAGTTCCCATGAGATATGGATGATTAGCGATGGGATTTCCGGGGATTTCATCCTTCAAAAATCAGCGGAATGGGCATTGGTTGGTACGTAGGGATTGGGACATATTATGACTTAACAGTGCTACATGTGATTGCAAATCACGTAAGTTGGATTCCTTCCAGTCTATAACATGTATATATATATACACACATGTATATAGTAAACCCAATAACCAAGGTCTTTTCTTGGCTTCATTTGATACCCTCTAAATGCTAAAACTGGATGAACGGAGTTTAGTGTGTATATATATATATATATACACATCTATGTTTATTATTAATATATATATATATATACATTGATATTATTATAGTTCTTGTAGCTACACAAGCTCAAGCGGGGTTGCAGGCGCATTGTTGGGAGAAGTTTGGAATGAAACCAAACGCCAATGGCCGGAGCCTCAAGAGTCTTTTGAAAATATCCCAGCGACCAAAAGGAAAGCAATGATTTTAGGGTTTTGGATCCAGTATCTATTGAATCTATTGAATCTATTCATTTTGGGACTCATTTTGGGAGGGAGGTATTTTTTTTCGTAGATGGTGAGACAGGATTTCGACACTTTTATTTGTGGCAAAACATAAAGTTTACTACGTGCGTTTTTGGGCAATACATGTCCATTTTGCTTGATGAACCCCCTACATTTTGGTACCCCCCAGTTACAAATAGGTTGGTTATGGTTGGCTTATAAACTCCCATTTTCATCACCAGAAATCCAACAGTATACAGCAAACCGTTATATTTACCAACTCAGCGATTCTCAACTGGGGCACCACCAGATCATTGTTGACATATCCATTGAATATTATATATATATGTATATTATATATATATATATATTGTGTATATATTCTCATGTAATATCCCCATGTGTTGTTGGTTACATCCTCATTTTGTTGGCTAGACCTCGGATTTTGTTGGTCATTGTTCAACACTCATAATTTCCATTTGTAGATTGCTAAATCTGTATTTTAGCTCATTAAATGACCCGTTTCGCAGAGGCTGTGAAAATTCGATGGCCAAAACGTCGCTAAAAGGTGCTGCAACTACCAAGCCATCGGCTGTGGGACCTACGTCTATGACATTGAGGAAAGTACCGATTGCTGGGAAGCCCAGGTTGTGACCCACCCGGGAACCGCTAAGAACATCCAAGAACCATGGAGAACAACACCTCTTTTTTTGTTTTTAATAGTGGTTTGATCCAAGCAGCATATACTTTGTTTTTTTTGTAAATGTTGATTTGATGAAGCTAAAAGCGTGTCTGTTTTTTTTAATGATGTTCTCTGAAACCAACTTAGGGAGTGATCCGCAACTTTAGTCAGCAAAACGGGAAGAATATATACCAGCAAGACATCCCGACTCGTCGACTGGAGCTATGAGTTTAGTTTCTCAAGCGACAAGGAAACCAATGGAATATGAGCTACAAGCATTGAACATGAGAAATGAAGTCGGGAGGGTAGAGTACAACTTGGCAGATTGTTTTCCAAATGCGCCAAGCGCATGTTGCTTGTTTTGAAACCGTTGAACCTATCCCAAGCTGCTACCCCCACCAGTCGATTTTGAGCAGCACTAAGCAACTCAACGACAACATGTGACCCGAAAATTCACAAGGCCCGGCCGCGCAAAGTATACCACGCTACAGGGAACTGCTAAAGTCGTCTCTTTTTGTGTTGTTTTCAAGAAATCAGCTGCGGAACAGTGTCTTGCAGAAGTCGTCTCTTTTTAGCTTCCCGCGAGCTGAATGCAGGATTTGTGATGGTGTTTTGTTTTTGACCCATTATTTTGCGAATGTTGCGTTTAGGTTGGTGTTTGCATGAAAACACTCAGGGGTCTTGTTGCTTAAATGTTGCGTTGCCTGTATAAAAGATATAGATGACATTATTATTCCATTGGATCATTGCTTATTGTAAGACCACAAAACGCATAGGCATGCTGAATTTCACCAACATGAACCTACCATTTGTAGTCACAAACCTTCTTATTGTTTGTTTGCCCATTGCAGGGCGCACAACGCAGTGGTACACTGGGTCAGGGATGCTTTGCACGACTTATTTGGCACTAGGTGTGCCATTGGGAAACAGATAATTAAACTACTGGATCGATGTTGTAACAAGTGCCAATGACAAGATCTTGTGCCACATCGTGGTGTGCCTATGAGGAAAGCTATGAGGAAAGGCCCACATGGGCAGCGCCTATGACTTTAACTTACTGATGTATTCTTTGGCACTTCGCATAGGCACACGGTGGCATTCAAAGCGGCCCACCAGCAGAATGCAATGATTTCTACAATTTCAAGATCGTAGGTGATAAAAAAACATTCAGTAAATCTAGCGTTCACATGGGGGAACCATCAAAGGGATGACTTAGGGATGACTTCTTGGAAACAGCGTTGACAATGGGGAAAGCCCAAAAGGGACAGTGAGGGATGACTTTCACTTCTACCTGTACCTTGGTCAACTCTTGGACACCTGGCAATCACAGTTTTGCTGGTCAAAATCAATGCCCCGATATGGTCAGGATTTCCCATGACGGATCCATGGTGCTGCTATATATGGTAACATGGATCCCATCAATATACCCCCAATGTGAGCATATATATACCATACATGGATCCTATGGGTTGTTCAAGAAATCCGTCAAATCGTCAATCTGTGCTTTTCTCGTTCAAAAAAAGGTGCCTCTGGCTATGGCCTAACTGAAATTGGCTCCAGGGAGACCCGGGGATTCAAAGCCTCTAGTGATTTCAGTGGTGTTTTCGGGCAGTTTGAAACACGTAGAATTGCCAGCCTATGCCAGCCTAATAATCATGATATGATGCTGAAGTCTGTTGAACTCAGCAATGGTTGGGTGTCGTAATATAAGTCTTTCCTATTACTCGGTATAATTCTCCTGCAATTTTCTCGCGATCAAGCAGTTGTGGAAGGCCACCCACATGGATCTTACTAGGATTTTCCCTGAACGATCAGAGGCTTGGAAGTGGATTGCAGGTGCTGTTGCAATCCAGTGGCTCCAAAAAACTGGTTCATGTCCATTGAACTTGGATTTACATCACTTATTGTCCTATTTTTTTCACTTCCATTCGTAGATGATTTTGCTATCAGCCTACCCTCCGGTAAACTAACATAACTATACATAACTATGGAAAATCACTATTTTTTATGGGTAAATCCACTATAAATGGTTATAACCAGCCATGTTCCAGCCATGTTGGATTCCCAGAGGGTCAGCCAAGGTTCACATGGGGTCTTTGAGCTGTCTGGGACTCCCAGAGAGATTCTATGGCGGGTAGTCGTGGTGTTTCTGGGTAAGTCGGCCCACGGACGGAAATGGCGACTTGACTTGGGAAGCGACTTGGGATGCGACTTGGGATGCGACTTGGGACTTATAGATGATTATGGATATTTTTCATGGATGTTCAATCATCAACAATATGGATTTTATATGATTTTATGGGATTTATAGATGATTAAATAGATAATGACACCTAGAGGGCCGCTGGAGAATTTTGTCGCGGCCTAGCCATGGAGCTTTCGTTCGCAAAAACATGGAAGTAAATTTTACTGATTTTCCAGCAAGTCACCTTTGATTGTCTTATATATTTATCTGGGTAAATTTCATCACGACCTCACTGTTCGACCGAGCCCTGGAATCATGGTTAGTAAGGGAAATCATCCCCAAATGGCCTTAATTCATTCTTAATTAGTGAAATATTATAATTTACCCAGATATTTATATAAAGTCCCATGAATTCCCATCAAATTTATGTCATGTTTCCCTGAAACCAACCGGATGATGCTACCTGCCAGTGCAGACTTTGGCAAGCACCTCTTCTGAGAATGGGTTATACCAACCATGTCATACCCATTATACTCCAGTAGATTGGGAATTTCAATGAGGAAAATGAGTCACATCCAGCAGCCTGAATCACGACCTGTCACTGCCTGATCCCAATTGTTGAGATACCTTTGGGGACATTTTAAGTATTGACTATCATGAACATCCTAGAAACTGTATGATACTATGCCTTATATTGTGAGATTGTGAGCATCCAAAAACATGTGGGTGGTCGCAGGTGGTCCTCCACAAAGCGTGAGAAGTGCTGTCAGCTGGAAGGCCAGGGCGCCATGACTTGTCGATCCCTTTTTTTTGTGGAGCTATATATAAACCAAGAATAAAGGGGGATCTCATAGAGAATATCATGGAATATTACCACAATGTGAGGCCCCCGTTCGATAGCTAAGTTGGTGCCAATAACTCCAATAACTATGGTTTATGGTACTTATAACTATAATAGTTAATGGAGTTTATAAACCAACTTATAACTGGGGGGCCTCACATTGCAGCAATCTGATGGTTGGGTGTGTGTCTGAAAATTGTTAGTATATCCCCAAGTAACATAAATAATCATGTCACTGCGCAACACTATGATATATACCATTGGATTTTGGGGTAACCTATGTTCAGACAAACCAGTTTATACAATCAGAAAAATCCTGGGGGGCTGGCGAAGCTTTACTAAACAACCATGAATGGTTTAGGGATATTATTGTATCACTTAAGAAAGATGGTTGGTCGTCTCACATGTGGTTTAATCTCAAAAGTTACCTAGAGTCCCTCAATATACCCATAAGAACCAATGATTAAATGGCCCCTTGCATGGCAAACATATATTAAAAGAAAAAAAAACATGTGAAAACAAACTGGCACTGGTAGATAGTTCATGAGATGTCCATAGATGTTCCATCGATTTCATAGACTTTCCATGAGATTTCCCAAGATGTCGGCAGTTGATTTCCCATGGTGAAACGCTTCTTAGGCCGTGGCTGCCTCAAGAGGCAGGATCGACCAATGGCTGATGGAAAGTTTGGCAAAACTTTCCCAAGTGATGTTTACATACCCTCCGGTAATTAAACATAGCTATTGAAATAAGCTATTCATCATTCATTTGTATTTGATTGACCTACTCAAACTAGTGATTTTCCATAGTTATGTGACAGTTTACCATAGTTTACCAGAGGGTAGATCTGGATATTTAATAGGATTTGATAGCAATCTTTGGACTATGTGTGATTTACCAGGATCTACCGTTTCGAAGATGATCGAGTTTTTCTTTTTAGCTGGGTGAAGTCCACAACTGTAGACGTTTGTTGGGGGGTAAGACAATTGGGAATATCCATGAATATCTCATATTATCTGGTTATTTAACGTAGCTATGGAAAATCATTATTTTGGATAGGTAAATCATCATAAACCCTCTATAAATGGAGCATTTTCCATAGCTATGTTATTTTACCAGAGGGCATGTTTGGTAAACAAATCTGGAAAACAACATAGATCAAACCACGAAAAGCTGGGAAACCTTGGCGACACTTTGAACAAATTGGGAATTTCTGAAGATTATCTTTGGTAAATGCTGAAAAATACCTGAAATTGTCATAGAAATATATAGAAACTACATTTTGAATCTAAGCTTCTGGATTGAACATGTACCAGTACTGAATGATAGTGGAATAAACTATATATAAAACTAAATTATATACGTATGTATATATATATATACATACGTATATGTATATACATATGTTCAAATTATGTTTTCAACATACATATTCTAAACTTTTAAACTTGTTTTTTAGTTTTCTTGAGTTTGTGAATCATCACCCCTGGAGGTTTACTACATTAGTATGGGATTAAATTTCATGATTAGTACATCTTCCACTTGGAAGGCGAAAACATACTGAAACCCAATGGGTTTGGCTCCCTACGGCATTGGCAACAACTAGTGGGGATAAGACCAATGGACATGTTGACAGGACATGTCTGGAGAAATCCGCAGAAACAGCTGCTGTTGAGGCATGTTGCATTCCATTTGAAATGCTTCGCGTAGTATGTTGGTTACTTGCCTGCGTGTTTTGGTTGGTAGCTTCCAATCATGATTTGTAAGTCCGCAAATGCATTCATATGACATATGATATAGACTTAGTTATCTATGTATATATATATATATACACATAATATAAACTTGTGCATATGCACAAATATGCGCAATTGTTTAAAACATGCACAGAACATGAGTCATACACATGCATTTTTAACGAACATCTTCTTGTATGTGTCTTGTGCATGCATGAGCTATATATATATATATACATATATGTATATACATATATATATATATATACATATACATATAAGTATGGGTATATATATATGATACGGTATTGAGATATCAGTATATACCATATGCATCGGTTTCGCATATCTCATCCTTGCGGGTTGCCACAGCCGCAGGCCAGTGGGAATCTATGACTGCTACGCCAAGAGACCTGAGGCAGAACATGGTGAGTTGGGGGGAATCCCAATTTTGGAAACTAGAGTTTTTCCGCAAACCAAAGGGTGAATCCCACATCACCTAGAAGGATTCGCTGGATTGAGTTTTCAGCATTCGAATATATATATATATATTTATACATACATATGTTTGTGTGTGTACATATGTGTGCGGGTACGGGTCGAAATTGGGGGAAACCCAACGAAAAACATACGGATGCTTATAGATGCTTCATATAGGACACAAAGATTTGTGATCCCCCACTTTCTACATGTCACATAGATCACCTGTTGCTTTCACTCCATTGGATGATTGCAGGAATGGACATTCAAGCAGCGGGCGCGGCTTCTCAGTCTTTCGGAAACGGTGGCAGATAGCTTCTGAGAATCCATGGAAAAATGACCATATCTACTAGTTATTAGCATAGTTTAGTTCGATGATTTACCCGTGATTTTCATGGTGATTTTCCATAGTTCTGTGTAGATCATCGAACTCAATGTGTAAACAAAAACCATGGCTATGTGAAACTACCAGAGGCTACTGCATGTGTAATTACACAAATGTTCATGCAGGCATGTATGGTACAAGCATGATAAAATGGTATACTGGTTGGTGGTTTCAGACATGTTTTATTTTCTATTTCATATATGGGATGTCATCCTTCCCATTGACGAACTCCATCATTTTTCAAGATGGTTAAACCACACCACCAACCAGTATATGTACATCTCATGAGGCTAGAATTGGAACTCAGGGTGACTCAGGGGCACTATTTCTAGTGAGGGGGGCCATCCAGCCGTATCAAATCTCAGGCGCTTGTGGATGTTCATCCCCAGCGGAAAGAAAATCATGGTAGCTATATAGCTATGGTTTTTGAATGTTGATCTATAGACTACCAGTGGAAAACTACCAAAATATTCCAGGTATAGATCTATAGGTATAGCTATTGAAAACTACAATGGTATTATTGCAAATAATTCAATACTAGTGAACCTGCTGAATTACAGCCCCAAGTTGCTACAGTCTGTGCACGCGTGTCAAAACTGAGCACCTCAAGTTGTCAAACTGCAAATGTTGCTGCTTAGCCTCTTAGCTGGTTGGTGGTTTCAAACTGAAAGCAAATCGACCCTATTTGAGGTGATGACCCCAGAGGCCCCCCAAAAATGTGGTCTTCGGAGTTTCTCCTGCACCATCCAAGGGTTGGATCGATGTTTGTTCAACCATAGCATGTTAATTCGGTACGGTACATATCCTTGAATCGGTGCGAACATCTACAAGAGATCCCTGCTTGAGATGCTTAATTAACATGAATTTCCTGCTGTGTTTCTCTTGAAGCCACCCAGAGCATATTCTGGCATTCATTCACACGCACAACAAATAACTTGGCTTACATATGGTGTGTCAATGGCTCAGTTTGGTACTTAAAATGGAGGTACTGTGCCACTATGGCCAATTTTTGTTGAGACCTTACATATGTATACATACTGTATACATCTGTATACATATTAATATGTTGTGTAACTAAAATTGATTGGTAACGTCACATTCCCCACTTGGCCAGAACGGTCTATGATGTGAGATCAACAAGTTCAACCATGAACACATAAGGCATGCGTCACAGTTTGCATACAATTCATAACCACCGGTTATGTAGAAGCATGGAAAGCCTCCATTATGTATACATATATGCATCTATATGTTCTTGTTCCTTCTTGCTCATTTGATGCGTGTTTTTGATCTTGTTTTTTGTTAAACCCCTCAATGTCTTGCTAAGATCCACATGTGTCGACGTCGAAGTCCCGGGAGCCACTCAGGATTTCTGTTGCTCCAGCACTGGACGTGGCTGCCACAGGCCATTTCGATGCGGAAGGGATCTCTTCGGATGCGATGGAGAAGGGAAAATCTTCTGAAACATGGACAGGGCTATGACAAATGAGACATGTTGATTTTAATAACTATAACTGGTTGGTGGTTTGGAACATGAAATTTATTTTTCCATATATTGGGAATAATAATCCCAACTGACGAACTCGTATTTCTCAGAGGGGTAGGTCAACCGCCAACCAGATGAATATGGTTGGTTTAATGTAGTTATTTTTGGCCGTTGAGGCTATGAAACATGGGCAGGTTACAACCTTGAGAAATTGAGAGCTTACCATCAAAAAGTACCGATGTTGATGGGTCCAATCATACCTGAAGAGTTTGATTATATTGATCATTGGAAGACAATCCTATTGAAAATATGGTTTTTAAACATATTAGCGTGTGTCTGAAAATGACCACATTTTTTTTTTCATTGGGAAACATGGAGCTTCACTTTCTTTGTTGACAGGAGCTTCGAGTCGCGACCTCAGTCATCTGCGAAGAGCTCCCCTGGTTGGTTGATAGTTTTAGGGGAATCTGAGTCAACCAACCAATGATCTATCATCTGGTAAACATACAAAAAGCTATTGAACATGGCCATGGAAATAGTTGATTTACCCATTAATAGCATGGTGTTTGTTCCATAGTTATGTTAGTTTGCCAGAGGGTAACTAGTAATCCAACTTTTAATCTAACCCCCATCCATTATTTTTCACCTGTTATGAATTATCTAACTCTAGAATGAAATGACAGATGGTTTGGAACACTGTTTACTTGAAGATCACTTGAAACAGCGCTTAGCAAATGGTGAAAATGTGAACCAAAGAGGTGAAACATATGGTTTATTGTTGCGGAAAACCAGGGTTTTTTGTAGATGTTCCCTTAAACCAATCCAATGAAACATATACACATAGTATTAATATGTAACACTTAACATGTTGATAATAATCCTGCAATGATACAATACATAATGATATATATATATATATGTATATAAACTATGCCTTGAATATCATCAACGAAATTAACCAAATTATATATTTGCAACATATCTTTTGAGCATGCCCAAACCTCTCCAACACCTCAAAATAAAGGAATCTGTTCAGAGCGCCTCTTCAAATAGCTTTAGGTATGTTCCGGGGGGTCGGGGTCTGTTGCTCAGAAAACGAGGTCCTATAACTGCATGGAGGGCTTAGCCAGTTGGAAAGAAGGCCGACATTTCTGGCCGTTGTGATTCAGGGTTGGTAAAGGAAGAGTATTGTAATGGGTTAAAACTGATGGGCGCCCAACAAAAAACGGATGGTTTAACACTAACAATGAACCAATTTGTATATTGACACCCCAATTTGTCTCCATATCCAGTAAATGAGTGTCCCTGTCAATGGTAAACTGCAGTAATTCACCCAAATTGGTTTATGTGACTGGTAGGAAAACCATTCTTTTTCGGTTCCCACCATTGAATAAACACCCAACATGTCCCCTTATGTCGTTCTCGCAAGTCCAAAAACCAAGGAAACAGATGGTTCTTGAATGTTGTTTGTGGATGTTTGTGGCGATTCTCCTACTTGGAAGAGTTATAAGTGGATAGAAACCATGCTTATAGGATGTGATAGTTGTGTTATATATATATAGATTATCCCAACCTTTGGGGTTTGTAACCATAGCTATACCCATTTGGGGTTTGATCGGATACTGTTTAAATGGGCCCTTCTCGCCAAGTTGATCCTTGCGGTTGACCAGTTTCGACACAGCAGAGCTAAACATCTCTCCAATTTGCTCAGCAAACACCTCATCTTGGCTCACTCGAGGGCATTTAGAGCAATGCTTTGCTGGTAAGGTTAATTGTTTGTTGATTTTCCATTTGCAAAAGTACTCTCCATTTGGGGTAATTAGACGATATTCTCGCAAGATGCAGCTGTAGTCAACACTCATAAAAGTGCCGAGCTTGCCATTGCATGAATCCTCGCTAGTCAATATGGAATGGTGGTCCACTAGCCAGCTTTCAGACTGTCAATGTGTCAAGAGATGTATACCTCACTTTGACCATATGTCAGCATATTATACCATGTGTTTTGCATATTTTGCCTTTTTTTAACACATATTTCATACCTTTAACTACCTTTACCCCATGTTACAACATGTTTGTAATTTGGAATTACACGTTCTTCAAAGACATATCCCAAGTTGGCCCAAGTTGTGATTTTCCTGGTTCGCTGTTCTCCCAGATTGGAGTTTGCACAAGAAACTCTGGTGCTGTGACACAGAGAAAGTGGGTTGCGCCACTGAGCCGGTTGCTTAGACATTTTGGGAGAGAGATTGAGATCTAGAGGTACCATAGGTAATTAGCTAAGTTGAATGGATGTCAAATGAATGGGTTACAATCCCATGAAAACTATAGATATATCACTGATAAACCTATAACCAACCATAGATGTCCTTTTCCCATTGGTTGGTCGATGAAAAAAGAGGGGTTTGAAGGTTTACCCCTTTAACAGGTAAATGATGATAGATGGTATACCAAACCGGCCCCTCTATTTTTACCAAAAGGACATTATTGGGTATACCCCAAAAATGTGAGATTGATTCACCTGGTTCAGATTTCAGATCTAGTTTAAAAAAAAAATATTGCAGAAATATATTTTTTGGGGTTTCTCTAAAATAAAGTTATGCATACCCCAAAAAAAACATGTCCAATGGGGAAATTAAGGTTAAAGCATGAAATTTGAGGGGACCCTACCGTAGATGTTTCAGACAAACCGGATTACTGTGGATTACTGTGGATCCAAGGGTTCACGGATGATCGATGATTGAAGTCATTGCTGGGGTGATGGGGTGATACCTTTGATGATCCAACCACCTAAATTTGATGATACCTTTAGGTGGTTGATGAACACTAAGTCATTACGCAACCTAAATTGATGGCACTTGAATTTTTTGGATCCTCCCTGTATTGAACAACCACTAAACACCCCAATATAGATATTGATCATTGGCACCTGAAATAGAAACCAAACATGGCAATTAAACCAACATCCTCCAAAAACTGATTGCATGGCCCCTGCTTGGTTTCTATTTTAAGTTTACGTGGTGTATGTTCAAGAGATGCCTTGCTGCTGGTGGAGTCGCAGCTAGGAAGCCAGTGTATTTTTCGTCGGGGAGTCGATGACTGCACCTATGAATGTGGGTAAAACAGCAAGACACCACCCATTTGGGAATGGTCTATACCAGCTATAAAAATGGTGACTGGGGGATGGTGAAAATTATTGTTTTACCCACATTATATGCATATGTGCCATGGTCCGAAAAGATTGGATTATATCCACTTGGAGGACGGACAAATACATTAATTAATCATGAATATCAATAATATTATATATAATACATATTTATATATATATATATTATATCCATTAATCATCCAATAATAATCTATAAATATCCATACCCTCAACCACGCGTCCCGCCAAAGTTCATCAATTCCTCGGCTGGCGGCTTAGGCAGTTCCATTGCGAAACCGCCCGAAGCACCTGGTGCTTGCCTCATTGGGTGAACTGAGCGGTGGCTGCTAAACCCCGGTTGCTTGATGATTAGTTCGGGGATTCTACTACTCAATCTATTGTCATAGAATTGGATGATGGGAAAATTTACAGGAAAACCCTATATTTGACGGTAAAAACAATGGTTTCCGGTTAAGATTTTCCCTTAAACCAACCCAATGATATTGGGGATCATAACAATCCAAGAACGGGGAATCCCTTTTACCCAACCAGGATTACATGGAATGACAGAGGGATTTTGAACACCAAACTGGGGATTGAACCATCAAAAACAGATTTTTCCGCATCACCACCAAATGGATTGTACTCCAATTTATAGCTGGTTTGAAACGAGTTTTAACTGGAATCCACACATTTCTTGATGTGGATACACGGAATCGACATGAGTCAGCTGACTAAACGAGTGCTTCACCAGTGGTGCTTTGTGACTTACCTCTGTGCATGCTTGGAGGGGGGCCCTCAGTGAAGACGTTTGGGATCCCACGATTAGTATGCTTTGTAACAGTTGAGAATGTTCACAAAAACAAAGTGGCCCAGCTAGTTATAACTTTGAGTCTGTATCAACAACTGTAGATTAATATTCCTTAAGTAACTAAGTTCACTAACTTCAAAGCAGCCTAGTAGACCAAGTTACTATAAGTGGCCACTTGTGGCCCTGGACGCCCTCCGCCGCTTCCAGGAGCGCGACGCAGAAAAGCTATTGCCTGTGCCCACAGAAAGCCCTCAGGGTGGCCAGGGGGTGCCATTTTGATGCAGGAATCTCTCGGATCTGTCTTGTTTTTTTGGTTAGTTATATACTGTAAGTTATATCTCATATATAATCACAATATATATAATCATATATAATTATGTATGATATCATATTTGATGATTTGATGACATCATTTTTAAAGGAGATTGAGGGGATGAATCTAGGGTCAGCATCGACTGCAAAGGTTGATGAATGTGTTGATGGATATCTACGGCAATACAAGTGGGGCCAGGTGGGTGTGAAGATGCATCCCCGGTAAACATACAAAAAGCGATGTAAAATCACAAGCTTTCAATTCGGTAAATCAACTATAAATGGCAATTTTCAATAGCTATGCTAGATTACCAGAGGGTACAAGATACAGTTGGCACATTTTTTTTGTGGTTTCTACACAGTATTCAGAGGAACCCTTATGACTAGATGATGACTAGATGTTTCTCCGAAAATACCACAACATCGTCTGGTTTATCATGATTTATCTTATCAAGATTGCAATTCTTGGTCCACCTTGACCCATCGCCATATATCCCGATTACTCCTTATTTTGCTTATATTCCCATTGATATTTCCCTAACAATACCAGTAGTACCGCACAAGGCGGTGGCGGAAGTTTCAAAAATAGGAAACCTATAGGGGAGATTGGTTGCTGTGAATCACGGATGGCAGAGCGAATCCACTGATGGACAGAAAGGTGGTTGGAGCTGTGTTTTTTGGAGTGGCTGCAATGGTTGCAGTGGTCACCTGGTGGGTCACCTCACCCACAACTGCTGGATGTAGTGTGGTGTAGTGCAGCTGTAGTTGTAGTTGTAGTGTAGTGGAGTTGTAGTTGTGGTGTAGTGTAATTAGTGTAGTGTAGTTGCAGTTGCATTTGTTGTGGTGTAATGAGTGTAGTGTAATGTAACGGTAATGCAATGTAGTGTAGTGTAGTGTGGTGTAATGCAGTGTGGTGTAATGCAATTCGTGTAGTGCAGTTGTAGTTGTAGCTGTAGTTGTAGTTGTAGTGTAGCGTTATGTAATGTACTGTAGTTGTAGTTGCAGTTGGATTTGAAGTTGTAGTTCTAGCTGTAGTTGTAGTTGTAGTCAGTGTAGTGTAGTGTAGTGTAGTGTCGCGTGGTGTAGTGTAGTGTAGTGTAGTGTAATTGAGTGTAGTGTACTGTAGTGTAGTGGAGTGTAGTGAGGTGTAGTGTAGTAGTGTAGTGTAGCGCAGCGTAGTGTAATTTAATTAGTGAAGTGTAGTCTTATGTAGTAGTTGCTGTAGTTAGTGTGATGTAGTGTAATGTAGTGTAGTGTAGTGTAATCTGCACCTTCTTTCTTCTGACTCTTTCTCTTCTCTGATCTTCTCTCTTCTACTCTTCTCTTCTCTCTGACTCTTCCCATCTCTGCTTTTCATCTGTCCATATTGTCGGAAGTTTGCCTTCGAAACTTCCTTCGATGATAAATGCTATATCGGTATATCCTTATTTATTTTACCATTGAGTATTGTATCCCCATTAAATCCCCGTTGTGATTGTTTTTCTACAGTCAAATCCTAGAAATCATTCATTTCTTTGTTTATAAATCGAGTTATCATCACATAAAGGTTAAAAACTGACTTATATGTGGTGAAATCCAAATTATTGATGCTCAATTTTTTACAAATAGACTAATGTTTAATGGCCACAACTGTAACCATAAACCATCTCTGACAACTCACAACTTCTCCGCCCGAGGTTGTCAAGCGCATCATTTGGGCTGTGAGGAAGCTGAAAAGGAAAAGAAGGTGCCCATTCTCGGCGGACGCGTGGAAACTAAAGTTGAACTAATGTCTTAAGTGATGTTTGGAGTTTTTGCTTATGTTGTTTACGATGATGATAATGCTGATAGAGATGATATTAAATACATGAAGCCTGTATATTATATATATATATATGTATAATGCAGATAAAAATCGAGTATAACTTTGTGTAAACAAAGAGATTGACCAATAGCTAGACAGTCCCACAGTCCGCTAATTCCTCAGTACAGACGGCTCGGGAAACATCCGAGACATGGAGTTTCATGTCCTCAGAAAAATTGTTTTCAGTTTGGTTGATTTTTGTCAACTGGGTAATGTGGGCTGAAACTGAATTAACTGAATATATAAAATTAGCGTGCTTTAAAAAAAAATATATACATAATAATGTACACTATATAATATTATATATATATGGAGGCAAATATCATTTCATACACTCATGCGGAAATGGTCCACAACGACCTCGGGATGATCCCCAATGACCTTAGTTCAGGTTTTCGAATGGGGTTTAAATTGGGATTTTAATGTGATATAAACCAGAAATTGATGTGATGTATTATACCATCTGGTTATTTAACATAGCCATGGAAAGATCCACCATTTTTGATAGGTAAACCATCTATTTCTATGGGCCATCTATACCATGGTTATGTTAGTCATAACCAAAGGGTTTTTTTTCTCATTGTGATTTTCCCGGGTTCTTCGCGGTCACATGGGTCACCAGTATAAATCTCACTGCAGCGGGGAAGCCTTTGGTAATCATGGCTGGAAATCTCTCATGTCGTTGATGTTCCCATTTCTCCCATCATATATGTGGGATACTTCCTAGCTTGCCGTGCTGACTGAAAGGCAAAAACTCATAGCTGGCAATGGTTTTCCGAAGAAAAAAAAATCATTCACCCGGGACCCGGATTACCTACTGTAATGAATTAGGAGGTCACATGTGTAACTGTTGTTTTATCCCATTTCCCTCATTGTAAATATTGTTCAACATCAACCATGGTTTAATATGAAATCTACATAAATGATATGAAAGCTACATAGAAATTATAAACTGGTTGGTGGTTTCAAACATGTTTTATTTTCCATGATATATATGGGATGTCATCCTTCCCAGTGACGAACTCATATTTTTCAAGATGGTTATTGCACCACCAACCAGTTTTTTCAATTGACACATATTTAGCACCATTAATATGGAATGGGGGCCTTGAAAAAACCTGAACGGTGGATGGGATTGGTAAACCCTGATCCTTGCTGAGGCAGTCGTAGCAGCTACCACGGCGGAAGCGCTTGGCTCCTCAGAGACGCCAAATGCCAGAGTGACAGTGATCTGAAAAATAGGTTAATATATGGTTAGTGTATAGGATTGTAATGGGATAATCATCTTTATAATGGGATTATATACCAATAATAATGGTTAATGATGGATAATGGTTAATAATAATAATGTTTAATGATGGTTATATACCCTCTGGTTATGTCAAAATAGTTATTGAAAATAACCATAGAAATAGTGAGTTTTCCCATGAATAGCATGGTGTTTTTCCATAGTTATGTTAGTCTACCAGAGGGTATGAGCAAAGACTTAAAAGGTTCAGAAACCTCTACCTGAGAGGTCCTATGGTTGAACATATTTCGCGAACTATGGAAAGCGATATGGTGAACTACTTAAAAAGATATCTCAAATGAAGCATGAGATTGAAATCCCATATACATCCATGTACCAGGTTTATGGCCTGATTGGAATCCATACAATGTCTTCATGTTAAATCAACAGGTGCAACTGAGCCACATATTTGTACTATGAATGGCCTAGGGCACAATGTTTGTTTCTAGCGGACAAGCAAATGGTATCAGCACAGAATGGTATATGTCTAGCCATTACTCCGATGTCATCCTTCGAACATGGTACACCGGCAACATATGAAGGTTTCCTAAAATAGGGGTGCCCCCAAATACCCCCAAATCATCCATTTCAATTGGATTGTTCATTATAAACCATCCATTTTGGGGTACCTCCATTTATGGAACCCCCCATATCATCAACATCGACCATTCATAGTTCATATTCCCCATTCGCAACCAGTGGCGCCGGAGATTGGAAACCCCTATATGTTGACCATTGCTACCCGATGTTTGAGCCATGTTTGATCGTAGTTTCCGGTAGCCGAGTTGCTGATGGAAACTGTTGGAAACCATGGAAAAAATGGTACAGTTATGGCCATTTATTATAGTTGTAAGTTATATATAACTGGTTATAAATGGGATTATACATTCCATCAATGGGGTTAGTTCAGTACCTATAACTGGTATTTCGGGCCATAACTGTAGCCATCGGCCGAAAACACCTTGGCCGCTCGGCTCGAGGCCTCTGTATGACTGTCCCGGGCTGAGAACATGGAGATGACCCAGCTGGATAGTCGCTGGATGATCCTCGACTTTTGTGGTTCAATGGATCGATAAAAGAACCGGTGATGAACACCACCAGTTCATGATATTAACATTAGCCAAGAGATAGCATTAGCCAAGAGATAGGCAATAACATTAGCCAAGAGAATTCACTATTTCCCTCTAGTTCATTATTTTCACTATTTCCCTCTAGTTCATTATTCATACTTAGTCATACTTCATTATGTGTTCAATGGACCGGTTCATGAACCATTTATGAATTCATGATTAACCAGTTCATTCAGCATAAACCACAGAATTCACCTAGCTATAGCTGCTGGGCTATAGCCAAGGGGAGCTGAAACCAGGGTGGATTGTTTGGACACTAGGCCGAACGGGCTGGCCACATCACTGGAAATCTTGGCCAGAGAAGAAACAGGACCGAGACGCACCGAGAAACTCTCGGGGGTTACGGGGGGCGATGTCAACGGGGATTTCAGCTGCCAAAAAGTTGATTTGCACCAAGAAAAGTACCATCTGGTTATTTAACATAGCCATGGTATAGATGGCCCTAGAAATAGATGGTTTACCTATTAATAGCATGGTATTTTCCATGGCTATGTTAAATAGCAAGATGGTAGGGGTTTAAACCATCAACATGTGTAAGTTGATTGAAATGTTTTGGCTGAATCATGGATTCGGATGTGTTTGAAAATAGGGTGTATATATATATATATATACTCCCATATATGGGCAGTTTTGATGGATGAAAATGATGATAAACCAGTGGATTAGGGATGCTCTCTAACACAAGCCCAAATCTGTAGGAGCAAAATCTGATGGGTGGCTTACACTTTTCAAATCTTTTCAAGTGAGTCTAGTGTTTTTCTTTGGAGGGGATAACGGTTGAATTACTACATGCCCAGCACATCTTGGGACCGACTTTTACGGTGATGGTCATTCCCCCTGGTCATCGCTGCTATGGTGGGACTGATCAGGCGGAAAAGCAGCTACCATGGGATGATTCTCCAAGGATGGTGGGTAAATTATAACGACCTCACTACGACCTCACTGGAATCATGGTGAAAGTTCGGGAAATCATCCCCAAATGGCCTTAATTCAGGTTAGTGAAATATTATAATTTGCCCAGAAGTATGGTGATTCCAAATTCAGGGCTTTATCTGAAAATAGGGCGCCCGAAACTATCATGCTTAATCATCATATGGGTATGTCTGAAAATGGGGTATACCCCCAATGAAATAGCCATTTAGGGATAATGATCAGCAAAACCATTGGGTTTAGGGGTACACTATTTTCAGACAAACATCATATATTCCATGAAAACTGGCTCGAGATATCCCCCATTGACATGGAGCGGCAGGACTTCTGTTGCTCCAACTATGCGCGTGGCTGCAAGGACCGGCTGCAGGTTCCTGCGAGGATGGGATTAGTTCTGGGGAGGTGCCTGCGGCCAGAAATTCAACAGCCTGCCTCAGATTGAGGGGGTTATGGTGGGATGATTATTGTAGTGGCTTACACAACTATTATCACTTGGCCATCAGGTTCTGAGACATAAATTACAACGATCCAATTCCAACCAATTCCAACCAGAAACTCCAATAACTTCATATGACGCTGGTAGCACATCAGATCAAATGATTTTCCCGAACCAACATGCGGCTGTTGAACAGTCAGACATGGGCCATTTCCCATGGTATAAATGCCAGCCGCGAATCGGGGACCCCCTGGCGAATGCAGACAAGTAACCTGGCGAATATGGGAGACATGATCGAACTACGATCCTGCTTGAAAGCACTTTTGAGCATGTTTTTTTTTTGGTTGCTACATTAAATAATTACAGTCTATAGCCTTCCAACATCTTTTAGCATGGTTCATTTCAGGCTGATTTTGGTGATGACCCAGCGCATCCCAGCGCGATTTCTCTCGATACCAGGACAAGGGTGGTCTGCACGCAGAGACTTTGCAGCGTTCCACCGTTCCTGTGCTGGTCCCTGGTACTCCACACCTGTCCTTGCCCACTCTTACGGAGCCCTTTGATTGTCAGGCTGGGGAAAGAGTCGAACTTCATGCGGTCAAACAAGGATGGATGGCAATCCATCAAATCCCAGTAAAATTCCATCTACTTCATGGATTCTTAATGGATTTTGAGTGGAATTTGATAGATTTTCACAGATTCGATACCCGCCATCCGCTGTACTTAGCTCAATGGCGTACTTTTGTTGTGTGGCTTGCGACGCCAAAACCATCCTGATGTTGCTGATTCCAGGTGGATGTGGAATTGTTTGAAGGTCTTCACCAGCATTTTTCCCTACCAAAACGACATGTTCTTAGGAGGTATATTGGATCCTAAGAATATGGCTACATCAAATGATTCTGGTTGGTGGTTTGGAACATTCTTTATTTGTCCATATATGGGGAAGGATCATCCCAACTGACGAGCATATTTTTCAGAGGGGTAGGTATACCACCAACCAGTATTGTCTGTTCCATGGTTTTCCGATGTTGTCTATTGCTTTCCCATGTTTTCTTTCCATGGTTTTCCTATGGTTTTCCCATGTTTTTGTTCATTTTCCCATGTTTTTCCCATGTTTTAACCAATAACTTAAGGATGATTTTGTGGGGCCCACGGCGCCAGGCTGACCAGGTGAACTGGCACAGCGGGGTTGCCCAGGTCTTCGAAGCGAAGCATAACGGTGCTGTGTGTAACATGAATGGGGATATTAAATGGAGAATAATTATGTGTATATATATATATATGATTATATATATAATTATATATATAATTATATATATATATAATTATATATAATTACACATATATATATATATATAAATGTATATATTAATATCCCCATTCCTAAGGGGAATATCAACCACTAATAAATATCCTATGTTATGTGTGTACCTGTAGTATCCTATATTAAATATTTCTAAGGGGTATAATTATGTATGAATATATATATATATACATAAGATGATATAAGAGTTAAATGGTGAATAATATTTTGAAGAATCCATCATCTATCTATTCTACTTATAGGATGACTATAATGTATGTGTATATATATATATACCTGCAATATTGTTGCTGGGGAACTCTTTATGTATAGTCTGTATTGTGGTCCAAAACATTTTCGAGAATGTGCAACATTTCATATTGGAGTGTTGCACATCCACTCATAATGGAACTGAACATAGAAACATGTTTGAACATATTTCGGGACCTGAAAAACATGTTTATAGAACAGTTATATCCTATACGCTTTGTGATGGTTGTTTGGCTTTGGTGGGTCAAAAATGGTCAACATCAGAGACCCAAATAAAACTACAGTACACAAAAAAGGGCCATTGTTTAGTAAACCATTTTTAGGGCCAATTTGAAACCCCTAATTTTTGAGAACTCCAAGGTTATTTGGAACTATAGTTACTATAGTTGATTTTACATCAACTTAGTATCCCAACATGTGGGTACCACATATGTTTTGGGGGGGAAGAATGTCCTTTCACCCGGTGTATTTTCTCACCGTGTTCTTACCATTTTTGTTGGTGATCTTTATCGCACGATGGTTCAATAGCTCACCAATTTCTTTCATTCACAAACATGCTCAAAACTGGTGTATTGTTTATGATATACCTAGATTCTATCAAAAAAATCCAGCCTTTACAGGCTGGAGTTTAATCAAGATATTCTAGATGATGATATATGATGTAATGATTTTTTTTATGCACGAAAAGCGTGACGCCGTGTCTGGTTTAAGGCTGGAAATCCAGCAAGAAATCCTGGTGCTGCCAGAACAAAGACGTGGCCTGTGCGGAGCAAGTGCCGTGCTCGGCCCGGGGAAGCGCTTCGCCGCTTCGATCTGCCTGAAATCTTGATGTTTTTCCTAAGAGAAATGTGGATTTAATATGATTTAATAAGAGTTCATTGGGTTTCTATGAATAAAAAGGAATACAATGGGATATATTATATATTTGTTGAACATGGATACACAAAAGGAATAATACATCCATTTTATACCATTATATGGTGTCCATTTTACCGTATGATGTATCATATATAAACAACAATTTTGTTTTGGCTCTGTCTGAAAATGGTTACGTAGTATATTTTAGTTAGTATATCGCCAAAATAATACCTATTTTATAGGGAAGATTAAACATTTGTGGATTTGGGGAGACTGTATTTTCAGACAAACAGAATTTGTGGAGCGATGTGGAATCCATTCCTAGCAATTTATGGTCAAATTAAGGGGGGCTATACTTCCAAACACATCATGCATCCCGATATAATTGGGATCTATACTGGGGGTACCCTCCGGTAATCAAACATGGCTAGCTTGGAAATCCAAAATGGATGTCTTAATGGGAAAAAACAACTACAATCCATAAATTGGTGATTTTGAATTGCAACGTGTGATTACAGGAGGGCATATGCAACAATCGGGGATAATATGGATAGAATGGGGATATCATTTGGGCAAATCATAATGACGACACCACAACCTCACCAAATATTATGGATCGTACGGGACATGATTTCCACATGTGTTTACTCTTCGGAAAAATCAAACATGGCTAGCTGGGAAATCTCTATAAATGGGAATTAAATTATAATCGAAAAGTCATCTACAAACCGAGGATTTTCTATTGCCGGGTTTGATTACGGGAGGGATCGGGATGGAATTTCAGGTTGGCAACAGTGAGTCAATATGATTGATTTAGAAAAGAAAACATGAATTTATACAACTATTTAATGAGTAAAATGCTGCATGGACTCGTGATTGGAATGCATATGTTGTTATGATGCAAAGTGTTCATCCATCATCCCAAGTATTTGGAATCCACTCAACATGAATCCACCAAATTGATGGGGAAAATGAGCTTAAATTAGTGATGCCTGTTGCACCCTTTTGTTTTAGTCAAGCTAATATGACCAGAGGTCTCACAGTTGTTCGATCGAACATTCGTAAAGTTCCTTTCGTGTTTCTATACGAAACGCTGTTGGTGATTTCATCAAGTGTTTTGATCAACCTCTATGCCATGTATCTAGGTGAATTATAACGACCTCACTGCGACCTCACTGGAATCATGGTTAATAAGGCGAATCATCCCAAAATGGCCTTATTTCAGGTGTGTAATTATTATAATTTGCCCAGATGTATCATCCTCATCCATACTGTTAAGCCGGGGTGCGCGACATGTCAATTTTCCTAAACAACACAGTTTTGTAAATGAACCCAGTGCATTCTTGGTTGGTGGTATGGAACATGACTTTTATTTTCCATAATATATATATATATACATATGACATCCTTCCCATTGACGAACTCCATCATTTTTCAAGATGGTTATTGCACCACCAACCAGATATAGTTAATTGTATTGTTAATGGGATTCCCATCATATTAACCATGTATTCCCATCAAGTCTCTTGACGAGTTATTGCATATGAACCTCAGCGAGCACCCATAATTTTTTGTTCGACGGATCCTTGATCGACGGATCGCCCATCCGAGCCCATCAGCAGTCCATTCCATCCGATGTATATACTGTATATATATATGTGTGTGTGTGTTATGGTATATTATTATATAATTATATATATATATACTAGCTGGTGGTTTGGAACATGACTTTTATGACTTTCCATATATTGGGAATGTCATCATCCCAACTGACGAACTCATATTTTTCAGAGGGGTAGGTATACCCCCAACCAGTATATATATATATATATCCCTATGTTATGGCAATGGGTCAAAGTTGGATGGCCAAAATGTCCGAAACATGAATGGGTTGACGAATGGGAACATCTACAGGAAATGATTGTTTTATCATGGTTTATCATGTTTTATCCACAAATAGAAAGTGTTATCCAATTCTGTAGGATAAGAGTAAATGTGAAGCGAATTTTCCATGGACATCTGTGAGACTGCACTTGATTGTCTTAAATCTTGAAATATGGTTGCAGCATCCCGATATCAATGTGCCCCCCTCCAGTTGGAAGCTGGTTTATAAACCCCTAAGTAGAGTTATGTGCGTATCATAAACCATATTAGAGTTATAAGATCTTATGAACAAACTTAGCTATCATAAACCAGGGCCCCACTTTGTATGGGTTTGTGTAATACACGGCTACCCCAACATTCGCCTCAGGGAAACTTCGATTGCGATGCCCGGGCGACCCTGTCGGACAACGTGGCGGCCGTGGCGTGCCCTTTTTTTATCGGATCAGATCAGTAGATTCCGATTAAACTAATTATTACTGGTTGGTGGTTTGGTTATGGGATTATATACAAATAATAGTGGTTAATGATGGTTAATGATGGTTAATGGTTAATAATCACAGGTTGGTAGTTTGGACCATGACTTTTGTTTTTCCATTTTTTTTGGGAATGTTATCATCCCAACTGAACTGACTAATATTTTTCAGAGGGGTTCAAACCACCAGCCAGATTAGATTGTTGTTGTGTTGAAGGGTTTTGAGATGATTTCAACTTATTTTTGACTGTGGACAGCTGGGCAAATCAAACGCTGGGCATTTGTTTTCACCTGAAAGCGCCCCCTGGGCCACCAGGGTCTGCGGATGGTAACAGCCTGTGCAAAATAGACAGCATGTGCAATGCAAATGGAATGTATGACTAAGCCAAGAGAAGCTGGTTTCACAGACTCCCCAAAATTATGTTGGCTTAGTCATCAGGTTGAGCGTCCCAGTGGACAAAAGCTCTCTCAGAGGCTCTCTATTGCCATGTCTTTTCGTCAAACAATCCACAACCATCTTGGTATGAGGAATCCACTTGACAGAAGTGCCAGTTTCACAGAGACTCTGACGTATGACTTGCATTTCTATGGCCGTTCGCCGATCTTCGGCGATACCTACCGTCTCCTTTGACAGGTGATCATATAAAGACTTTGCATCAATCAGGCAAATGTTCTTTCTAAGTTCCTCGCTCAGATCATCTTTGGCCAACGCATGAAGTCGTCGTTGACGGGCTTCGCGGTCCCATTCGCGAAGGTCGAAACCTGGCATCGTGAGTTCAGAGAAGACAGTGACTGCCCATGCCAATTCGCCCAATCCTTTTGAAAGTGCTTGAGTTTCTGCTGCCAGTGTGGAGTTTACCACTCGATGGATTTTGCCGCTCTTCCAAAATAAAAGGTTTGCTTTCCCTTTTCCATGATTCACCACTTCCTCTTCATAGCAAAGCACTCCAAACGCACCTTGTGATGCGCATCCTGTGGTATTGGCCCAACTGGCATCTGTGATCACACCCCAGCACATCTTGGCTAGATCAATTGGCTGGATGGGCACAGTAAGCTGTGCATCCTGTTTGACTTCTCTGATGATTTTATTCAGGTCAACAATGTCCTGAATTTTCAAACGATTCAAACAACCTGCTATCAAACTCGCGGCAGCTGCACAATCTGGCCTGCCCTCCTTGGCAGCCCACGTCACTGCACCGATTGCAGCTCGGGTCATGCTTCGTTCTTCTTCTGTTGCTAATTCCTCTTTTTGTTGTCCTCTACCTTTCTGCAAATCCACCTCAAACAACCTCTCAGCCACAAACTTCTGCATGTCTATCACGAAGCCTTTGTCTTCTCCCTGTTTGATTCTACGCCCATTGAATCCTACGCCCTCGGGGTGCTCATCAAAGAACATGAACTTGCCAAATTTGAAACGATTGCGCAGCTCATCGACTTTTTGATAGTGCTTCTCGTTTCCCAAAGACAAAATGTCATCTACCTCCACTATGAGAAGACCTTCTAAGCCTTCGCTGCTCATCAGCTTGAAAACGCAAGGGTCCATGCTTGACTGGACGTATCCCAACTCTAGGATGACCTTTTTCAATGATTTTCTCCAATGAGCTGGTGCGTCGCCCAGCCCGTAGGCACCAGCTAATATCTCAATTAGCTGTCCGGGCTCCATGCCGTCCAAACCTCCTCTTGGCTGACGGCAAAACAGTCTGCCTTCTTTTCTTCTCAGCTTGTCTGACTGCATGAAGGCATTCTTGAGATCTCCCACTGCTCCTCTGAAACCATAACTGGCTGCCACCTGCAAAGCAATGGACTGCCGTGGTGACCGTGGGAGCATAGCGATCCAACATCAAAAGATCAGGATCTTTATCACCACGGACACACCACCGAGACTTTCTTGATGGGGCTTGTCCCGGCTGCTCTGATGGTTTCCATCTTCGCACAACGCGAGATGGCAAGATGCGCTTTTCAGCGCCAGTCTCTCGGAGCTGCCTTTCCACCTCTTTGGATTCTTCTGTGCTCATCACTCTAACAGCTCCTGAAGCTGCTACCTTGGCCCATTCCTCCGCATCTGCCTTCCTCCACTCTGCCCACTCTTCAGGCTTGATGTCCTCTTCCTTGACTTCATCTGAGCTTTTGCTGCTTATATAGCTCTGCCCTGCTCTACGTGCCTTGTTGGTGTTCTTGATGTAAAACTCTGTGAATCCACTCCAGCTTCTTGGAGGCCCTTCCGTCTTGGCGCCTTTGCGCCAATCATCCACTACCTCCTGAACATCTCCATCTTGAAACTTTCTGACTGTTCTTCGGGTGCTCATGAGATGCACTGCCTTGATTGGACATCCCTTTTTCTCGCTTGGACCAAACTTCCACTTTCTGTCGTGGACGTGGTATCTTCTCAAAATCGTACCACCCTCGTCCATTTCCCAGAAGTCTTCATCATAGGTGTCCTTCATTTGTGCTTCAAACTCTTCCTCCTCCAAGGTCCACCATCCATGCGTGTATGGCTTATACCTCATTTCGCTCAGTCTGCTTCTGAGCGATGCTGGTCCAAAAGCTGGGTTTCTGGGCAAGGTGCCATCCAAGCCCTCATTGTGTCTTACTGACTGTATTGCCTGCTCCATCTGCTGTGCCGGGATTGCTATCCCTTCCTTGGATCGAGCCGCTGCCGCTTCTTGTGCGGACTCGTCCAGTGGCACCTGTGTTGCTGCTGGTGCTGCTGCTGACTCCTCTTCTGCTGTTGAGCTGCTGGAGCTGGTGCTGCTACTGCTGGTGCCTGTTCTTGCTGACACTTGAGCTCGGGTAGGCTCGCTCGAGCCTTGATCGTCATCTTCATCATCTTCCATGGGCAAAGGTGGCCCACCAGGGTCTTCCTCCTCATCTTGATGGTCACTCTCGACCGCCTCTTCATTGTCTTCTCGCTTGCGTTTGCGACCTCCTTCGAGGGATGACTCCTCTATCTCATCTTCCTCTGGTATGGCCCACTTGGTGATGTCTTTGAAGCCACGTCGGCTTCCCTTTCTTTTCAAATCTTTGGCCAGCTCCTCGAATTCTTCTCTGAGAAGTCCGAAGGCCTCCTCCTCTTCACTGGTGGCGCTTCTCACTTGCTCCATGGCACACTTCCATAGTTCGCCCCGCATGGAAATCCATACGTTTGGCCCTTCTTGCAAGATGACTGCTCCAGGACCGCACCACACTGCCCTACGCCGCTCCCTTTCTACATCATCTCCTCTTCGCGGAAGTGGCTTGCGATAAACAAAGACCTTGTCGCCTGGCTGAAAAGACTTTCTGATTCTGGTGCGGGCTCGCTGTCCTTTAGCGATGGCCTCCCTGGTGGTGTGCCTCAGAAACTCAGTCATCGCAGTGTCCCTCATCTCCAGGGTTCTTCTGATCTGAGACGTTGCGGTGCTCTTCATCAAGTTGGCATCGTAAACGTCATCGCCTGCCAGAGATCCTGGCAGCCTGACGTTGATCCCCAGCTGCCGTTGGGCAGGAGAGAAGCCGGATCGGTTGAAAAGCCTGTTCTTTGCCATCTCTGTGGAGTAGATGCATTGCTTCCACTCCTCTGCTCCCTCTGGCTGCACCTGCTCTCTTACCTTCAAGAAGACCTCCTTAGCTAAACCACCATGACGCTCTGTTCTGCCCTGTTGCCATGGCGCTCTGGCGCCAATCGTTCGGACAAGAGCTCCTGACTCATTTGCCTGCTTGCCAAATTCTCCTAAAAACTCGCGCCCCTGATCAACCACTATGATCTCAGGAATGCCGAAGGTTCTTGCCCACGACTGTTGAAACTTCGTCCAAACATGCTGAGCTGACTTCCCCTCCAGTGGTTCCAACATCTGGTAGCACGTGGCCCAATCTATGATGTTCAAAACAGGCACGCTCTCTCTGGGTTGCACTCCCGGAAAGAAAACGATGTCTACACCAACCACCTTGCCAGACTCATAGTGCTGCGGGATCGCCGAAGGCCGTGCAGGCTTCGGCTTCTGATGTGCCTTGCACACATCACAGGAAAACTCCTGTTTGACGTATCTTACCACCTCCTCTCTTGCCTTGGCCATCCTCAATGCTCTGCAAAAATCAGGAGTGCTTGGGTGTCCTAGGTTTGCGTGAAGCTTGGCTACTCTTCTCTTGTCTGCTGCTGTGATTTTTTTGGGAAGACCTTCTTCCTCTTCTTCCACATCCTCCTTGTCCTCTGGGGCAGCGCTCTCGCCTACCCTCACTTCCTGACCTGCCTGTTCCACCTCTTCATCAAGCATGTCTTCTAGGTCTCCCTCATCTTCGCCTTCACCTAGCCACTCTTCATTCACAATCCAAACTTCGCTGTCTGTGATCTCCTCCTTCAGGCCTCGAATCATGGCCTGACACAGTTTGGGTGGATACTCCTCTGCCTTCTTTGCTCTACCACCCATAAGGTGTTGATGCGGATGATCTCCGCTGCACCTCCTGCTGAGTTGGTTGCGGATCCTAGGAGAGTTTGACAGGAAACCTGTGGGTTTCATGTTGAGTTCTTCCTCTGGTCGAACTCGCAGTCCATACTGGCATTGATCTCCTACGACCCGCTCCACCCCTTCTAGGCTCCATGCTCGCTGCACGCATGGCTCCTTCCAAGAAGCTGCCTCCTTTGGATGCTCAAAAAGTGCCCACTTCCCTCTCCTAACCTGCCACTCAAACACCTTCATTGCGAACTCCAAGTGCGCTACGCCCGCCGTGATGATGCACATTGCTTTCTTCACATCCATCTTCGGGTAGTTCAGATTCTGAACCATGGAAAAAGGGCCACACGGTGGACTGATGGTGATCAGATCTGGATCCTCTTCCTTGAGTATCCTCATACATCTGATCTGGTCTTCTTGCTTGGACAGGTCGAATCCAGTGAGCAGGTCAAAAGACGTTCCTGCTTGCATCCCTTGCCGTTGAGCTTCTTTGGACACCCTGGGTCTGGAATAGAGCTCTGAAACTTTGATCTCTTCCATCTTTCGTGATAGTCGCTTTCTGCAGCCTTTCTGCAGGGTGCGATCTATCTCATCCAAATAGTGCTCCTCTGTGCCTTGCGGCGTCACCGCAATCATCACCTCAGATCGTGGTGAAACGTCAGGCAAAATCCCATGGTGAAACTTCCATTCACTGGCTTCCTTGATCCAGAAAAACGGATGCACTTCCCTCATACTCTCTGGGAGGTGCATATCCTCAATCTGCCGCTTTGCTGCTGTGTTCCATGCTGCTGCATGGAGGATCTTTGTTGCCCAGGGGGCGTGCTTCATCTCCTCATCCTCATAGTTTCGCTCTTCAGGGCCCTTTATGCTGACATGTTCTGTTGTTCCAACTGTCTCCTCATCTCCATAGCTCTTGCCACTGTCTCTTGGTGCACTGTGGGATCTGTCATGGCCTGTTGCACTCGTTCCTCTCCTGCCACCGTCGTCATCCACATCAGCTGATTCTGCAGGTATTCCACCTGTGACAGGTGGGCTTGCTCTCTCTCCTGCAGGATCTCCGAGTGACGGGCATCTGCTTGAATCACTGCCGTCTCCATCATTCGTTGTGCCTCCTGCGACATTCTTGCCTGCGTCGCATGAAGCATTTCCTCGCTCTCCTTCAGCCTCTCTTGTTGACTCACCAGCCTCTCTTTCATGTTCTGTATCTCTGTTGCATTCATCATGGGACCTTGGCTCCTCAACTCTTCGATCTCGCTCTGATCCCAATGGAAAAACTCGCACACTCTGCGGTGGCACTTGTAAAAATGCCGCCCCTTCGTTGGTCCAGCCTTCTTCACCACCATGCGCTCTGCAGGCATGCCGCACTGGCATACCACCCCAGGAGCTCCCGGAGATTGCATTGCCACTGACGGTCCTCCTCTCAGAAGGCTGCTGGGACTCTCTATGCTTGCCGTGCTCTTCCTGGCTGGAGTCTTTGGCGCCGCCATGGGTGGAATTGTTGCAACTTTCCACCTCATGTGACACTCTTGACACCAGACCTCCCTCTGATGCTGATTGCCTGCGCCTGCCAAGCTCTTCGGCGGGTGGCTGCACAGAGATGGCACAGTGTTGGGAGGCTTTGCACATTTCCTCAGCCCAAGCGGCACACCCGACAGGATCTGCTGGGCCATGAACTCGTGCTTGTCGGTAAGCGCCTGAGATCCAGGCAAAGGAGGAATCAGGTTGGAGCTTGCTGGCATCGCTGGACTGGGCACATGAGGCGAGTACCCAAAGAGCGATCCACCGCCTTGCCAAGGACCAACCTCCTCGGAGGGTGGACACACGTTGACCCATTCCAGAAGCTTTTTCACCACCACTCGCCAGCGCAAAAGAAGCCGCGGGCGCGGAGAACTTCCCCTCGGTGAGGTAGATGTCTCCATGGCCGCAGAAGACTTGATCGTCATGATCAGGCTGACGGCGGGGATCTTTGATCACTTGCTTGATGCTTGACATTGCTGCAGCCAGAGTGAAATCGCAAGTCTGACGACCTCTGGCAACTGCTTCTTTTGGAGCTTCCCATCCATCTTTTGCAAATTCCAAAACTGAAATAGAAAAATGACCTGACGGCATACGTTGCATTGGAACCTTGACCTCAAACTTCTGCATCTCTAGTTCACACTTCTTCAGATCAATCTTGGCTTGGACGTTCTGCAAAAGATTCACTGGTATGAGAAGCGGCACATCGTCTTGAACTACAGTGGTTTCAAGGATGCCATTGATTCCGCCCAATCCCAATGGTATCTCAGCAACTCCTACCACCTTTGCACTACCTCCGACTCCTCTAGCACAGCCTGTCTTCTCTGACCATGAAATGCGCAATCCATGACTTCTCAAAGCTGACTCTGACTTGACCAAAGCACCATGCCCTACCAAACCGTTCTGAGCTGCTGTGTCTACTATGCCATGGGATGCCATCGTGCTCAAACCACAAAATTCTCCTACTGCATCTGGATGTTGATGTTGATCGATGTGACGCACCAAACACTCACCCAAAGTAATTCCTACTTTCCCCAGTGAATGAAACTGACTGCCTTCCAAACGATCACCTCCAACTTCGCAAAAACCAGATTTCCCTGACATGCTAGCAGTGTAACTTTTCCCGGTGCTGGAAGATGCCGCAGTGCTGTTGGCCTTCTGACGCGCATAGTCGTCCATGGCCCCTGTACATTCCTTGGCCCAGTGGCCGATGGCTCCGCAACGCGCGCAGCGCGTACGGAGTTTGAGTTGCTCCACATGCACTCTTTTCATGGCCCGGTCATCTCCCTTTCCACTCTTGCCTTTGCCCTTTCCCTTCACACCACCAAAAGGGAAGCCACGAGCATTCTTCTGGTCTTTGATGGCTCGACGAACCTGCTGGTAAGTGGCCAAGGCATGGTGTAGATCTCCTTCTTCGAAGATCTGATCTAGATCTCCCTCGCCCACATAAACAAACTGATCGCTGTCGCCACCCTCTGGGTCAGACTCCATGCCCGGGTCATTCACAAAGACTTCGCCCTCTTCCATGACAAAGTGCTTACCACCCTTCTCCTTCTGGACCTTCTCTAACTTCCTGAGTGCTTTCACCACCTTGTCTCTCTGGTACTGTCCTTGGGTCCAAGTCACAACTTGGTCTTCCTGCATCTGCGTCAGACTCGCCTGACGGAACATGATGTACCCCTTCACCTCATCAGCTAAAGGCACCTGCTCGTCAGCCAACTCCTTGAAGTTTCGGTCCATGCGTATGATGAAGTCCTGCAGGCTTTCACGCGCTTTCCTAGCCTCTCCATAGACTGCTCTCTCAAATGCCTTAGGCATTGCAGCTTCAGTGTGAGGTTGAAAGTGCTCTTCGAGCTTGCTGATAATTGCCTTGACGCCTCTCTCAGACTTCAAAACCTCAAGATCTATCTCTTGAGCCGCTGCCCTCGCAATACCGCCCAATTGGCGGAAGATTTTCACTGCATGCTTGTTTCTGGGGATATCTGTCTCCCACTGCCACAACTCTAGTTCTTTGAGGTACACCTTGAACTCTTCTGGGCTGCTACCATCAAAACTTGGGGGTGGATCCCTATCTCTGCCACCCGGAGCCGGTTGCTCTGCCGACGTCGCCGCTGCCACGTCCTCTCCATCCATGGAACCTCACGAGGCCCCGCTACCACTGTGGACAGCTGGGCAAATCAAACGCTGGGCATTTGTTTTCACCTGAAAGCGCCCCCTGGGCCACCAGGGTCTGCGGATGGTAACAGCCTGTGCAAAATAGACAGCATGTGCAATGCAAATGGAATGTATGACTAAGCCAAGAGAAGCTGGTTTCACATTGACCCATACCCACTCATTGTCCTCTTCGTTAATTAAATTGAATCTTAAAGAGGGTGTTTGCAGCATCCAGGCTGTAATGTGTTCAGGCGACAAAATTCATCTATCTCCGCGACAGTGCTGGAGGTTTCTTAGAATGAGGCCGTTGAATTGTCCAAAATCGAATGATTTAATCCTTGATCATATTTAATATCATCTTTTATGGATGATTTGGCAGTAACCTTTTAAGAAAGACCTGAATCGGTTAACCTTTGAAGAGTTGGTGTCTCTGACCTTGACCTTACTTTAGTGACGAGAATCACTGCGAATGAAAGAAGGATATAACATTTGGTTGGCCGTGTGGTATAGCGTGAACCTGGAATCCTATGTGCATGCATGTATGCATGCATGATCATCATCATCATCATCATCATAATCATTACTATCATTATCATCATCATCATCATCGTCAGATGCTGTGTGTTCTCCGTTGTACTAATGTCCATTACAACTGGATTGTGTGATAGTGTTTGGGCAACCTATAATGACCTGCTGTGACCTCACTGGAATCATGGTTAGTAATTAAAGGGAATCATCCCCAAATTTATAATTTCCCCATATATTATCGGTTAATATCGTTTACATATGATTACACATAGTCTAAAACTATATGCACATAGATTATGTTTGACATTGTATCACCATAAATAACATTTAGTTTCATGAATATCCATAGAGAACTTGTATCACTATACAAATTAGATATATATATATATAACTACACAAAACTACAGTAACTACATACATTCTTAGTGACATATATTTTAGTGATTTTATATGTCCGTGGCCGCAAAAAAGTTATGCAACACGTGTCGCTCGTCACCGAGGCTGGAGCCGTGAAGAGCTGGAAATCCCAAAAGAAGGACCGATGAGCGATGATCCGATGTCCGGAGGATACCATGGGGTATACCTAATAAAAGTATATAAAAGTTCATTTGGGGATGGTTTATTGATGTAGCAACCACATTTGAGCCTTGGATTTACTGAAGATGATGTGTTATTTTCTCCTTGGGAAATCCACTACTTGGGGAATATCTATTTTTTTGGCGGGGGGTCCTTAAGCAAATCCATGTTATACGCACAGAACTGTACTTCATCGGGTTTATTTCGATGGGATAAGCGAGATAAGCGACCGGATGGGGACATGATTTAAACAACAAAAAAGACATAGTTTTACCAAGAAACAATGGGATTCGCCAAGCCAATAAATAATGGACGTGATCAGTATAACAATGGCGAAATATCTCCGTAAACCAACTGCGAAAGGTAGTTCGCCATGTCTTAATTTTCGTCACAACTGGGGAAATATTCAGTTCATCTATAAATGATTAGCCCCAAGAGTCTTAGAATTTGGACTTTGATTAAGTTCGTATTTAACACATCATTGTTATGTTATTGAAAAGTTAAGATTTGCTATACTGTATAATCTGTATATGTATATAGGGAGGACTCGCTGCCCCAGGACTACTGCTGTTTGTATCAGAAAAAGGGCTGCGAGTTCTAGGTCGGAGAGCTCAGCGTGGGGGGTTGAAGATCATGATTTTCCTGGTGGTTGCACAGACGAATGGGAATTTAACTATCAACAATGGGACTACTGGTTGGTGGTTTGGAACATGTTTTATTTTCCATAATAATGATATGGGATAACCCTTCCCATTGACTAATATGTTTCAAGATGGTTGAAACCACCAACCAGAATATCATGGAATATAACAGGGCCTAATATCATCCAATATCAACCATAGGGATATAACAGGGATTTGATGGAAATATAATCCCGTTGGGAAGCGAAGTTGTGGTTTGCTGGAAGACCACAGCTAAATGGAGGTTTCTAGCTGGAAAAATCATCCAATTAAATGTGTGATTTTCAATTGCTGTGTTTGATTATTGGTAGGTCAAAGATGTTTACCAAGTATTTTTTCCATCCGAATTTTCATGATTCCCAACTCAGAAGCTTTGACGTTTCGGATGCGCACCACCAGGGAAAGCTTCCATAACTTGGCCCTAGAAACCAGTTATAAGATGTTGTAAGTTAAAAGTCAGTTTTAATCCCATTTCTGGAAACTATAAACCTGTATAATCCCATAGAAAAAGCCATAGAAACAACGTGAAACAACTGGTTTCAAGGGCCATAACTGGCCTGTCTCAAGCCTGAGATACCTCGAAATCCAGTTGGATGGGCAAAATCTCACTTTTTTTCCCTCAGTAAACGAACAGTTCGCTATGGAAAATCATCATTTTTCATAGGCAAACTATGGCAAATCACAATTTTTAATGGGAAAACTATGGAAAATCACCATGCTCACTATGTAAACCAACTATTTCTATGGCAATGTTCAAGCTATGTTAAATTACCAGAAGGGTAATCCCCATGAAATTTACTGTGTGTCATATTTACCCATAGTATCCAATGGTTTTTCCGAAGCTTAGTTGAGATTCATAGTCTATAATCCCCATGCTTACCCATAGTATCCAATAGTTACCAACTGCAAAACGCGGAGCCAAGGGATTTGTTGGCGAACTGAGGAACTGAGTCGCCTGGTACCCAAACGGTACCCTAAGATACCCTAAGTCATGGCTGAGATAAATGGATGGTTATGATCCCCAAATTTCATATGATCGTTTCATAGCCAACTTGACACATATGTTTCCAATGATTGATGTTGATGGTTTCCTGCAATTTACCGGTATACCATGGACAGAAAAACACAAAACACCCTGGGCATAATTGTTGTGAAGGCAATGGGGACAATGGTGATAATCCATTGGTGGAGTGCCAACATCTTTAGACAAAGCCATGGGGACATGTTGGTTGATGTTGAATAGACATATTTCCAGATGTTCCATTGATTGTTTTTTTTTAAGGCTTACTGCTGACTAAGCAACTAGTAGGATACATATACTTAATAACACAGAGTACCACCCCTCCATATACTGTATGTCCCTCCACAAGGACATCATATGTTGCGGTCCTTTCCAGTAACCAAACATGGTTTGCTGCAAAATACCCTAGAGTTAATTCGATGATTTTGCGCTAATATTTATTTAGATAGATAGATAGATAGATAGACAGACAGATAGCTAGCTAGCTAGGTAGGTAGGTAGGTAGGTAGATACATAGATAGATAGGTAGATAGATAGGTAGATAATTAGATGGGTAGACGATGCCTCGTTCGGGGGTTTCCCAGTTGCCCGCCATGGCCATGGGGCCATGATGGCACAAAATGAGCGTGCCAGAACCACTCAGCAATGCCCCTTTTCTCCGAGGATTGACGAAGCTTCTATGTTTCACCCGATCGGCATGGCTGGCGGACTGAAATCAGTCCCTCGGACGAGACGCCTGCAAGGAATGTTATATAGCAATCGCGAAAGATCGTAAAGTCATTTGACACTCTTCTAGTAAAAGTTGTGATTTCCATCATTTTGGGGTACGATAGGACTATAGGCTATAGGGCTTTACACGAGAAAATCCATCATGTTGTTCATGGGATTTGATGGGTTTGAATGGGTTTACAATGTGGAACCACCGGGCAAGAACCATCTATAAATGCTTGTTTTATTGAAGCCTGGACATTTGCTTGAATTTCTTGGGTGACGGAGGCAACATGAGCTAAGGGTGGAGGGAGCCCAGGCTAAAAAACGTTTTTGATGAGCAAAAAACGGATCCATGGAATACGGAGCCTTTAAATCCGTGGGCCTCTCGATTTTCAGATTCTCTGAGGGTCGGGATTGAACAAACACCAACACGTGCCGGTGCTTTGCAACATCAGGGACCACGAAATAGCCTATCGAAAGTGCTGAAACTAAAAGTCCCAAACAAATATTGCTGGATACAAGATGATATAAGAAACTTAGACTCTGGTAAACTAACATAGCTATTGAAAATCACTATCTTTAAGTTCGGTAAATCAACAATAAATGGGCCATCTATACCATAGCTATGTTAGTCATAACCAGAGGGTAGTTGTCAGTTTTAGATTTGCCAATTTTTCAAAGGTACTGAATCTCAGGCGCAGAGGGAAGAGGATGTTTCTATTGCAGCAAGTCTCTGTAAGTGGGTTCAATGCTTCAATTTCTACGGCGTCTAGTTTTCTATGTCTAGTGAGTCTAGTAGATGGATCATTGTCTTTCCAATGAAGCATCTATAATTAATTTGCGAGATTTCAAATACATCATTAAGACCAGAATTAGCTACTCATCCCATCTTTGGTGACTATGGGGAGTTATATAAAGTTAAATCAAGTTATTATTATATAGCAGTTACATATATATAGATCTACTGTTGTTCTACTACTAATTATATATTTATATATACTAGCCAATAATTCTTTGGGTTTTCAATCATCATCTCTGGATGCTTTCCTCCAAAACACGTAGGAATGACCTTGCAGCCCCTTAAAGATAGCGAATCCCGGGTTTCGCTTCCCAGGTTGGCCGGTGAAATTCACGGCAATTGCATCGCTGCGACGTCGGTCCGGCACCACAAAACCGGAGGGGTCCCAAGCCACGGTTTGAAAGGTGGCTAGTCATTGCTGGTCTTTTACTCCCAGATATTTCATGGGAAAAAATAGGAATCAATTCCATGTAAATTACCATATTTCAAGAGGAACAAAAACAATATCGTTTCGTGTAGATGTTCATTGACTTTGGCTCAATTAAATCATCCAAATGAATGATGTGAAGTAACACACAATGCAGCAAAAAAAAATGATTTGGCCTCAATGGGGATATGTCCGACGAAACTGGTTTGCGTCAAAGATGGTTGCCTCTTCCCATCGTACAGGTATAGTGTTGGTCTGGATACTTTTTCTATGTCCATAATGCCCCTTACAATGACACACACATATCGGTAAATATACCACAATATACCCTACATAGCCAGATATAGAAGAATTCCAATCATTTTTTCCATGAGCGATTGGACCAACTTGTTTTTTCCTGGCAAACATTGCCAGATGTGGAGTTTATCCTCAGTGCAACCTCAGCATAGATGAGGGGACTCACCCCACTTGGGTGTATTTTAGATGTTTTGAAATGTACAATTTACATGGCTTACTGATGGTTTCAAAGTAAATTGAATTGTATATTCCTACATTCTAAATGCAAACCACAGATGTTCATAATCCATGGCTGTCCCTTCAAGCATTTTTGTTGCCCCACCATGTGAGGTGGCGAAGAACTCGGTTCGCGGCTTCCTGTTGAGAGTTGATGGCTTCCAAAAACGGGTTGGGGTCTGCAAGATGCCACATGATGCCACCACTATCAACCGTGAAAATTGGCATGTGGGAAGTTCGTGAGCATAACGTGGGAAAAAACAATGCCATAAACCAAACATGACTGGGAATGGTAAGCATACGACCTGCCTATAAAAAATGGTGATGACTGGGGGATGGTCTATGACATTGTTTTGCCCGCATTATACAAACAAATACGGATATAGCAGAAGCATGTGCGGAAACATACAAAGCGACGGACATCTGGCTGAAAAACCAGCAAGAATCCGGATTTAGGCAACAAAACAGTAGATTCAACTCAAGCAATCTTGAATGGTGGTGGTATGTAGTTGGTAGAAGCACAAGCTCTGAGCATTTCAGGTTTACCTGACCATTAAGACTGACAATCCGGGACGTTCAACCACAGGGCTCTGAGAACTAAGATCTGGTCTCAGGATGCAACAGAAACACCGATATCCTGATATTTAACATGGGGCTACAGGATGTGATAGCCGGCACAAATCTCTAGATCTAGCCATCCATCATGTAGTCTATAGTGGTTCAATATCTCTCGTACGAGCAACTTCTCGTACAATCTGATGTTTTCACAGTAATCTCGGCAGTCTTTATGAATCTTACGGCTGGAGCGTTACATTCATTCATATTTATTGCATTTGGTTAAAATGTGGGTGCCCATAGAATCACTCCTCGTCGCAAAAGTCGTCAGAAACGATCAACTCGCTTTGAGGGAAGTCTTATTAGGGGCAGTGCCCACACAAAACATGTCATGATTTCCCGTGACCAGTGCAATTTCTGCTGCGAAAAAAAACATAGAATTCCCATGTATTATATACCCCCTGGTAAATTAACAGTTGGACCCTGAAAATCACCAAATTTTAATGGACATGAATCTTCCAGCCCCTATCTGCCAGGGTCTATGTTAATGTAGATGCAGGAAATGCACCCCTCAAAGTGCTGCACTCATGAAACGGTTGTAAGAACATCAAAGCTGTACGGTAAAGGGTCATTGGGTCAGACGGTATGAATGAGAATACATATGCTTAGTTTCCTATAGAAACTCGAAGTGACTCTTAAGATCTCTTAAATTTACCAACAATATCCAACAATAAAAGTATGTAAGCGCTCAAAGGGCAGATCCCAACTATAACTCTTTTGTACAATGCATGGAGCACCTTCGCTGCAACAAAGAAAAAGAGGCCAGCAGCTTGTCGCTGGGATGCTTGGGAGATGAAGGTGTCATTTCATGGATGTTTTGGATTTATCATTAAACAATATTCAATGGCCATTGTTATTTTGTTCCATTATCTCCGTTATAACGATAGATTGTATGATTATCTCTATTATGTTCTATTATCTCAATAGCCATTGTTATTTTTCATTATATCAACCATTAGTAAAATCATTAGTACTTGTATGATCTTGTATATGTACTTGTTATAACGTCCATGATTTACCATTGCATCCATTCGCCCTTATTATCATAACCCCTAAAATCGACCACCTTGAAGAAATTGGCCCGTTTCCTCACAGGATTGTCTCGAAGCCCATCTACTGAGTTTTTCCGCGGTTGGTTTAAGTTTGTTTCTGCATGAACACCTATGCCAATTCAATATATGTGGGTAAATTATAACGACCTCACTGCGACCTCACTGGAATCATGGTTAGTAAGGGGAATCATCTCCAAATGGCCTTAATTCAGGTTAGTGAATGATTATAATTTGCCCAGATATATGTGCAATAAACCATAATTATTCAAGTGATCAGTCCTTAAGTGCATCCTATGAAATCCCATTAAATCAGCATCAAATCACCATTCGTTAAACCCAACAGTGGAGTTATGCTCACCAACTTGGCAATGGAGCTGTGATTTATTGTCATTTCATTGGGCAAATTCTCGATGTTTTCCGCTGATACAGAAACCCGATGTGGTAAACGAACGTAGCTATGGAAAATTGACCATTGAGTTCGTTGATTTACCTATTAACCATGGTGATTTTCCATAGTTATGTCTGTTTACCAGAGGAATAAACCACCATAATAATAAATTCCCATAAATTCCCATTAGATCCCATTGTTTAATGTTGGTTTACCAGGCCGGGTCTCCTGGAAAATCCAATGATATCCATCTCACGTTGAACCCACGTTCAACGTCTCTGATGCAGCCCATCTCGTGGCTCTTTGTCAAAGAGCAGCATGGATTTCCCGCGAGTCAAGCATGGGAAATCCCCGACATGGAGGTTTAGTGAGAATTGAATGGGAACTTTTTTGGAACATCATCTGAATCTATCATCTAAAAACATGGGAAAGACTTTTTTTTATCATCTAAAAGCCATGGGAAATTCATCGATCATCATCACAAATGGCCTTTTCCAGGCATGTTTCATAAGGTCGCCTATGGCAGGATGGGGGGACCACGTTTTTTTTTTTAACGGCAGGTTTATCGCACATGTTGGGCGATGTTTGAAACAGTGGGATTTTTACTGGATTTTGCCGTCCCTTTTTCAGAGGAACCCCAGCACAGCCGAGCAACATCTTTGGACCACTACGTAGCGACCGGACCCGTTGCGGCGCAACGCGCGAGTTGGCATGTTGGTAGGCAAAGGATGCCGAAAGGAGATCTCGGAGATACCTAAATAAAGATGTTTTCCGCATTTTTATGGGCCAATGTGAATGATCTATTTGTAACCCATGAAAATCAATTTGATACCGTCATATCACAAGGTAATTTTCAGATATACACATCTGATTGGTGGTTTGGAACATGAATTTGATTTTCCCCAATAGTTTGCGAAGATGATCCAATCTGACTTTCATATGTTTCAGGGGTTGGCTCAACCACCAACCAGTACATAATCATATATATTATATTATTATCAGAAATCACAGACCGCATGTTCTGTCTTGTTTTTTTATCTGGAACCGTGTGTGACTATTAATGTTGTGTTCTCTACATCAGGTCAAAATCATTCAAAAAGCGCCCATTTTATTCACCACGAAATCCACCAAGGTCTGATTCAAAGCAGCTTCTCAAAGGGTTTTTGTAAAGTTGCTGGAAAACAAATAGCTGGTTGGTGGTTTGGAACATGAATTTTATTTTCCAATATATTGGGAATGTCCTAATCCCAACTGACGAACTCATATTTTTCAGAGGGGTGGCTCAACCACCAACCAGATAGCATTCGAATCCTTGGGACTGGAGCGAAGGATAGAACGGCAAGGAATCCTATCCGAGCATCTTTCAAACCCAACTTTGACCAGTTTAGATGTCGGGGAGCAATGGAAATGCCTGGTTTTGAAGCACCTGGGCTTGCCACCGATTTTTGGATGCTTGGGCTTTGTTGTATCGAAAGTGTGTCGCACCTTCTGATCGAGGTTTTGAGAACAAATGAAAGAGAAAAATTGCAAAGAAATTGACATTCAATTCATGTTCCAGGGCCTATTGCCAGTTTAAGTGGGATGAGGCGTGCCCTACATTTGGTCGCTTGTGAAATCCTTGCCACCCGTCATCCCAAGCCACTTAGGAGAGGCTTGCAACGACCAGATCAGAAAATGACACGTGTATAGGCGTTTATGTACTGTACGTGTAAGGATTGTATTTACATATATTACCATATATTACCCTGTATTGGATCCTTCCTGAGATAAAATATGTTGGTAAATAGCATTGGTGGAGCCTCCATGGGAATCGGCACACTGGTTGAAACACCGAAACAAGCGCCTTGCTGTTTCCTGGAGGCGTTGGCACCGTGCTCGTGCTGTACGATGAGTCTGACCCCCAAGGGGGGTTGGCCGGTGATGTTTCGGTGAATCTCCATGCAAAATGGTGATGTTCATTGGATTTTAAGATGATTTAACTATGAAATTCATAGCCCATAGGATCCATGTATGCTATATATGGTAACATTTACCATCAACATACCCCAAATGTTAGCATATATACCATACATGGATCCTATGGGTAGTGATTCAATGGGATTTCCCTGGGTTCAGCAGATTCAATTCACTGGCTTCACTGTTGGGCCGATGTTTGAACGGTCAGCCTGCAGCCTGGTCCGGTAAGAATCATCATTTCTATGGGATATATTATATATATAGGTTAATATTATTATTACCTAAGATTAATGTTTTATATTGTAATTACCATTATTTAATAGTGATATATTATCTAATTTAATAATAATATATATATGATAATAATTATGTAATATGTTTTGATATAATGTTGGATACTGATTTTAATGTAGGGCCCCCCCTCAACAATTTTGGTCTACTCAATAATACCTCGGCGTTTTGTTGTGGACCAGGTCTGGGGAACTCAGGATGATCAACTCAAGTAAGGATTTTAATTGAAATCAATCTACTGTCAATTGCTTTTCCTTTTAAACCTTTAACGAATCTATTGATAAGGCATGATTTCACTTGAATTCAATCCACTTTCAATTTCTTTTCCTTTTAAACCTCATAGAAATATAGTGATAAGACAGAAAACAATTGACATCAATTCGCTTTTCAATCTATTTGAATCTACTTTCAATTGATGTTCCTTTTAAATCTAAAAGAACATGCACCAAAAGTTTTTGTGCACAATGGGGTACCATCCAAACAATTACATTATTGAGGATCTGGGTCACTCATGGGGTACCCCTTGAAAAATTGTGTGGGTGCTATTTTCAATACTGTAAGGGTTTAATAAGGCATCTAATTATTTGGGAAAGAATGCATTTTCAAGGCTTTAACATGGATATAGCTTTCTAAAGTAAACGGACCAGCTTTACACAAAGAAAGGTGTATAAAGGTGGATAAAGCTCGTCCTGAAAAAATGGATCTGAAAAAAACAATCTCACAATAGAGGCCCACCCCCACCATTTGCAGGAGACTCATTTTTTGTTGAACATTTTCTCACAATACAGTCCCATGACACTAATCGGTATACTACATTACACATATATATATATTATATCATATCATCTACTTATATGTATATATATATACATATATACGTGTGTGTGTGTGTCTGCTTATTATTTGTATTTGGTGCACAAACCCAGCTAGTGGGTTTCTTCAGAGCAGTAAATCCACGACCAAAACCTGGGATGAGCAAGGTGCCTCAGAAAAAGTTCGCCAAGTGGGTTTAGTTCACCAGATTAGCAATGAAACCAGAATGATTAGCTGTTGTGTTTATGGCATTTATGGTGATGGAATCATCAGAATTCGAGGTAAAAGAATTCAGCAATCATCATTATATGGGACATCGGTGGTGATTTCTTGATGACCGGGGAGAATGTGACACTATCTCAAGCTTGAGGCTCTGTAGATCGGCTTGACATGGTGGCTTTGATCAAAGCCAGCCGTGATCGTGGAGTGACGCACAGAATTCGTGAAGCGGCTTACTTCAGACAGGTGGATTCATCCTCATTTTTGTTGGCACTCGGAATCGTAAATGACCAAAATCCTCCAGATCCGTAGGCTACGTAGGGTAAGTATACGGTTAGTTCATTTACTGAGTCACGATTCCTGGAGTGAAGCACCAACCGTCACCAATCGTTGCTATGAGTTATATCGTGTTCTATCCCCATGTTTGGTTGGTTCCCCTTGAGAGTAAGCCCCCATAGTATATTGCAACAGTAACATCATTCAGATAGTTTGTTTATGGTGCGTACTAACCAATATTAACAGGTTAAGAAAACCATATTAGGCTTTCTAACCTGTTTTATGGCTTTCTAACCAATATTGATCTATTTAACCAAAACAGGTTAAGAGGTTGCCATGTTCCATTCGTTTCAGCTGCAGGTCCGTATGGTCCATACTCGGCACGTGAACATGGCAGCTGGAGCCGGGGTTGGGGATGGGGTTGCTTGGTCGCAGTTGAGTCTTGTTGATGGGTTAGATTTAGATATTGATTGTGTAAACCTTGGGTGGGTAGACTTTATGGATATGAATGGGAACTTTTTGTTGGGATTATGGAATATTTGGATATATCTGAATAAGTTGACTTCAGAAAGGGTGGGATTTAACCATCAATCATGGAGTTTTTTTTGCAACAAGAACTAGGAATTTTCACATGGATGATGGATTCAAGATCTAAATCTTGGATGGATGGTTTAGTACTAACAAATCTTGTGCTGTACATGGAGACATTTACTAGGCACTTTTCAAGAGTCTGTAGGGTATTTAGCACTGGCGATGGTGAACAATGATGGTGATTCAACATGATGCAACCCTCCAACATGGGTTTCAAACCACCAAACATGGGGATATATCTTATTAAATCATGGCTGGCTGATGGCTGATGAATTCATTTATGGTCATTTGATGATGATGATGATGATGATGATGATGATGATGATGATGGTCATGATGGTCATGGTGGTGATGATGATGTTGTTGATGATGATGATGATGATGTTGATGATGATGATGATCCAACTATCAGATGATATATTCTGCACCAATGAGGATATCATATGACAGCCTCCAGATATTATCATTGATGGTTGATGGTTGATTGGGTATGAAGGCTATACTAATATATTAGCTGGTTTATTGGGACTATGAAGTGACCCATTTTGGCAATTCGAGGATTTAGTTCCTAAACAGGCGGGTTCTTCACTAAAAACGAATGGTGGATGATTCACCAAAAAGACATGTGTCAATTATAGCCCCAACGGTAACGTGGCAAGCTGGAAAATCCAACATTTATAGATACCCTCTGGTAAACTAACATAACTATTGAAAATCACCATTTTTAATGGGAAAATTCATTATAAACTGCCATTTTCAATAGCTATGTTAAATTACCAGAGGGTAATGTTCCCATTAAACACCTCCATTTATATATGGGGAATTTCCCAGCTAGTCATGTTTGAGGACCAGAGGATACTCAGCAACAATCCCTGAGCTGATCTGGCTTGGGCAGTGGGCTTCAGGGGATTTTTTCTATGGATTCCTTGTTTTTTCTACCAGGAAGACTGTTAAACAATGATGTGCACGCCTGAATGTGGAGACATGAATGTGCTGCCACATCGATGAACGAGTACATTCTGCAATTCTTGGAACCTTCTTTATGTAATTAACCAAGTTCTTGTGTTACCCAGTTCTTTTCTGGCTCATGAAATAGTAACTAGTAGTAGCTTCTGATACATCATGTTTGCACTCAAATCACACAATGTGCCAATTGCCTGGCAGACCCAATGATAATCCTTGTTTCTGGTACCGTTCTTAATACCCCAGAAGCCAGACAGCTCTGAAGAAAACATGGATGAAGACGACGAGGGGCCAGCGGAATTGCCGGCGCAGCAGCCGGAAGTGCAGCAGTCAGGGGTGGTGCAGACCGCCACCAAGAAGCGCCGGGTCATGCTTCAGTCCGTGAAGCAAAGTCTTGTTAAGACAAGAACCAGTGCTTTCTGCTCAGCAGATCGTGTTCTGTCCAACAGATTTGACATTTGACATGTTTTCCTCCCAGATCTTGCATTTCCACGCGCTTCCCCCCATGACTTAGGAAAGCTCCAAATCCCGCTGGGCCCAGCTACCGAGCTGAGGCTTCAGTCCCAATGAGGCCACCTGGAGGTATGTCGGTGAAAGTAAAGGACACGACATGATCGCGGCTCAATTGCAGTTGGCTACCATGGTCTAAACGTTTACAGAACATGGTTGGAGAATCACTATAGTTTTGAGTCAGCTAAATCATTGAACTAAATGGGCCCTTTTGAACCAGCATAAAAAGATGGTGGTTTAAACCAATGGGGAAACATGTGGATCATGATCTAGAAATGGTGCTTCAAACCCACATCTATGTTTTTTTACTGTAAATCGTGCGGAAAAAAAGTTGCGGAATGGAGGGTGAAACGGTTAACATCCATGGCTCATCCCGAGTTTTTCCATGGTAATTTATGGTAATCCGTAATTCCTTCTTCCTACTAAAACTCCCCTCAAAAAAAATAGAATTCGTGTGGCACTTCCCTTTATTTGGTTGGGCACAATTGGATTCTTAACTATGGTAATTGAGAATCAACAGGAGAACAGGATGGTGAAACAATGGGTTCAACCCCCTATTAATAAAAATAGATTGCCACCTGCAGGTTTTTTATTAGGGTCCCATCTCACAAGTTTTATTTTTTGTGTTTATTATTGAGGTTTTCATTGGAATATTAGGGGAAAGCTTCGAAATCCAGTTTTTGGCAATATTTTATATAGATTTTAATAAAGGATTTAATCACATTTGAAATCAAGTTTTCCTACTCTTATCATTAGGGTTGTTCATTGGAATATTAGGGGCACCCTAATACAAATTAACCCCTAATAATAAAAGTAGATCACCATGTTTACCATTTGTGTGGGAATTAGAAATAGGGAGAGGGGATTATTTCAGCATAATTACGGAGAATTACATGTTTTAACATCTACATAATTACATCACATCATAGAACTACTCGGCCATCTATACCATAGTTATGTAACAAATGACCAGAAGGTACAGTATTCGTCCTTTATTCTGCTGAAGGATCCAGATACCACTGGCACCTGTGCGCTATAGGTTTGTTGTTTCGGCGTCGTCTCCGCGATGTTCTTCATCATCGCGCTCGTGTGGTGGAAGGCTCATCATCCCAAAAGCGGGTTTCCGAAATTCACAGAAGGAGGGATGGAGCCGTCACTTTCGGTGGAGATATTGATAATATGCTAATCTGGTTGGTGGTTTGGGACATGCTTTATTTTTCCATACAGTTGGGAATAATAATCCCAACTGACGAACTCATATTTTTCAGAGGGGTTGGTATACCACCAACCAGTAATATGAAACAATGGTCAAGAGGTAACTTTTCCAGAGAGCTGGTCAGCCGGGTTGATATAGCTGTGGTAGAAATCCCGGATGATTGACCATCTGCATCCTGTTGGAGTGACCTCTTGCAACCCTGGAAGCTGCACCTTTTCAATGGTGGAAGTGAACCCCGAAACTGACCCCCAAACCCACGGACTTTGCGATGTTTTCCGCGTTAAGTCGAGTATGTCAGTGTAACCATCATATATTGTATCATATCCAATGATCATCCAGAATCATAATGTTGTATATTATACTGTACTTATAGTTATAGTTATAGTATACATTCACCTACATACCCATCATATATACATACGTTGTGAACCGCTATATTATGAAGCACTCTATATATATATATATATATACACATGCATATTATTCAAATATTGTAACCATTGGTCTACCCATTGATACATCATTTTTCATCATGTATAGTATAGTATAGAAGTTAAACATGTATAATCTATATTAAATCATTATCAGCTATAGATTTAAACATCTATAGATTCCTTGATCAAGTGAAGACCTCCAGGCTGGCGGAGCTTTGCCGGCTTTGCCGACCTGGTTTGCCAGTGGGATACTGGCCATGAAAAAACATGGCGAGCTGGAAACTCACAATGTTGAATGGAGAAAAATACGGACTCATTGAGCCAACTGGATGTCATTCCATTTGGGGTATAATATGTAAATATGATATATTTACAGTATGTGTATATATAAATATGTGCCTGATTTTCAGACACATGTTGGTCAGAAAAACGAGCAAAAACACATCAGGATTGGGATTGTTTAGCAGGGAAGAATGGTTGCTAACAAAAAAACAAACGGCATATGATAGACATAAATAGTAGATGGTAGTAGATGCATTTCCTGGGTTGGTCAAAGTGGGAATATCTCCTAAAAGATACTCTGATCAAGGAATTGCAATGATATTTCTCCAAGCCCTCCCTCCAGGAACATCAAGCCCCTGCACAACTGTCACGTGGGCTACGATGATTGGCAGAAGACCTGGGATTATCGGAAGCAACTCTGGTTGGGACGTCCCAGATGCAGCTGGAGAACTTCCAAGAAATCGTCCTTTTGCGCAGTGGGTTGTAGGTGGGTTGCTTGTTGTTCGCAGCCCTAACCCTAAACATCTCGAAACTTGTCATGATGCAGCTGCATATCTAGTTGAATTCAGAAGTGAGACGGAAGAACTTGCGCCTCACATGGGACTGTCATTGGCAGTTGCTGAACACAGAAAGAGGTTTCAAGCTGAATCAAGTAGATTCATGCATATGTATAATATATATATATAAGATATAATAATATAACATGATATATATATAATATAATGAAATATATAATATAATATAATATAACATAATATAATATAATATACCATAATATTATTTAATATATAATATACAATATATTTTTAATATAATATAATATAATATAATATAATATACTTGAATGTAATATTATATAATGCAATAAAGTAATGTAATATAACATGATATTATACTATAGTATATTATAGTCCTTTCTGCTATAGATATATACATATCATATTATATATTTAATATAATATATATATATATATATAATATGTATACATAATAACATAATATATTTAATATAATATAATATAATATATTTTTTAATTTCATATAATATTTCATTTTTTATATAATATTTATATTTATACACGATACAATTTAATATAATGTAATATGATATGATTCAATATATTGTACTATATTGTAATTTAATGTAATGTAATATTTTTGTATGTAATATAATATAATATAATATAATAATATCACTTAATATAATATAGTATAATATATTTTGATGTGATATAATATAGTATAACATAATATAATATATATATAATATTTTGTTATATATATATATATGATCCTCTCACTAGTATATATGTTGAAATAGTTAGTGGAAGGGGGAGGATCAAATATATATATATATACATATACTTCCTCCACAAATGGCCAACTTTCAAACTTTCTGAGGTATGGCCAAATTTTATTTTTATTTTTGGCAGAGCAAATAAATATATATATATATATATATATCCTGTTACTTCTGCAATTTCTGAACTCTTCATGCTGATTCTAATAGTAAGTAGCCACACTGCTTCGGTCGAGCTGCGCGGGACTCCAAGGTGCTGCAGCAACTACGGCCGCGGCTGTCCAAGTTGGACCTTGCCCCGAGGCGCGGTTTGGAACAGGTCGGACCTTTGGGGACGAGAGTTTTCCGAGTTGGAATGGAACTGACATGTTGGTTTTTCATGGGATTTGGACTGGTGATTTAATGGGACCCAACATGGATAAAAACCATATGTATGGACTGGTTTATCATCCCTTAAGTATCATTAGGTATATCTACCACCAAAAAACCTAGTGGAACTAGTTATCGAGCAATTTACTCTACAAACCATGGGAAGTTACCAATGATATCAACATGGGAAAGTGGTCCTGAGACCAATCTCAACACATGTGCCATGGGATGTTAGCAACAAACATGGGGCATGACTAACAAGAATGAGGGTTACCCGCACAACATGGGATAAATAGCCCATGGGACAATAACCAAGCAGTTCACGGAGTATTTTGTGGAATGCACATTACCAACAAATGGGGTATTTGGACCCCGGGCAAAAGTTGTCACTACAAGATTAGGAAATGCAATTCCAAATGATGGAATGCGGTCACAAACTTTGAGACAAACCTAAACATGTGCGGAAAAGTATGCAAAGGTACGAATGCAGTGTTTGGATGTATACAAGAGCTGCAACAGTTTGTGGTAAAGCACCAACTATTCACTTGTTAGCTAGTACTTGGAGGTGCAGTTGAGGTTGTAAGTTGTACATAAGTGTAACCATAGTTATAGGGGGGCATATCGGAACTTGTCAGGGTTACTATAGTTTTACAAACCCAACTGCACCCCCAAGTAGTGAGGGTTCAACAACTTCTCGTTTTTTTTTGGTTAAGAGGATCTGTGCATTTCTGGGTTGATCCATCTATGTTACCGTAGTTTTTCATCATCCCAGAGTGGGGATGTACCCAAGGTCCCAAGGTCATCACCTCAAACTTGGGGATGGTGACTGCCCTCTGGTAATTTGTGAAACACTTTGCGAACTTGAACATGACCAGCTGTAGTTAATTTTTAGTTCCCCACCTGCCAGGTGAGGGTTGTTAGATTTTATGTCAGTTGCCTCCTCCTGCCTCGTCCTCCTCCTCCTCCTCCTCTCCTCCTCTCCTCCTCGTCCTCCTCGTCCTCCTTGTCATCCTTGTCGTCCTTGTCGTCCTCGTCGTCCTCGTCGTCCTCGTCGTCCTCGTCCAACTGCGACCCGCGATCCACAGTGTTCTCTGCCGGACCTCAACCACGACCATCCACGCCCAGTGTTCCCTGCCGGACCTCAACCACGACCAGCCACGCCCAGTGTTCCCTGCCGGACCTCAACCACGACCAGCCACGCCCAGTGTTCCCTGCCGGACCTCAACCACGACCAGCCACGCCCAGTGTTCCCTGCCGGACCTCATCGCGAGTATCCATGCCAAGTGTTCCCTGCCGGACCTCATGTAGGAAGATATGGGACAAAGATAGAATGCCAGAAGATATGCCGGAAGATATGCCAGATAGAATGCCAGAATATATGCCAGATATGCCAGATATAGATATGCCAGAACATATGCCAGATATGCCAGAAGATATGCCAGATAGAATGCCAGATTGAATGCCAGAAGATATGTCAGAATATGCCAGAAGATATGCCAGATAGAATGCCAGATAGAATGCCAGATAGATAGAATGCCAGAAGATATGCCAGAAGATGCCAGATATGCCAGAAGATATGCCAGATAGAATGCCAAATAGAATGTCAGAAGATATGTCAGATAGAATGCCAGAAGATTTGCCAGTAAGAAAATGTATAAATGTCATGGTGGGGATCACACGAAGTAAAGTAATTTGTTGATTTACCCATTAAACATGGTGATGTTCTGCCGTTATGTTAGTTTGCCAGAGAGTATGTCTTTGGCCCTGATATTATGTGAATCTCAGGAATCTCCCACTAGAAAAAATATCTCAACTGGCGTCGTTCCTGTTGCAGGTTGCATGTTGTGAAACCAAGCGACCTCCACTGAGTTCGGAGATGTTCCAGCCACGTTATCACAAGGTATATCGCATTTTCACGCAGACTCGAGTATGATATGATTGTCCATATATCCGCAGCAATGCAGCAAATATCTCCATGAGAATCCCGTTAGCATCATAATTATCCCATAATCTCCCACAATTCATCGCTGAAGGCAACGATTTTCAGCCCTTTGACTGTTCTGCGGGTTTTTCGCATTGGAAAAGCGGATGGTCTGCAGCTTAGATCTGAAGGATAGCCATGGACAAGCTTCAGATGTTCAGGTTGCGCTTCAAGTTTCATGTCACTGGGAATCATGGTTAGTAAGGGGAATTATCCCCAAATGGCCCAACAATTCAGGTTAGTGAATTATTATAATTTACCCAGAATTGTAGTGATGTTCATCTGTTGTTTTTCTATGGACGCAGTTGCGCTTCAATTTTAATGAGTTTTGCCGGCAGTGAATAGTTATCTGGTTTGTGGTTTGGAACATTTTTTATTTTCCTATATATTGGGAATGTCATCATCCCAACTGACTTTCATATTTTTCAGAGGGGTAGGTATACTACCAACCAGTCATAACGTTGTTTTTTTCTCTATAGATGTGCGGTTGTGGCATCTCATTCATCTATTGCGCGACTGACAGGTCGGAGGACAAGAAGATCTGGTGTTGCAGGCTTTTGGTATCCTTTGGTGATCCGGATGGCGGTGACATGAAAACATGGGCAAACATGTGATACATTTAGGGATCATATTTCATATTTATGCATAATTGATACTAACTTAAGGGGATACAAAAAATAGTGACTATGGTTTTTTGTGTGTTTGTTTTCTATGGGATAAATTAATATTAACTGATACTATGAACTTGATGAACAGCCACGTGCCAGGAATCAAGGCCGATGTGCGGAGTACAACTGCGACCATGGCCAGGTGGGAAACGTGACGTTGAAGCTTCCCGCCTGGCCATATGGGGGTAGCCCCAGCTGGATGGGAAAATGGATGGTTTATTTCCATGGGAAAATCCCCACCTATAAACCGATGGTGTATGGTTTATTTCCATGGGATTTTCTCCCCATCTATAAATCGAAATGGTGTATGGAAAGCCCCAAAAAAGGATGGTCATAGTATGTCAATGTCATGGGAATACCATGGTAATATGGTCAATAGTCATAGTATGTCTATTGAATATATTAAATGGCATAGTCATATATGGCTAGTAAGTCATAGTCATAGTATGTCATGACTAATATGACTATACTCACCATCTAGTCGTCATAGTCATGATTTGGGATGACCAGTAATGATGGTCTATAATGGTCATCCGAGTCGTAAGTAATATTTGTCTACGTTTGTCTAGTGTAGTCTAGTGTAAATGAGATCCTATCTGTTTTTTCTTGCTGGTCGAGTGTGTGTATTTGGTGATTTCCCAAAATCAAAATGGGCGATCCCCAAAACCATGGGTTTCAATACTAAAATGGTATACCATAGTATATACATATATATATGATTTTGGGTGATTTCGGGGTACCCCCATGACTTCGGAAACTTCAATTTGTTCTTTCCAAAGTCTTCATGTTGTTCTGTTTGGTTGAAACATGTGCCATTTTTTAAATCAACACTTTTCACAGCTTGAAATGCTTAAACCTTAAGTTTTTCTTTGTGTAGTTTTTTAATGGTTGAAATGTGCTGAAAGTGACCCTTGCAATTAAAAAAACTCAGTTGAATCCCTTTCTTTGACCCTTTTTGATAGTTAGATCCCATGGCATTCCATGTTATCCCTATGGATGGTGAAATCCCAGCTTCCTCCAAAGGCCAGCTGGCATTTGGACTGGACCGCGCACAAAAAGGCTGGATTTCTGGTTCTCTTGTTGATGAATGGGATTACCCTCTGGTAAATTAACAGTTGGACCCTGAAAATAGCCATTGTTTAGTTGAAACTCATCTTCCAAGCCCGATGACTGCCAGGGTCGAACTGTTAGTTTACCAGAGGGTAAGATTGGGGAAAAACATGGGTAAACGATGGTAAACTCATTGAACATACTAAAACGATCTAAAACTGAAGTTTAGTTTTTTTCTTGGTTGATCCTCTGGAAATGTATTTGGATAAGGGATGATAAGGGTATGCTTATTCGAATGGTTTGTGATGGAAACGCCACCATTGCTATGGATAAATCATCTACAAATGGGTCAATGTCCATAGCTATTTTAGATTACCAGAGAAAAGATCTGAATTTAATTGAAGGGGATGTATGTCAAGTAGATATCACTAGGCATCTATGCAATGAGACATATATACATACATACACAAAGGGGTTAATTATACTGTGTAACAATTGGGATTAGTAATATCCACCACTTAAATGATGCTTGGAGATCTTGGGGTATCCAAATGTGGTTTGTCCAAGCCAATTGGGTATATCGTTTGCCAATGTCAATGGGGATGTAATGGGTATGCAAAGGGATACTCCAATTACAACCAATTATAGCCATTGCAAAGGGATACCCATATAGTGTCATATAAGTTGGAGTATACAGTATACCCAATAGTGTCTGTATGACACACGTCATCCAATTTGGGCATACTCCAACTTATAACATCTTATAACCGTTTTCACGCGGAAATGATGGCAATCCATTGGGTTCCTGGGGGTACCTTGTTTGTGGACAAACCTAAGTGATGCCAAAAAAAGGGTATGAGGTTAAGTAGAAATGGTGACAGGTTACTTTTACTTCAAATGTAAACACATACAAGTGGAACCTCCCATTTCTGCCCAAGGAAAACTACCCAACATACATATTGGGCACACCCATTTTTGAATGAACAATACGTTGGAATTCCTGAGTTTTAGATTTTTGTTTGCTTTTCCCCTTGGGAAAAAGATGGAACCAGCAGTATGTCTGAAATTGACTACTATAATTTCCTATAGGGATAATGGTGATTAAGCAATGGAATGAAGGGGTGTTTTATTCAATTTTCATAGAAATCCAGATCATATACATATGGTATCATTTGGTTATACTCCATCATATCCCCATCTTATTTCATGACATCATGATATCCGTTTTTGGTGGTTGTTGATTTTTCATGCTCAACTGGTCTATTGCCAAGCTACTTCGCTCGACTCGAGTCTGGGTCCCAGGCGTGGTGCTGTCTACACACTGGAGTCGGGTGTGGGCCTCAAGGTCCTGATTCAAGGTGACCTTATCATGGTTTACCCTCTGGTAAGCTAACAAAAAGCTATTGAAAATTGCCATTGAAATCGTGAGTTTTCCCATTAAACATGGTGATTTTCCATAGTTTTTTGTATGTTTACCAGAGGGTAACCATCCTGAAATGAGAAATATGCACATCGTGTTTGGTAACCATCCTGACATGAGAAATATGCATATCATGTTTGGGCAATTTATAGTGACCTCAATTCGTGACCCCCTGAAAAAAAAATGATGAAAATTAGGGGAATCATCCCCAAATGGCCAAAACTTTTACGGTCAGTGAATTGTTCTATTTTCCCCAGAGAGTTTGTCAGATTGTTTTAGTGGTTCACTGCAAGGATGATAAAAAAGACACCGTGTCCTACGTATTTTTTGTTGCACAACATCAACGCACCATGTTCCTCACCAATTCCGGGCAGTGATTTGAAGTCCTTGATTTCCGTTCCATGACTGCGTCTACCAACATGTCAAGTGCACCTATGCCAGTGAAGATGGCCGAGATATGCAATGAACATCAGTCAACCATCATAATACTGTAACCGGTCTTTTGTCTTGGATGTTTTTTGGGGGAAGGGGGGTTCTTCAGCATTTGTTTTCGGTCTTCTTCCGGCATTGACAATTGGGGGCTAGCTCATTGAAATCATTGAACAGTGCCCAAAATCCCTTGTTGACTTGTTGATTGTAAATGATGGATACCCTCTGGTTATGACTAACATAGCCATGGAAAATGGCCCATTTATAGATGGCTTACCTATTAAAAATGGTGATTTTCCATGGCTATGTTAAATAACCAGATGGTAATAATGGAATTCTACGAACATTTTTGATGGGGATTCTGACAATCCACCAGGGCTGGCCAAAGGTATTTTACTGACCCAGAAAAACCGCTTTGCGCGGCTAAGGTGTGCCACCACGACCACGACGGATCCTGTGCAGGATCCTGTAGATTTCGACTGTAGTGCCATGGCGGTCGAAAGTAGTGCCATGGAATGGAGGCTGCGGGACCTATTTGGCATATGGGATGTTATGTTTGACTTAGATTAGTGGATGATATGGATGATCCCCATTGATGGAGTATATATATATATTATATTATATATATATATATTATATTTATATTATACAATAATATGTATATATATATATATACATATGTAATGAATATTGTAATATAGCCTCATTTTGAATGGAATAATCCCCACTTCTGGGATGAAGAATGGGGATCAATGGATTGTCAATTTCACCAGAGATCCGATGCCCGAAGATCCCCCCTGGGTGCGGTCCGCGGCGCTCTTAGACTTGGCATTGGAATGGGCTGTGTGCCATTAATGTTACTATAAAATGATGATTTAATGGGATATTGTAGTGATTTAATGGGATTTTACCCTCTGGTAAACATACAAAAAGCTATTGAAAATGATGATGTTCCAATTGAAAATGGTGGTTTAATGGGATTTTAATGGGAAATAATGGGATATTGATGGGATATACCCTCTGGTAAACTAACAAAAAACTATTGAACATGGCCACAGAAATAGTGGAATTTTCATTAAAAATGGTGATTTTCCATGGTTATGTTAGTTTACCGGAGGGTATATACCGATGATGATATACTATGATATGCCCATACTGTGTGTGATGGTCAGGCATCCATTGCTTGGCATTTGAGGCTGCTTACATCTAGAAAACATGAAAATCAGCTGGCCAAATCTTTGTTTGTGATGAACTACTGAACTTCAATCATGAAACAAAATAACAAAATATCTCTATGTTGGCATTTTCACTAATAGCCTTCCTTGAAACGCAGGATTCGTTCCGATCTTGCCGATCTTGCCGAATCCTTCACAGGATGGCCATGGTCGTTTTTCATCCAAGGGATGACCCATGACCCACAGCAAGGCGGCTGTTGAATGGCTCAAAGTAGCCTCTTGTGATTTAACTATGGGTAAATTATAAATGGTTATAGCTAATATTAAATATACATGGCTAATATATAACTATAGGTGAAGAAAACAAAACCTCTGGTTATGACTAACAGTTCGCCATGGTTTCCAATGATGGCCCATAGAAATAGATGAATTTCCCAGCGAACTAAACCTCCATTTATGGTTGGGATTTTCCAGTTCGCTATGTGAGGTTAAATAACCAGATGGTAAATTTCAGGATCCTAAAATGGAGCTACGTAAACGTACCATATCAGACCGCATAACAATATTTTCTGGGGATATTCCCTGAAATTTGGGCCACTGATCTTATCTGATTGGTGGTTTGGAACATGAATTTTTTGACTTTCCATTCAGTTGGGAAGTTCATCATCATTGACAAACTCATATTTTTCAGAGAGGTAGGTATACCACCAACCAGCTATATACCAATGGGTTAAAAAAAATGGCAACATGAGGTCAGATGCTATGAACTTGATGAGCAAATTGCACATCCCATTGGTCCATATTGGTCCCCCTGAAATTTCTCAGCTTCTCCCAGGTGTCGGTGTCCACTCGGAGCGGCAAAGCCATTGGTCCAAAGCGAAGAAGGCCTCCGGAAGATCCCAGCAGATGGGTAGATCCCATGATAACCCCATGAGTTAAAGTTTTAGTTGTAGTTATCTGGTTAATATATGGTTAATGTATGGTTAATGTATGGTTATTATATGGTTATTATAATGGGATTATATAATATTATATACCAATAAAATCGTGGTTAATGGTTGATAATCATCTTTATTTCATGGGATTATATACCATTTTTATAGTGGTTAATGATGGTTAATGGTTTTTGTTATCACTGGTTGGTGGTGACTGGAACCATGGAATTTTATATAATCTTAATAATCTTATGACTTTCCATATATTTGGAATAATCATCCCAACTGACTCAACTGACTTTCGCATATTTTTCAGAGGGGTAGGTATACCACCAACCAGTTGTAGTTATACAGTGTTTAATAGGAATCCCCATAGTTACCAACTGATGCAGGATTTCGCAACCATCCCCTTCAGTGTCATCAAGCGCGGATTTCGCCGCTACGAAATCCCCGAACTAAATGGAGGTTTATTAATAGCTGCATGGGTTTTCATCTATAGATGGTGGATTTACCAGCCTGTTTTGATTACCGGAGGGTTTGCCAAGATGTTAAGACAAGGCGTCAAACCATGGCATGGGGGGAAGGCGCGAATTGGTGTGGCTCAGAATTGTACATTCCGAAGATTCCCCAGGATTATATAATATATTAATCCCTATGGATCCAAACACTGTATGAGAAGGTACTTAACCCCCTAAATCATACCCCAAGTACTTCCTAAGAAGGTACTTGGATCCATGGGGAATATATATATTAATGATAATAAACGTGTATATATAAGTATTATATATATACATACATATTAGTGATGCTTTCATTATTCAAAAATTATTGAACATTCTGAACTTCTTCCAATGACTATACCGGTGACTTCACATTCAAATCCCGCCAGCCGCCTCGGAAGCATGCCAGGAGTGGTGCTGTCACCACTATCACCGTGGCTGTGACTATGATTGCAGCGCCTCAGTTGAAGCTGGGTAAACACCCGTACGTCAGATGAATGTAGGCAAACATAGGAGATATCCATTGTTGTTGAAATAGAAAGATATCAGAGTTGTTAGAAATCACATCCATTGGTCCATTTGATTTATAAGAAAACTCTGACGTCTTTCTAACATTGGAATGTTCTATTCACACGTGTGCACACGTGTGCTCACCAATCCAATTCTATGCCCGGCGGTGATCCGTCCACGTCAGATGATGCTACGCCTGCTACGCAGATCCCAACAGGACGTAGCCTCAAAGTCACGTCGTGGTCAAAGGAAATCTATGGTTTCATGATGCTCCAGGTTTTTTGTTCTATCTGTTTCTATGAATTTCTATCCCAATTTCCGGTACCCAACAGCCATTGTTCTGGCCAATCTTTTCCTGGAAAACATGGAGTGGCCCCAAATCATCCATATCTGATGGAATTTTCCGTGAAAAAAATCATCCAGCTGTTGGGGTATACCCCCATTTATGGAACCCCCCACATGTCCCATCCGTGCATTTCCACTAGCAAAAAAAATTGGATTTCGGAGCAAGCCAGGTGCCAGCCCCCTGTGGCAAAGCGAGTGGTCTCACAACCAAAAGGCGAGTGGAGTCGCAGTTCACAGGAGAAAACACGAGAAGTTGGGTCCAGTTGGGTCATTTGTTTTTCAAGATGGGCAGTTTCAGATTCCAGTAATGTGTTTATTCTTCGGAATTCGCACTCACAAAATATTTCACTTTAATTCTACGCCACAACTTTACGAAAGCATGTTTTTGATGATCAGCTGGAACCTTGCGTACCTCAGCTTGAAAACGATGAACAATTTCCCGTGTTTCTTGGGAGCATCACACAGAAGTTCCCTTATTGGACCCAAACTTGACCCCTTAAGGTACACACCCCATCCTCGGTGAGTGCCCTTCAGAGGCGTGGTGTTGTCAACACAAAGGAAAAGGTTGCCCTGGATTTGTCGCGCCACGCGTGAAGCCTCAAGACGCTGGCTGGGAATCCATTTTTGCTCATGACATCCAAGGGTGGTTCCAGCCAAGACCGTTCTTTGTGAAGTTGGGGGGACGCCAAAAACGACATATTCAATTCTATGGCCCTGCAAAATTAAAAACTGAACCGCTTAAATTTGCATACAATATATTACATTTTGCACGTTTCTTTTTTCAGTGGTGAAGCAGAACAAGACAATTGGAACTTGTTCTGGTTGGTGGTTCCATTTTTTTTATGTTTCCATTCAGTTGGTAATTTCATCATCCCAACTGTTACTCGGTCCATCATTTTTCAGAGGGGTAGGTATACCAACCACCAACCAGGTTGTTATTAACCATCATTAACCATATAAAAACCATATAAAAACCATATATTAGCCATATCATAACCATTAATATTTCAAGTTCCCCATGCAGAAAAAATTGGGATATTTTAGGATCCCCCGGGGTGATGGCTGCCATATATATCCATATATACTTCCAATCTTCCAGGCGGTATGTCAGAAACTATTTCAGGATAATGTGTCAGGGTGGGGATCGCTCGATTTTCTGTTTAGCTTCTATCCCTAAATTTGCTGCTTATACATGCTTATACAGTATACATGCTTATTGAGACATAGCCTCCAGCCACAATGGTCAACGAACAGCGGCTGAGAACGGAAATTCCTACTGTCAGCTGGCCCAAGGCTTTGATTGCGGTCCTGAACCCAGAGACTGACAAGTGGTAGCAGCCTTGTATGGTTGGTTGGACTTGGTTGGTGGTTATATCTTTACTTGTGAACATGATGGTCCCAATTGACTAGTTCAATATAGTTTAAATCATGTGTGTTCTTTGAGAAATACCATCCAATGCTACCTGGAAATATTTGGAATGATGATCCACTTGACAATACTTTTTAGATGAACGGGCCAGAGGATACCTGGCTCGGGACACCATCGAAGATCTCACACGGCTTTGGGATATGTTTTGTTTGTCTTCGAATCCATCCCATTGATTACCCTCTGGTAAACTAACGTAGCTATAGAAAATCACCACTATTAATGGGTAAAGCAACTATAAATGGCATTTTTTTGCAATTTTCAATAGCAAACTGTATGTTTACCAGAAGGTATCCATGTTTTATCATGCGTTGACTATGTGTTCAATAAATTGCAATTTCAATGGCTTGGGGAAACCCGGATGGTGACAGATGCCTGGAAAATCCACCCTTTATATCCTAGTGATTTTTTTCGAAGCTATACACTCTGGTAATTTAACATAGCTATTGAAAATGGCCATTTATAGTGAGTTTGCCCATTAAAAATGGTGATTTTCCATAGTTATGGTAAACTACCTCCATTTATATAGGATTTCCGATTAGAACATCCCTTTAGTTCCACGATTGTCCCAGGTTTTTTTAACCTCCAGCTAGACAGCTAGCTATGATGACACCGTTTCGGGTACAGTACCGTTTTAGCCCAGGTGAGGGCGCTTATCAAGGATGGCATCAAGAGAAGAAGGCACTAGGGGGACCAGTTGGGTCCTGATGGCCGTTTGTTTTGTTGGTGTTTTATAGTTATTAATCACGTTAGTTATAAATCATATAGAGTTGTAGTTATAGTTTATATATAACATAATATATATATATAATTAATATATATATATATAGATAGATAGACAGATTCATGGTGAAAATTGGGAATTGTGATATGACCATACACTCATGAGTCTTCAGGGACAGCTAGTAGCCAACGAGAATTTCTTATGGGATGGTGGTATTTTGTTTCCCAGCTCACATGTTCCAGCTGATGTTGTTTGGGACCACAGATGGATTTGTCATGTCTATCCTTTGGTTACTTAACATAGTTATGGCAAGTGGTTCATGTTTAGATGATTTTCACTGTTCTAGATTTCCATCTATAAGGGATTTCCCAAAGCTGCTGTGGATGATAGGTGGTTTATCCCATTATTTATAGCGGGGTGCAGGATTTCTTCCACCCACAGTATGTTAAATAACCAGATGGTAAGTCTAGTCCTAGTATTCACCATTCAGTTTTTGGGGCGTCCAAGCCCCAAGGATGACCCGACTTAGATTCTCGCTTGTAGGACCATGTACTGATATGGTTGGCCAGTGTTTTTTTCTTCACTAAGTTGGGTAAACTACACCACCTGAAAACAATCATTGGCCACACAGCTAAACTAACATGGCTAGCCAGGCAAAATGGCCCATTTATAATCATTTATAGATGATTTACCTCGTGAAAATGCTGATAAATGCTGCTGATGAATGGCCGGCAGGACTGGTGTTGCAAGCATGAGCATGTGGGCTGCGCCAGTCATGAGAGTTATGATTGCAGCCCGCGCCTAAGACATTGGGACCGCTGTGGCTGCTGGGATGAAGCGAGACCCCTCCAGTCACCCTGAGGTAGATGATGCTTGTCCTGTTTTGGCCTGGTGCTTTCACAGTTTTCAATCGTTTTGTTGTATTGTCAAAGCGTTCCATTTAAAAACTGTTTTTTTTTTTTTATAGCCCATGTGAAAGTAGTTCCAAACAACTCGACCATCAAACTTGAGCCAATTCGACCATCAAAGCTGCTCACAACATTGTGATTCTGTCACATGATCGTTGGATATTGTTGGTATATGTTGGTATGACTGACATCTGGCAGTTGGTTTTTCCGTGTATGTCACCTGGGAAGATGATTCCACTTGACTGATATCTTTAGGGAACGTTTGGGATGAGTTGCAGTTCCGAAGTTCCACAAGCCATGAATATATCAGAAGAATTCACATGCAACATATGCTTTATGTATATGTATATATATATATATATACATATAACAACTATATAATGTGTATACACACTAAACATGTTCCCTGCAACCCCCTGGTTCGCCCACACTCAAACAACACATCCAAACAATATGATATACTTATCACCAGAGGATGAATGAAAACACTGGCTATGCGCAGTGATTTTGACTTTAAGTTTTGAGGATTTAGGGCTTCAATTTTAGGGTTTAGGTTTTAGGGTTTTAGGTTTTAGGGTTTTGGTGTTTGTTGTTTTGGAAAGTAAAAAGCTTAAACCCTGCGAAGGGATTTGAGCATGTCAAAGGATATATGGGATTGGCCGCGGGCAAACCTAGGGGTTGCAGCGAACATGTTTACACATACAAACAATATAATATAATATATAATTACATATATATATATAATATGTAATATAATATATATATAATATATATATAATATATATATATATATATAATATTACATATTCTCCCCAGTTTGGCTGGGACATCTCTCTTTTAAGGTCATGGCTTCGAAAATTGGCGCCATGCCTGGGATGATGAGAAGAAAAGCTGGTGCTGCAGGCGGAGTTCAGTGTCGCAGCGAAGCCTCCGGTGTCGATGGGAAAATCATAGGTTTTTCTATGCTGAACGGGAAAAACGGATGAAAAATGATACTGTAAATATTTTTTGTTTGGGATATTTTTTTAATGCTGATGAATGGGAAATTGGGAAATGGATGAATATAATGAGAAACATTTTCTTTGGGATATTTTGGGATGGAAAATGAATGGAAGATCTTGAAGATCTGATTGAAGCACCCTTTGGTGTCATGCTGATTCAATGTTTTTTTGTTGAATTGGGAATTGTATGGGATATATCACCAAAAATGCTACAAATGGTAGATGTTCATGGAACATCTGATGTTTTACCCCATGGTAGAATTCTACATGGGATTTTAACCTCAGTAAGATGGGATCAAACTCATACAACTATGCTTTTACAACCCAAACAAATTAGTGGAATTATCCGTTACCACAAACATAGCTATTGAAAATGGTGATTTTCCATTGTTTTTTGTATGTTTACCAGATCGTACCCTCTTTTTTGAACTAACAAACCATCCGGTGTCATCAAACATGGCAACCGGGAATCCGCCAGCAACGTTTTGATGATTTTCCCAGCTGTCAACTACCGAACCCAAAACCTATCCAAATGACGGTTCTTGGGTAAAAACCATGTTTTTTCTCTAAAATAAACAGGGTTTTCCAAAACCTTGATTTGTGTAATTCCACCATTTCACTGAAATTTCACAAAATATCACCTCCAGATCCTCCACAGTTTCCATCCCGCTTGGAGTGAGAGTTCCCCAGAATTGCGCTGATATGATAGTTTTTGGATATTGAAGCCGTGTTGTGCAAAACCTGGTTTTTTGGGGGGACCCCCAAAATACGGGTTGACTACGGGATAAATGCGGGTTACTATACGGGATAAATACGAGTTTCTCTGATTTCCTTTATTCTCGGCCCAAACAAAAAATTAAAGTCATGATTTTGATGATTTCGATAATTTTCTGAAAAGGAAACGCTATGCACAACAAAGTTCGACAGCAAATGGATCCGAACAAGTGGGCAACCATGTTGTTGCCTGGGATAAGGTGGGTAACGACATAATCTCAATGATTTGGATGCGAGTATCTTGTAATATGATATGTTATCATGATAACATTCAAAAGTAATTAAATGAAATGACATGAATATGATATGAATTTTGTTGTATGACATGAAAGGAGGCTCTATGCAATAATCAATCAAGAGAGTAAATGTCGGGTTTTTGGAAAAAACATGTTTTTTCTTTTCCACCATGTTTCCAAAAAAGTCAAGTTTTTTACTTGCCACCTATATTTTTATAGGTGTTGTGTTCTCTAGGTATATATTGTATAAACCATCATCTAGTTAGTTGGATGTGCGTGATCAACAATGGTAATATTTGGAAATGCCGTTTGGTTCATGAAACCAATGAGTGGCAATCGCACCAACCAGATAGATAGATAGATAGATCGATCGATAGATAGGTATCCGGCTTACAAGGGTATAACATATATGCATATTTAAAAAAAAAAATATATACCATAGTCAGTAGCATGGTTAACATATCTATACACAATATGTTAATTATATATAATATACACACCATAACTAGTGATTTAAAGATATTTGAAAAAACCCAATTAAATCCATGGACCAAATGGATGAAGTCGTTTTTTTGGCTCGGAAAGGGTGTTGGTCCGGCTTGACGGACCTTGTACCGTGGCATGTTGAGATAGAAAAAAAAACAGTTCTAAAACATCGCTAGATTATGCTTAGAATATCCTGAAATATCCAAAAAATCAGGTTGATTATCCTTAGATCATGTCGGGATGATTGGGATATTTGCGGATGATTTCCCACTGTACTGGATTGTTTAAAACACTTATCTAAGGGCAGCTTAACCATGCTGAACCATTGAGGGTTTTTTGTTGTGGTCATCAACAAACTCGGTTATATCGCAGACGGTTCTATAAGGGTTGCAAGTTGACCATTCTCAAGTGTTTTGCGAGAACATTTATGATAAAAGAGATCCTCATGATAAAGCAGATACTGTTTTGTCATCTAATTTGTCATCTGTTTTATCATTAAAGATACTAAGAATACTAATGTTTTACCAAAGATAATGACTGATCTAACTAACAGATGAGTAAATATGTTTATCAGCTTTTTCAATCTTTATCATCTGATCTCTTTATCATTTGTTTTATCTTCGTATCCCGAAGAGATCAGAAATGCAGAGATTTCCCGTCCTCCGTTTGGACCACCATGGACCAGCGGTGTTTTCAGCGTGAGGCATCACCGCTGTGGTTGCGAGCATGACTGCAGCGCCCCGGTGAAGCTGGAAACGTTACTGTGGGATGGGTCTGTTTGAAAATGGTGTATGTTACTGTATATCCATTATAGATATACCCTCTGGTTATGACTAACATAGCCATGGTATAGATGGCCCTAATCAAAATAGATGGTTTACCGTTTTTAATAGCATGGTGGATCTTTCCATGGCGAACTGTACCAGAGGGTAGATCTATAATTTTTGGCCATTTCAAGGGGAACATGTTTTTTTTCACCAATGGATTTAGAGGTAACCAGTTCCTTTGAGAGTTTTGGAGGGCCAGACCTTCCTAATGTCTTCAGAATTGATGCCAATGGCACCAGGCTTTTGAGAACAAAATGATTCACCCAAAGCAAGGGGATAGATGGGTTGGCCATGTTCGGTCAATTCGCCCAATTTTTAAGGTTCCAAATGTTGATACCCATATTAACGGTGCTTACAAGAAATATAACTCTGTGTGCTACCTGGAAGGGCATCTCAGTCAAGAATGTCTCATCTATGGCGATATTTTGCCCACCTCGACCTCATGGGGTATTACTGGAGGGTTTAGGTTTACATTGGCTAATTAACAAATGCATTGGTGACAACTTGGCCACGGCCATGGTTGAGCCTGGGATATGTCATGGGCCCCCAAACCATCTAGTCAACATGACCATGACTTAATATTGAAACAACCATGGTGACTTGGGGCATCCCTCATGACTTAAGAAACCACCATGTTTTCAACCGCATGTTCAACATACCCGGCCTGGTAAAAGTTTACAGTTTGCGAACTTGAAAATTGCCCAGTCGAAATAGTGGATTTATTTACCCATAGCATGGTGGATCTTTCCATAGTTGCGTAAACGTTTACCAGAGGGTAGTTCAAGCGCATGAAATGTGATGATCCCCCTACCAGGTGGCATCGAGAACTGGAAAACCCACTGGCTCGGGGTCTTGGCTTCTTGGAACAGGACCCTGTGGGGGTCCACCACACTTGTCGGACCATAGGACACTAGGACAAGGCACCCAATAAGTGATTAAGTACTATGTATATCAGATTTCAAATCCGACACTTAATCAATATCCATAGGATCCATGGTGCTGGTATATATATGCTAATATTTGGGGTATATTGATGGTACAGTAAATGTTACCATATATAGCAGCACCATGGATCCTATGTGATATACAAAACTGCCACTTAGAGGATTCATGATCACCAGGGTTACTAACTTACTGGGATGATGCTCCAAGAATGATGTGGCTTCCATTGATGATGTCGCATCAGAGGCTCCATGGAATACTGGGGATTCCCGAGATTCTCCCAGCCTCTGATGGCCCAAAAAACAAAATTTCCATGGGATTATAAGTCCTGTCAATGAGGTTATATATCAGCCAGTCAGCCAGCGTTTTCATTGTTTAAGGGCTACACATATAACAAACTACAGTATTTGCTAGCTGAACATGGTAAATTCCAGGCAAGTGTCCAAGTGTCCAACTTGGCCCACCATGCCTTATTGGGTTGGATCCTCGATCAGAGCTCCTACTGTAATGTTGTATCGTGAGTTTTTTCGAAGCAATTCCCTGCCATGTTCCAAAAGTCATCATCAAGTCGCAAAGCATCAATACATATCAATAGCGATAAATCATCAATACATTTGAATTGCAATTCATGTGTATGAATCACATGGGCTGCCCTCCGGTAATGAAACGTGGCTTGCTTGAAAATCCACCACGAATGCTTCGATGGTTTTGCCTAGAATGCTTCATCGGAGATTGTCCAGCCACGTTTGATGACTTCCACCGTTTCGGGTAAAACATTAGATTGTCCCATGAAAACTATCCATTACAAAGAATCCCATATAATGCCAATAAATATATATATATGTATATAATCATTATATTGCCATAATTCTCCCATATAAATATAAATCTATCCATTATTATAGTAATCCTGTTCCCAAATTATCCAATTATAATGCCATATAATTAACAATCTATAACCATGAAAATCGTTGGTTTCTAGGGGCAGACCTGCAGGTCATCGAGCCAAAAGACCTGGTGCTGCGACCACGTGGGTGTTGGCTGTGAAAGGCGCGGAGCGGGGGGATGGGGGGATGTCGTGGAAGGGATGGGTTGGGGATGTACCGGGTACCGGAAATCCATGGATTTTTGTTCATGGTTTTTATATCCAATTTCAGTCTTTTCCGAACTTTTCAGTGTCCCATCCAAGTCCAGCTTCCACACGGTGTTACAAAACCAGGCTTCGGGTCCTGCCATGGTCCAGCGGTGAAGGACCCGTCATGGACTTCACGACTTGTGATGGAAAGTCACGCAGAGGAAGGCTCCGTCCCCCAAAGTGAAATATATATGGTCTGAATTTAATGGATTTCATATGGTTCAGAAATGTCCAGATGTTTTTTTTGGTCAATGTTTTTTTATAGGGAAAACGATGATGATTATAAGCTGTGGAGAGGTAGCCTATTTTCAGACAAACCCACATGTTGCCCCCCACGTTGCTATAGAAGTCTTTCAGGTTTGGACTTTGATTCAGATGGGTTTGTCTAAAATAATAGGTGTCCCAAAAATTAGATGGTTTAGAGCCTCAAGATCCCTATTAACATAGCCACAAATTGGAACAAATTGGTTGGCATATATATATATATATGTATATATATATATATGTATATATATAAATACATGATATCCCACATATCATGCCATTTATTGCCATCAAAATCTCATGAAACTTGATGGTACGAAAGCCAAGAAATCTGCGAAGTTTGCCACGGCCGGAGCAAAGACTCCCCGGTGTCGGGTGTCCCTCGTCGTTGCCAGAGAAAAGCTTCGGGGCTGGGTATAATATACACTGGGGGTATAATATAATATTATATATATATGTGTATATTATGTATATATTATATATATATATATTTATGTATATATATTATATATATATATGGATATATATTATATATATATGGATATATGGAGGATCATGTGGAGAAAATGGAGACAACTTCATGGAATATTCTGGTTGATGGTTTCGCAGTTCAACATGTTTTAAATGTGTCTGCTTGCCATCTGATGATCATCCATCCCAGTTGACCAAGGCAAGTCCAAGGGTGGTCCAAGCACCTCCAGATGGAATATCGGATTTTTTAGAGGAGAGATATTCAGACTATAGAGATGATGTATTTACCTTATTGGAACTCATTAATTCCAGTTCTTTAGTTCTTCCATCGATGCTGGGGTTGCAAAAACAACCAGTTGCAGCGTTGAATACCCTAGAAATCTCCTTTCAGCCCAGCCCCCAACATTGACATTTCCACACATATCACACGTAATACATACATACATACATACATACATACATACATACATACATACATACATACATACATACATACATACATACATACATACATACATACATACATACATACATACATACATACATACATACATACATACATACATACATACATACATACATACATACATACATACATACATACATACATACATACATACATACATACATACATACATACATACATACATACATACATACATACATACATACATACATACATACATACATACATACATACATACATACATACATACATACATACATACATACATACATACATACATACATACATAGATACATAGATACATAGATACATAGATACATAGATACATAGATACATAGATACATAGATACATAGATACATAGATACATAGATACATAGATACATAGATACATAGATACATAGATAGATACATAGATACATAGATACATAGATAGATAGATAGATAGATAGATAGATACATACATACATACATACATACATACATATGTGTATACACACTGTACATACCATACACGGGGTATATAGATGGCATGCTTGTAGGATCTCGTAGCATCCTACTATAAACTTGTGTGCTTCAGGTGACTCCATGAGAAACAGTCAGTCAATGGTCAACAGTCAGGCCATCCAAGAATCCTTTTGTGGGAAAACCCCAGGAACAACAAATTTACTTGGGCCTTAAAAAAAAAAATCCTGTAGATGTTCCTGTCAACTAATCCACTGACGTTTGGTTGCGACGTTTGAGTTGGGGAATGCAGTGGCCTGTATATCATAGATCGTTCCCTCGAGAGACTTGGTGGTGATTGTCAAATACTTCCCCAGACTTTGGAAGCAAACATACAGGATGGGGCCCCCGTTGGATAGCGTTCAGTTGCCTTAAATAAGTGGCTGAATTCTTTGGTTTATGGTACATAGCAACTATGGTCAATAGGTTTATAAACCAACATTCGCACCACTGGGGGGCACCATCCAGTAACAGGAAACAATCCCATCGGATCCCATCGAACATTGACTAGGCCAATTGGCTCCAGAAAGCATGGTGCTGGCATAATATTCACCAATTCACCAAGGCGAAACAATTTTTGAAGATTGGATGATGTTGGTATGGATATGCCATGATATGCCATACATTGCATGGATATGCATGGATGCTATGCAGTGGCACATCCATGCAAACAAATCAGACGCGCCCTTTCTTGTTGGTTGATAGTAGCAACAACATGTAGCTTAGCAACAACGTTGGATAATATTTGCTACACATTTTTGTGCATGACACATAATGTCAGATGTCCTGTGTTTCTTTAAAATGTCTTTGTGTCTTGGTGTCTTACTTGCTTACAGATACAGGTTCAGCATTCCACTTTCACGTTGTCATCTGCATGTCTTCTGGTTGACATTTTCACATATGTTCCGCATTCATCGAATATCCAAACATGTTCACATATTTTCCTTGTAACATTTCTGCATCTCTATGGTGTATCATATGTGTCGATGTTGGTTGCTATAGTGGTTGCTTCCTTATAATTCTTTACATTGCTGGATTGATATGATTTCAAGGGAAATCTGCTAGAAACCTTGTTGTTGCTTACTTCGAATATGGTGTTTTCCATGGTTATCCAGCTAAAGCCAGCTAGAACCAATTCGAATACGGAATGCAATGCTTGATAGATGTTCTCTCCATCATAAAATCTAAAATCCCATAGAAATCCGAAAGTCCCAAGTCGAAATCCTGTTCGTGTCATTCCTGGTCTGACAAAATCGCGGGCGAAATGTCTCGAACCATGGACGACAAGTTCGACGTTTGGAGCTCGGGGCAGGGCTAGGCAGTTCGTCGAATTTTGTTTGCTGCACTTGCGCCAAAAAAACCTGTGAGTTCCAAATCATCAGGAAACCTATAGCTGTGGAAGCATCAAACTCATGGAAAGCTTTTGGAACCAACTTTTGAATACAAAACATGTTCAAACTAATGGAAACCTGTGGAAAATATGGAAACCTGCTTTTGGAACCCTTGAAATATGACAAGCCGCCCTTCGGATCTTGGGTTGGTCAAATCATTGGGGTTGTTGAAACATGGCCATGCAACAGGAACCCGAATCGATTGGAGGTACCGATTCCATATATAAGTAAGGCCCATTTAAAAAGGCCACAAAAAGGATATAAAAGGCCTAAATTTCAGGGAATATCACCAGAATTTCTATGGTCTTGGTATGACTTATCTGGTACTAAGTTAGTACCTCGAAATTCCAATTGATAAAACCATTTTGGAGGTAATTTTTATAAATTCATCCCATGGTTTCCATCATCCCACATAATGGCCAGTGGGGAGGTTTCCCATTTCGGCATCGCAGTGCCACGACATGGGCCTAGTTCATCATGTTCATCCCGCTGGCTGGATGTAGCTAGGTCAGTAGGGTTATGCAAAGCAATTCAAGGTGGGATTTTTGATTCATAATTACTGGGTAGATATAACTATAGTCAATGGATTGGTTTAAGGGAAAATCTACAGGAAACCATAGATTTTCCCATTAAATATGGGGCTTTCCTGCAGATTTTCCCTTAAACCAACCCATTGATATAGTTAATGCGGGTTATCATGGTTTATAAACCAACTTATATAACCTATCTGGGTAAATTTGATCACGACCGAACCCTGCTCTCCCGAAGCCTGGAATCATGGTGAAAGTTAGGGAAATCATCCCCTTTTATGGCCGCAAGATTCAGGTTAGTGAAATATAAAAAAAAATACCCAGAATAATTAGATTCATACGATGCATCCAAGAACTCTTTTTGTTTGTCCCAAAAAACCGCTCGATCAGGTGGGAAATATTCACAAACCTCGACTTTGATTTACAGCAAACATAAAACTGGGCAGAGATCCCATGAATTTCACACTGCGGCTGGGCAGGGCCAACGACACTGGGCATCTCTAACCATTGACGTGCCTTGAGGGTGAACACGCACAGTAGGAAGCCATGATTCATCTGACCGTCCCCCTTAGATAGCTAACTTGGTTTATGACTAGTCGAACTGGATCTAGCTGGGGGGATATGGTAGATAACTTTATCAATTATATATATACATATAATTATATATATATATATAATATATATACACACATAGAATCTATACTATAATGAGGCTTATGAAACAACTTTTTTACTGAGCGGAACCACCTTGTGGGTTTATTTGACTTTTTCTCTGATGATTTTTTGGGGTTCCCAGAAGCCTTAGACCGATCCATTGATTTAGGGTCAAAACATGAATCAAATCCCAACATTTTTTCGCAGTAAACTAACATAGCTATGGAAAATCACTATTTTTAATGGGTAAATCCACTATTTCTATGGATTTCTATGGCCATGTTCAATAGCTTTTTGTATGTTTACCAGAGGGTAAATCTCAGCAAACAAAGGCTGCCTTCCAAGCGATCCCTTGAAACATTGCATGACTTCCCGGTCGGCGCTCCGAATTTTTGCTTTCTGAGGATTAGATTATCTGACAACGTCACATGGTCAACCAACGTCAATCACCAGTTTCCCATATTTTCCCAGTTATTTCATGGCCAAGAGTTGAAGTTTTTCTCATTTTCAGACGAACAAAAAACGCTGAGGTCAATGACCTGTTGCGCGAATTGAGCGCTGACAGTGAAGACTTCGAACCGGACCAGGGCCAAGCAGCAGCTCTGGAGGAGGAGGAGGAAGAAGAGGAAGAAGAAGAAGAGGAAGAGGAGGAGCCCAGATTGGGATTTTGAAGGGATGAAACCGTCGATTTCAGGGGTTCTACGGATTCTATGATGTTTTTTGGGTTTTTGACCAAAAAGATACGGGGAAGATTCAGGAGAAACATGCCACCTGGCCCGGTTTTTATGAACTAAACCAGAATGGGACAGCCCGTTTTCAACCAACTAATACGACTGGATGAGATATGGGTATTTTTTGGGGGGCTCAGTTGAACCGGGTGTTTTTGGTCAAAGGAATGGAGAATTACACTGAATTATTTAAGGAGTTATGCAATTAGTTGTACCACCTGATTGATTAATTTGGAATACTGATTTGCGGTTTCATGTGTGTTCGGTTTTAATTGGATGATGATTCCTCGTGACTTTCAACTTGTTCAGATAGGTTGACACCGCCAACCAGATGATAGGGGTTTGTACTCCCTGATGTCAGGTCTTGACCCTTCCTCCAGATCTGGTGGACGACACGTAGATTTCTAAGTTTTTCCAAGAGACAATTCAGACCATTTCAGACCATGTTTTCCATTGTTTGGACATCGAACTCATTTGATGCTCATATGAGTATATCATGTACTGGTGTACATATATATATATAATTATATATATGTATATGTATATATCTACATACTAATTGTTGGGGGTTCTTGTTAGCACTAGCAGTTCTGTCTCGTCTCAGGAAGAAGTTGAGGAGTCTGCTGGAAGTCGAAGTCGCCTGGCTGATCCGCTGCATAACCGCTGCATAACCCTAGAGACCAGTGATTTCGATGGCAACGGCCTCACTGCGACCTCACTATAATCATGTTTTATATATGGGGAATTGTCCCCAAGATATGCTTATTTCAGGTTAGTTAATTATTATAATTATTATAATTTACCCATATTATATATATATATATATTATAATGGTTATTACTATGGGGTTGTACATGAACCAGACATGGGGTGATTTTTCTGACTTATAACTGGTATTTCGGGCCAGAACCGTAGTGAGCATTTGCGAACGCATGCACTGTTGGATGTGGAAGTCCTGCTGTTGCCATGACAAAAACAAAAGACATGATTTGTTCAAAGGTCACATAATTGGGTTTAAGGGATTTTTCTCAGGAAACCCTTATATTTGAGAGTTGGACGCTAGATGGGTGTGGATATGCCAGAGTTGTTTTGAGATATCAAGTTTTTTCGTTCAGTTATTTAAGTTATTTCTTTTAGATTTCATTGATGTTCGATGGGGCAAAGTCATGTTTGATGTTTTTTTTACATTTTTTTAACACCAAATATGTTGATACTGTACCAGAATTACCAGCATAACATCATCTTTTGGTGTTACCCTCTGGTTATGACTAACATAGCCATGGGAAATGGCCCATAGAAATAGATGGTTTACCTATTAATAGCATGGTGATTTTCCATGGCGAACTGTTAAATAACCAGATGGTAAAAAAAGAAACATGGTGTCCCTTGGGTTTTCCTATTCATCAATCCATTGAATGAAGAAGTGGAGGTACACTGCACATTCCCAAAGAACGTGGGCCATGAAGTTCGTTCAGTGCTGAATAAGTGGGTTACATCCCCAAACATGATTGGTGGATATGTTGGCTTTTTGTAGGCTGTACCATCTTCTAAACCAACATAGATGTCTAGAGCCCGCAATTTGTAGATCATTTTGCTGGGGAAATCAGGGTTTTCTACATCTATGTCATTAGCCCAGGGTAACCCACTTATGAACAGTCAAGGACGGACCCACATGTTCTTTTTCCGGCGCTTGTTTCAAGATAAACCGCCGTGCGTTCTAACCGTTGGTTGATGCATTAATAGGGAATATCACTATTAATCAATCAATATGAAATGAGCAATGGTCAATACTGGGTATTATTAACCATTAATAGGGGATGGTCATCCAATGGTTAATAGGTAATTATAACAGCCATTAAAAAGGAACCCTATTATAATGGGATGACCATACCCTACCTACTGAGTTTTGACCCTGGCACAAATGGGTTTTGTTGTTGATGACATGGAATAGGGATATTCCCGTGGTATATGGTTATCAATCAATATTAATGACAATTCCAAAAGACATTTGTTGTTGATAATATTCCTATCAATCAATTAATGACATGGAATGACATTGCAGGTTTTCACTGCTCAGATGGTTCCCACGCATCAATCGATGTCTTGAGCCAGTGACAGGTTGATCAGGTTGATGCTGATGCTTTTTTGGGAACATGGTTCAACTTAAACCACTTGGGGTCCGATACCAGCGAAACACTGATGCCATGAAGGTTGCCCCCCCCCACAATGTATGATGATTGGTGAACCAATCAGTGGATGATCGACCAGATCATGATAAATATTCCCTTGTTTGGTGAGATCCAAAATCCCCTTGTGATTAGAGTGAAATGATCTTGGACTATGATAGGTGTGTGAAACTGCCTGGTATATGGGTGTGTTTGAAAGTGGGGAATACGAAACATGTGCATGTTTATCGGGGACTGTTGCTATACCTGTCGGGAGAGTTGATATAGCAATGCCAACATACATAGAAAACTTGGAAGCCTGGAAATGAAAAAGTATACATATATATATATATATACATATATATACATAATCTATAAGATCCTGGATGAACGGTTCTATCTTTATGGGGATCCCTATGACCCATAAGTTTCACCATCAGGGATTTGGGGCACTGCTCGGATGACATTCCCCAGTGTTGACAGTAGGTCCGCGCGACTTTCTCAGGTCGTCCCTGGCATTCCACCATTTTCATACCCCAACCATGAAGTCTTATAGGTGGTAACTCCCTGGTTTTTCAGACTGGATAGGAGGATAAAACGGAATGTGGAGGCTCTAGGGATTATCAAGAAAGAATTCATTGAATGCACGAAAAGGCATTGAGAATGTTTCCCAGAGCAGTAGAATTTATTGTTGCGTTTTCTCCGAGGGTATAGGTGCTCTACAAAGATAAATGAGTTGAGGTATGGTTGACAAACAGCTGACATAAAATCTAACAACCCTCACCTGTTTCTATATACTGACATTCTTCTGGCATCCAGAAGCTTACAGGTTGCCGGCGATATCTGGAAGGAAGAGGGCAGGATGGTGTCAACATGGTGGACATGGTGCGATGCCTTCGAAACCGCCCTGGCGCGCCAGCTTTAGACACCCACAAAGGGGGCCCTCCATCTTTCAGAAGGCTTAAACCCCCCACTAACCGTAGCTATATCTACCACAAACCACAGGTAATCATGTAGCTTTCAAAAAGCATTTTCTATCGCGGGGGCCCACCTGTTCTATCTTCAAATGCTTTGGTTGGGAGCAACGTGCCCCACTGGCGCTTCCCAAAGCAGCGACGCAGGATGGGAACAAGACGAGCAGATGTTTCGTTCACTTTCAGCCATGGTGATCATGCCTTTGACAGAAGTAGTCCTTTTTTCTTCCAGAAATCAGATGTGTGGCTCTTCTGTGCCCACTGGGTTTGAACAAACTGCAGCTGTCCACATCTTACGAATGCTGCAAGGTCGAAGGAGATCCAGTGCAGTAGTTTGACCCAGTTGGGTGTGGAAGTGCTGAGGTCGAATTGGGGAAGACACGCAACAAAAACTGAATTTCATTGAGATTGGTCGATTTGTGATATAACGCAGGTAATCAAAAAAAATGTAATAAATGGATATATACAAAATGGTGTACAATTTCCAAAAATATGCAGAGAAAGATAAACTATTCAGAATGATAGCTGATAAATCATAATTTATGGTTCAGAGACAAACATGAACTGCTGATCTTTGGGTTGACCCTTCTGGGTTTTCCTGGTATGGCAACCCCCAAAAGATAGAGACGTGTTTCCAGGATATTACTGATGTTTATTTCACATGTTTCGATTTTTTTGGAAGTTACTATGCTGTATTTGTTTATGTCGTTTCTTGTGGTTTTCGTTTGCTGGGTGTCAAAGTTAGGTGCCCGGCAGCCGGGAAAATCTCTTGCATTTGGGTCCACAGGAGGTTTGCGACATTTGCCAACCTGCAAATGTTGGCGTCTGAAAATGTATACCACCAGTTTGAGCCATGGGGCGAATTTGGGAAAATTGTGATGAACCATCACATTTGGGATACAATATTTTCAGACACACCCATGTTTCTTGTGTGATTCATTCACATTCGGTGATCGAAGATAGCGTATGCGATAGCATTCATCATTGCCGTTCAAGAAATTATGATGTCAAATGTTCAAATGTTGCTGTATGTGGGATCAGCCTGGAATTGCCCAGACTTTCAAAAATCACAGGTGGTTTTCTTTCCAGGATTTTGTCTGGAATTTATTTTTGACAAAGGTTATTAGTTTTATAAGTTGTATAGAAATAACAATGTCCTGGCACACGAATATCGGTATCCAATAAGTTCCTTACCCAATCATTTGTTTAATGACCGTAAAAAGTAAAAACAACCAATTGGATCAACCCGAGATTCGTTGTCATATGTTGTCCTGTCTTTGTGTCATTGAGTTTTGGATTTAGGTTTATTTTGACATGTTTTCCCAATTTGTTATTTATTCCTCCCATTTTTCCCAATTTGTTTTTTTGGGTACATCAACCAAGTTCCACCTTGAAACTGACATGTTCGCTTTCCAAAGCTGCAGTCTTCCCATCCCAAAATCGTTCGACATCAATTTTGATGATATAGTCCTCTCCCCTAATATGAATCACCCTCTATAGGGGATTTCTACTGGGACCAGGGAATGTTGAGTTTTACGCGGATGGGATCATCTTGGGCACAGGAGTCCATCGCATGGCAACCTTCTGGATCAGGCAGACGGTACCCGAAAATAGCTGGCTAATGGATGTTTATTTCTCAAAATATATGGTAATAGTAATATATATATATATATAATTACCCGTTTCAACCATGGCCAATGGGTGATTTATGAAGCTATCAAGAGGTGGAGGCAGCTACTGGATCCGGAGCTACGAATAGAGATTCCCAACCACATGATATAGGGAAATTGCCTGTGTGGGTGATGGTAGAGGTCCAAAAAACCGTAACATCGGATAGCTATAGGATGCTATAGGTATATTGCAAAGAAACAACATATTAATCTACGGGCTGGAACCCACTTGTTAGTTCAAGGGAAAGGCAGGTAACAAGTTGGCTGCATTTTGCTGCAACCGTTGAGGAGGATGAAACAACGACGAAGTTTATGGGCAAAGGGGAGCTACCTGAAACCACGGTGTTTTGCAGATTTACCAGATGTCGCGGGGATGCATTTCAATCATGTTTGAATTTTATTCAACTAATGCTAGTAAAGCAAGAACAAACCACCCATATTTTGGTTGGAATGAATCCCACCCACAAAATGGAAAAATTGGGGATGGTGGTTCCTATTGCCTTACTAACAGTGCAATTTTGGAATATGGGTCACCATTGAAATTTGGCGGAGTTTGGATCCCACCTGCCATGGCTTGTTGAACTGTTCCTTGTTGAAACCTCGATACCAGTGGCTCACGTTCTGCACCTTGTATGGCAGCGATAGATTCTCATTCTTCAGAAATGAGAATGTTTTGCATCCCTACAAGATGGGGCCCCCAAGATAGCTAAGTTGCATTAGAAATGGCTTAAGCGGCTTAACTATGGTTTATGGTAGATGTAACATGATATAACTATAGTTAATGGGGGTTACAATGGTTTATAAACTAACTTATAACTGCCCCCCCCCATCCTGCACATTCTGCATGGAATACCCCCGAAAGATAGCGACAAATTGACTTATAACTTGGTTATAACTAGGATTTATGTGGTGTATAAGTGTATAACTATTGATTATTAACTATCATTGAGTATTATTAACTATCATGAAGTATTATTAACTATTAGTAATGGGTTTAACTATTATTAACTCTTAGTAACAGGTTTTTCAGCAACTTATAACTGGTGGGCCCCGCCTTGAGAACATCTTTATTCACCTGTCTCCATCGCCAGGACAAAGCAGCAGGGATGTGAGCTCCCGCAGGTTCGAGCGGGCGGCGGGTGGGATGATTGGGGCCTCAGTTCACGAAGATGTCTTCTGATGAAACCCCCCATGTTTTGCAGCTTAAACCAGTTTCAATCCATATGGGTATGGGGTCAAAATGAGGTACCCCAATAATTGGATGGTTAATACTAAACTAGACATTCACATCTGTGGTCCCCTAGGTCTTCCATTTTGACCCACATCCATATGTTTTCACCTTGAACTCGCCCTTTTTGGAAGGTGAAATCTCATGAAATCTCTCCACTTTTTTCCAGGGTTTTTCCATGCGGAAATCCACCACCTTCCCCCCTTTCGGTCGCAGGATTTCCAAGGAGGACCACCGAGCTTTGCTGGCAGGTGGGGTCCCGGGTGCCAAAATTCTTGGTTTATTTAAATGGAAAATCCTATATTAAAATGGATGATATTTATAGGGGTAGCCCCATTTTAGGTTTCAACTCCATATAAACTAATGTAAGATTATATAAGTTTATTTCGTTACAAAATCGGGGTATACCGTACGGTATACCTAATAAAGGTGTTCATAAATGGGGATGGTAAAAATTGATGAGGTTTTCGCACATCGCACCATGGATTTGCTGAGTCGGTTCGATGGTTTTTGTCAATGTTTGTCCCGCAACGCGGGAAATCCACGTTGGATGTATGTGATCCATTTGTTAAGTTGGTTAATAATTGGATAGTAAATTATGGTATTATCAAACAAATACCAAATAAATAATTATCACTAGGAAAAATAACCAATGGTTATCAATGATCCACGATAGTGTTAATGATAGTTAATGATAATTTTTGGTAATGGTTATTACCAACAGTTTTTATTGTTAACAATTAGCTATTATCAACTATTGATAATGCTAAGTGAATTTGGTTTTTGTTCACTAGGCGAACTTTGATTTATTGTACAGTAAATAATCCCCTCACCTGTTCGTATGAAAAACACCCCACAGTAGACCAAGGTTTAGTTTAGTATGGGATTCACAGGTATTTGGGACCAACTTTTGGGGGTGTTAGTCAATAGGGGGGTGGGATTATAGCTTCAATAGGGCTTGTATACAGCAATTTCCAATTGGGAGAGGCCCACCTCACCTCGTACTCCTCTGGTTTTGTCTGAAGAATTGGGGGAAACATATGGAAAAATCCCCGAATCCAATGATGAATCTTGCAGATATAGCCCTCATGTTCCGATCCAAGCTGTGAAGCACAACCTCGGTGGGCCTTATGTTTCAACATGTTTCAACTGCCAAAACAGACCATCTACAATATGGAGGCGTAGTGGAGGTGTCCTAAGTCATAGGGGTACCCCAAATCATCCAAGTCATGGATGACAATTTTAAGGATCGAAAAGTATTGAACCCAATGGTGACTTCGGGGTGCCTCCATGACTTAGGACACGGCACCTGGCAGAGCCATAGGAAGGACCCATCCATGTCCATGGTTCGAACATCCTCCGGAGGAGCCGAACAGGAATGATGTGCTAAAGGAAATCATATACCCTCTGGTAAATAAAGGAGTCTTCCAACCCCTATCTGCCAGGGTCTATGTTAATTTACCAGAGGGTATCTGTTGCCCCCAAAAAATTCCCCCCGAAATCCCCTTGTGGTTTCCCCCAACAGAAAACTGGCAGTTCTGAGAGGCCTTGGACTGGTGGGGAGCCTCAATGACCTGAGAAAAAATATTGGAGAAATCGGGGAAGAGAAACAAAATTTGTGGTATTTAGAACCTCATTGATTCTTCAAATTTCTATGTAATATGATGCAATATGTATATTAACATATATACATAATGGATTATTCAAGTGTCATATACAATTTATGTATGTATATATATATATATATAATGATTATATGGCTGTTTTCAGACACACCCAGTTTGTGAATGTTGTAAAGATACAACATCTTCAGCTAACTCGGGTTGAAACATGTTTTTTGTCTCAGGATGGTACTACCTGATGCCTCGATTAATATCCAGACTCAATCCACGGCTGGGTGTCCGGGGGAACTGCAACTAGTGGCTGGCTTTGTGGCAAAGGTGTGACCTTCCAACCAAGATCCATTTGTGTAAATTTATATTATATTATGTTATATTATATTGTATTATATTATATTATATTACTGTATATGATATTATATCTTATTATATTATATTATATTTATATTTATATATATATATTATATTATACTATATTAAATTATATTGTATTACATTATACGTATATAACCATACAATGCGGGCTCCCCTGGTTGTAGGTTGCCAAACCCAATTGACTATAGACATTTCATTCCCCCCAACTTGGACCTATGGTTAGTAAATGGTTATTCTATTATATTATGCTACCTGTCGCCCAATTGACTGTAGTTAGTTGGGGTATTCTCCCGTTAGTTCTAGCAGTTCGATATGTGTTTTACTAGGTCTTTTTCCTAGGAAACGATGGGTTTGTCCATATGTAAACGTTTACCCTACTTAGATGGGCCATGGGATTAACTAACTGGTTAGTAACTGGGGATATAACCCTCTATATCCCAATTATAATCCATTTACTTATTAGTTAACTAACTCCATGGCCCGTCTAAGTAGGGTAACCACTCACTAAACCAACGCCTAACCACTCACTGTCCCAGCCATGCCGAGGAAGGCAACTCCCCCAGCGGAAGCGACTCAGAGGTAACATCAACAGTTGACCAGTCGAGCCCGGTTGAAAGCATAGATCTGATTGAATACAATAAGTCAATATACCCTCTGGTAATTTAACATAGCTATTGAAAATGGCCATTTATAGTGAGGTTTCCCATAATAAATGGTGATTTTCCATAGTTATGTTAGTTTACCAGAGGGTAATTCAAATGTGATCAATATAAATTATTATCGCCATATTTGTGTTTCAATGTATTTTTCACAGTTGCCATGGTTTAAGTCAATGGTCAATGGGGATTGATCGAAGTATGGGGATGAAACTATCAGTCATAAACTTGAGCTTGGCTGTTTTATGGGGTATTAACAATCCAATTACTGCATTGGGATACCAAATTTTGATCCATAACTCCCATAACCAAATGATGGTTGTTTGTTTGATTGCTGATTTGTCATGAAACATGCGATTATGATACTACCTGATGAATTGGTGGAAGGGCTGAATGGTCGTGGTGCATCAGCTCTTATCCCAACATCTGGTGCAAAATGGACCAAACCTTCAAAACCAGCGTCGAAATAACACCAGGTATGAACCACCCAAATTCAACATGCAGAGCCACTGAGCTTATTGCAGCTTATATTAATACATTTAGTATATAATGTATGCATATATATATAATTATATATACATGTTTATTTTATGTTTTGATCATGTTAGTTCATGTTATTTCATGTTGTTTCATGTTATGTCATGTTCTCTCATGTTGTTTCGTGTGTTTGTTTGTGTGGTTTCATGTCATTTCATGTGTTTCATGTCATACTGTGACTCATGTTATGTGAATTCATGTGTTATTGTGTTTCTCTTGAATGCATGTCCTGTAAACTAACGGTTCGATGTGGAAAAGCGTCCATTTCTAGATAGTTTTCCGAATGGGAATAGATTTAAACATCTATGTGAACGTTTAACCTACCGTAGGGTATTCCATTAAATCCCATCTAATCCATATAGATTCCTTTTAAATACGAGTAAATCCATATTGAATCACCACTAGATCCAGGGTTCATACAGCGGCCCATCGCTCAGCCAGGTGGCAGCACCCTTCCATGCTGGAACGGCTGCGCTTGGCACAGGAGGTCTGGGATGGTTGGAGCTGACCAAACAAAAGCCGGGATTGTTTTGCTGGAATATCATCGGATTTCATGGGAATTTATAGGGATTTAATGGGATTTTATAGGGATCCATTGGGAAATTATAGAATTCATGGGATTTTATCGAGATTAATATAAGGATTTCCTGGGATAAATAGTGGGATGGAGATATATATATATATATGATAATATATATATATATATGTAGTATATATATATGAATATAATGAAATCATCCAAATAATGGCTGATGTGGCGACATGACCTACGAAATAAGTAGGTTATGACCCAAGATGAAAATGTTTGTGGACTATTGGAGGGAGAGCAAACATTGGAGCCTGTTGGAGGGATCCCACCATGCAGATACATACGATGTTGAGTGGCTACATCCCGCTGTGTTTAATTATTAAACATTAAGGTCAATGATCCCCATGTGTTACATCCGCATGTGTTCATGTTCATGCAGAATCAAACCACCAAACCAAAATCATCAGAATCAAACCATCATGTGTTCATTGTCTAATGATCATAATTAACTATAAGCCACATCGTCATCATCATCATCATCATGATCATGATCATCATCATCGTCATCGTCATCGTCATCGTCATCATCATCATCGTCATCATCATTGTCATCGTCATCGTCATCGTCATCGTCATCAATCATAATTGATTAACCATGGTTAAATCACCGTTGCTGTATACCAACATTTTTCATGGCGAAACCATCAATTTGTGGTGCTTTGCTTCTCCATTAAGACAAGCCGAGATCACCATTTGTTGCAGGTGCAGTCGCTTTGGCTGCAGAAGCCCTTGCAACACGTGCGGATGTGGCGCATGAGGCGTGGTTTGCGCGGGAACAAGAATGACACGGTGTTGGTTAATGCGGTAAACCGACAAAAGTGGTAACATCATGTAAAACCATGTAAAATCATGTGAACTAGATATAAGACATTAAATATTGTATTGAAGAAATTGGTGGATGTGCTCCTGGTAAAGCCTAGAAATTAACGGTTGTGGCCGAAGGCCAAACATGATGTTCATCAACCATGTTAGGCGGAAATATGCTGAAATCATGTGAGAAAGGGGGAAGTAAACCCATTTGACAATATAATGTGACTGGTAAATCCAATTAATCCAGCGCCATAAACCGTAGATTGCTGATGGTGTACATCTTGATTTACCACACTACAATAGTTCGAATCATAGATTTGTTGTTCTTCCTAGTTGGTTGCTAAATACAAGCGAATCCCCACTGATGAACTGGTATATGATGATACACGGAGCACTGAACGGCCCTCTTTTTTTGGCAAAAGGACAAAATTGGTTCATATTCCCCGTTGGTTTCTCCATTTTGTTTGTGTGTGAACCTATGAATCAAAGCTTGGGCAGCAGAGTTTTGACCCATACCCAAGTGAGTGAGTGATTTTGTCCCACTTGGAAACTAATCAGCCTATCATCAGCCACAACCCCTCAGATTGCCAGCCCATTCAATAGAGGAATCCAGGAGAAGGTGCTCTTTCAGCATGTGATTTGGAAGCAACATCATTCCTTCCAGAGGTAATTCCGAATAGAAATGGAAGTTTCTTAAGTCATGGGAGGTATACCCCTAGTTTTCTCATCCCTTTGTGTTTATAGGATTTTCCATGAAATAAACCATCCAGCTATAACCAGTGGGTTATTACTATATATCATATATCCTAATTACTATTTAGATATGATACTATTACTATATTACAAATATATGTATATATATATATATTACCAATGGTTTGGAAATACTATTACAATATATATATATATATATATTTATACTATATATACATATATATATATACTATATATATATAAATGTACCATCCAGCAACCCCCATGGTTTGGAAAGCACCAACTCATCGAACCTGGGCCTTTCGGCCGCTCAGGCTCGAAGAGTCGACCCCCGAAAGTCGGACCGGGCTGCGACCTCCGAGGTTCGGATGGCACGAGCCCTAGGGCCGCTTGAAATCCATGGGGAAACCCCAGGAAGACCTTCTATTGTTATGATGGTTACCCTCCGGTAAGCTAACATAACTATGGAAAATCACCATGTTTTAAGGGAAAATCCACTATAAATGGCAATTTTCAATAGCTATGTTAAATTACCAGAGGGTATGGTTGATTTCCCACATTGAACTGTTAGTTTATCCACAAGTGGCTTTAGCCTTGTGGTTGTGTACCACAGGGATTTGGTCGAAATTCCACGATTTTCCCATGACACGTTGAGATGTTGCCTTGGGGCCAGGGTAGTGGAACTATCGGAATTTCTCCGGAACATTGTGGAACTGTCTGAACTCGTTTTCCCCCAAAAAAACAAGTTCCTAATTTTCTGAGTTTAGTCTCCCTCACTACCCTAAGATGGTTCTATATTTGCCGAACTATCCCAATTTCCCTTTTTTCTGCAGCCACATGACATTTGGAGGCGCCAGATGCAGCCAGTGCGAGCCTCGTTTTTTTGTCGTGGCTGCTGGCAGATCCATGACTCAAGCAACAGGTTGGTTTTCGGAAAACCAAGAAAAGGTAGTTCCATTACTAAATCTGTTGGCAACTGTCAGTAAATCCAGTGTTCCCGCTGTTCTATTTTTTGTTGGGGGTTGATCTAAGGGAAGAAGTATAGGACACCAATGGTTTTTACTCCAAAATATAGTGGGTGCTGTGTATGTTTCTTCAAGCAGTTGTGGGTATTGCTGAAAATGGGAGGAGCCCAAGAGTCAAAATTATTCCGAAATCACGACTGTGGATATTTATTTGGCACCTTTTCTTTTAAAACCATACCCTCTGGTAAACCTGGTAAACAATGAATAACTATGAAAAATCACCATGTTTAATGGGTAAATCAACGAACTAAATGGCGATGTCCAATAGCAAACTGTTAAATTGCCAGAGGGTAAGTTATCATACATTCCACTATATCCAGTTGAAATCCTAGTAGATCACTAGGATGATGGTTAAATCCCCATAGTGCCCTATAGTTGAAGTCCCTATTGTTGATGGTTAAACCAGAGAGTATTTGGGATGATGTTCCCGAATGACTAAGTTCTTTCAGATGTGTTGAAGCCGTTGGTTTGGGGTTGGCCAGCATGTTCATATCTGACGCGCCTTTTGGTTTCATGTGTGCACCAGCGAAAACAAAAACTCAACAAATACATATCCCATTTCACAAGAAAATTAGCTGCACCATGGTATTGTGTGTAAGTGGCCAATGACATTTCCAGCCCAGGCTGGAAAGACTGGTTATTTATGTACACTTGTTTGGATACATTTACATATGTATGGGTGCTTCTCCATATGGGCACAAGGACTCACATCCAAGTACCTACGCTGTTTCTGTTTGGTGGCTATATTTGATGTATATACACACACCAACTTTTAGCGTGTACGGACATTATATATATATATATACACATACATATACATATACATATATACATATATACATATATACATAGATACATATATACATATATACATATATACATATTTACATTTATACATTTATACCAATATACATTTATACCAATATACATATATACATATATACATACATACATATATACATATATACATATTTACATATATACCAATATACATATATACATATATGCAAATATACATATATACATATATGCAACTATACATATATACATATATATATATATACATATATATACACATATATAATATACTTATTCATGTACGTATATATATATATAATATTCTATCTATACGCATATTTAAGACATACATAGCCCTTACGCATGATACGTACTTTGCACCAGGCCTGCGAAGACATGCTACGATGTTGGAGTTGGAGGCGGGATGACCGAAAAAAGCTTCTAGATATAAACAAAAAATGATATATCAAAAACATATCAATAGTCATAAACATCTATTAAGGTCCTCCAAAATCATCCAAGTGATGGTTTATGATAGGAAAACCAATGGTTTGGGGTACCCCTATTCTAGATTTCACCTCCATATACCGTCTGGTAACTTAACCGACTTAACCATCAGTAATTAATGGGACTTTAATGGAATTGATGTGAATTAGATGGGATGTATGATGGTATACCCTCTGGTTGTTTAATCAAATTGGAAAATATCGAGTGTCAATGTAAATCCTTATTTTCACCATCTATAAACGGTGCATTTTCCATAGTTATGTTATATTTGACAAGAGGGCAAGAAGTGTTGGCTCCATGTTTGAGAAAACACAAGTACACTTGACATAAAGAGATATAAATAAAACATATTTTGAATCCTAGCTTTAGAGCTAAACATGGGTGCAGAACCAACGGGAATGTTTAGTGACTGGTGGCAGTGATGGGTTATTACCAGTCATGTTGGTTTCAATGTTTTTTTTGTGATGATCATCAGAACACCCAGGAAATTATACATATGTTGCTATCATTCTCATTGTTGAATGGCCGTCAAGTCGGTCACATCACACTTGCCAGAGAAATCCCTCTGCAATCTGTGTCTTGTTTCAGTCTTTGAATGTCAAAGTTTAGGCCTTCAAAATAAGCATATGAGCTAAAGCATGTTTGGCCGATATATATATATATATATAATTAGATTTCATGTGTTTATTTCGTATTTGTTTTTCCTTCGCTTACAGGCGGGGTGATATTCTGTCTATATATGAGTATAGCTAGATAGACAGACATGCATGTCAACGCACCATTTGAACTCCTCGTAAATTCTGTATAGTCTAGCATGTCCATGTTTGATACATGGCAACTTGATGAATTGACATTAACTAACTTTTACTAGTAGTATTAAATTATAGGTATCCTGACTTATAGATATACCGTATGATATATCCAATTACCGGGATACCAAATTGACAATTGGTTCTGAGATATCATCTACCAACCCCATTGAGCTTCCCCAGGAGGAGGCAGCGGTGACTCCAGTGGAGGAGATTGAAGAGGTCGCGATATGTGGAAGTTTCCAGGGGATGTGCTGGATTTTCACTACCTAACATTGGATTTTTGGGGAAAGAATGAGGGTTTACAGCCCATTTTTTCCCGGAACCAAGCGGGGCTCCAACCGGACAGCTGGGGTAGTTGTGGGTTGGCGGAAAAAAACTCCAGATGGAAAGCTGATACCCAGATCAGCTCCATTTAGCCTTGGCATCCCAGATTGCCCAAGATTATTTTAGGGTAAATGTATCACTATGGGTTCTACGCCAAAATCAAGTCGTTAAGTCGTTGTATTCCTACAGCAAAGCATTGGGTGAACGGTGATCCCTACGGCAAACTTTGTATCCGTACAGGGGGGGTGTATACAATGATAAACAATCCCTAGTTTTACCAGAAATGGGTTGGATTACCATAGGAACCATAGGTGGTTTACTGATTAGGTTGGCCATCTGAAGCATTTTTTTGACTCCGAAAGGGGACCTGCAGGACCTCACTATCATTCGTTTCGTCCTATGGGTTACATGGATTCTGTAGAGTTTGGGATCATCCCCATGGCCGACACAGGTTCACAAAGCTCAAAACGCGGCACACGGAGGTGGGACCCGGGTGGGACCATGTTGAGATGGCAGGAACCCAAGGGATGGTGTGCATCCAAGATGTAAATCGTGCTATGGAGCTTTCCCAAAATCAGGCCCCATATCATGCAAAATACACCATATTTTAGCATATTTTAGTATTGAAACCCATGATGACTTGGGGATCTCCCAGTCCCATTTTCTGAAACCTACATGTATGATCATATGTGTATCTGGATGATGTAGCGCTGATGATGAAGGCACGAATGTGTATCTCTTTGTGTGTATGTTCGCGCATGTTTAAGCATCGGTGCTTGCCAGAGAAAGATGAATCAGAGACGAAAAACTAAGCAACCTCCCTACTTTGCAGCATCGGTTGTAATTACCACTTTTCTTGATTCCAACACTATTTTCAGCATTCATGCATAAAATCAGAATGTTGCACCCAAATTCGATTTTGAACATGTATCTTCCTGTTGATCTCCTATCCAGATCAAATGGGTATAGGGAAATATGGACAGTTGGCAACGAAGAGTGGTTGGCCGGCCGCGTCAGCAAGATGGGTGTATCATCCTGTTTGCGGCCCGCCCAGTGACCGCAGTCCCCAGGTATGGCTTTCCTGGCTGCATCTCGAATACAGGTGACGGCAGTCGCAACAACTGACCCCAGGGTCTGTGGTTCAACCGCGCCCGACGTTGAAACAGCCGTCGAGGCACTTCGAGAGCAGAGCCAGAGGGCCAGTGGCTGCGACCTGAGCAGATGGTGTTTCTATCAGGTCAGCGACCCCGTGCAATCCCAGCAAACGGCCCTTTACTACAATGCAACTGGGCACCACCGTGAACAGCGGGCAATTTATGGCAATTTGGTTCTTTGGCTACCCAGGTTAGCTGTATAATATATATATATATTTTTTTTATTATATATATTTTTTTTCCATATTAATTACTATGATATGCGCTTAATTACATGTGTGTCGTAAAGACCGTTCTTAGTGTGGAAACTTGGTAACTTGACCAGGCTAATCCAAAAGAAGGGGAAACTATCCACTCTTCAATTACCTTGTCAACCAGCCTCATCCAATTCATTCCAACTCACTCGAAGCGGAGGGTTTCCTTTAACATTGGTTCTTGATATTGCAAGAAGGGGCTCCCAGTCACACGTTTTTTTTGTTAACATCACCCAATTTTCTATTTCACTATAAATCAATCTATATAACAGTTTGCTATCTAATAACCTAAACAGACACCATAATTCAGATACAAATCCCAGTTTGAAATTCACAATCTTATGGGCTTTACATTTTATTTTGTGTGTTGAAAACTCCAATTTTGAGCGGTTAGCTTCCAGTTTTTAGTAGTTCAATGTCCAATTTGTAATGCTTACTGTCCATTTTCTGGTTAAATCACAGTCAGTGGTTCACATGCAATTATGTTCTTGTTTAAATTCTCATTTTTTTGTAGAGCTGGCTACATCATTTTTGTTCGTCGAACATTGTTTTTTCCTTGTGAAATCCCTCTGGGTTCCGTTGATTCAAACGCTGACCCCCCAAAGCGGCCGTGTGTCTCAGTTGAGACTGGACGCCTGCGACATGCGACTTTGATGGATCTGGAGGAGGTGTGGCAATGGTTGGGAGGTTCATATTCGTTTGTTTATGGAAAAATCATGATGATTGGTATTATCACGGGAAAATCAGCCAACAATATATGATGGCCCGAAATAGTACAGTGATGGTCCGAAATATACCATTTATTGTAACTATTCCATGAGCTATATTATACACTTAGCCAGTTATGGGGATAACTCATGGGATAGTTACAGTTATGGCCCGAAACACCCGTTATCAGTCAGTGAATTCAGCCAAGCTATGGGGGATTGTCGGAAAATCCATCGGCTGAATGGTGGAATGTCCAGGCATCGGTTGTTCAACTAATATGGAAGTATGATTAATATTGGTAGTAAACATAGGGGGCAAATCCATAGTAACATCTTTAAATAATTCTAAAAATCAACTGTTTACATCTGTTTACTGGAAGGTAACAGGAAGGTTCATTGGTTTGTTTTTTTCGGGAGTTAATGGAAGTTATACTAGCGAAATGATGGGGAATTATGATAACCAGTAGGGAAAGCTATCAACGGAATCGGGTCCTGCAAGGATGTGGAAAAACCAGGATGGAAGTAGAGAAGTTTTTTCCATAGATCATTTTCATAGGAAAAAAACCATGGTTCTTCCACATCTATGTAAACGTTTACCCCTTGGGGTAGCATCATGGGCATCTTTTTGTAGCCTTCAGAGCTTGAAGAGTTGCTGTGGAATCTAGAAAATCCAAACCAATGGTCAAAAAGAAACAGTTGAAAAAGAAGGACTGGTTAGCCCAAAGGCAAAAGTGACACTCAGGAGATGAGAAGACCATGCACGCAGAACAGATCGGCAACACGTATCAGCTACAAGTGTTGACTCACATTGTCCTTCAGCGCTGCGCTGTCAAAAACTTGCAGCAGTTGGATTTCTTCTTCAGCAACCGAGCAGCCCTCGTTGTGACGCAACGGAGGTCTTCATCATGGGCCAGGCCTAGTGCCTTGGATCGAACGTTCCGAGCGTGGAAAACCTGGGTACCATTGAAATTGAAAACCGGGATACCTTTGCGATCGAACAATTGGTAAAAGATACAATACATATCAATAAATATCATCAAGTAGTGAATCCTTGATCAGGGGATGTTTTTTTGGAGAAACTAACATATATTTTCTGATTGCGTCCGCAATTCCAGTTTAATTTCCCTTTTTTCCCCTGATTGTCCCAATGATCTATGCTTTATTAATCTTTGTTGTGTGTGTTTGGTTGGTGGTTTCAAACATTTTTTTATTTTCCATAATATATGGGATAATCCTTCCCATTGACTTCAATATTTTTCAAGATGGTTAAAACCACCAACCAGGTGTGTATATAGGTGTGCAAATATATATATATATATGTATATGTATGCGATCTCTCCGCAGCCCAAATTGTGGCCAGATTCCCGCCAGAAAAATCATTTTCCAGGACCCATTTTTGGGGTTCCAATTCATAATTCCAAAGAAGGTTTATTATCAACGGGGGTTAGATGATCATCTAGGTACCGTCGTCATTCTCACTACTGTTCATTTCAACAAACTGTTTATTGATTTTCTTGAACAGGTATTATGAAAACTCACAACATGTCCATAATCATCATTTGAACTAGGTATACTTATAGAGACACTTAGATCAATATGGTTTTGTCTGAAAATGTGATACCCAGCAGTTGATGGTGTTCTTTGTTTTTCTCCTCACTTTGCGCCAAGTTCCATGCTATTTTGTGGTATTCCCCATTTTTTTTAAAGACACGGCCATATATAGTTCTTGGATGTTCGAGGGCCTTAAAATCCCATCAAAATCCAAAAAATGCCAAAAATCCATTAAGATTCCATGAAAATCCCATGAATTCCATTAAGATCCCATTAAAATCAATCATTCTCAAGGCTTAGATCATCATCTCCACATATCTCCAGGTGGCCCAAAACCCCGGTCCTGGCAGCGCGCCGTGCCTCACAACACCCTCGGCGTCGGAAGCGTCGGAGACAGCCTCCAGGCGCCGGGGAAGAACAGCCGATGATCGGATGAGTCACAGATAATTAGTGGATAATTCATGGATAATTTTATGGTAAATTAACCGTTGGACCCTGAAAATCACAGATAGTTACACAGATTCATAGATAATTTATGGTAAATTAACAGTTGGACCCTGAAAATCACCCATTTTTTATGGAAACTAGTCTCCCAACCCCGTTTTTTATGGAAACTAGTCTCCCAACCCCGTTTTCTGCCAGGGTCTATGCTAATTTACCAGAGGGTAATGGATAATGGAATAATGGTTAATTAGTGGTTAATTAGTGGTTAATTAGTGGTTAATTCGTGGTCAGTTAATGGTTAATATATGTCAATGATGGCTTATCTCTGGTGATAATCATGAGATAATGTGTATATATATATATACAGTACAATGGGATCAGTTTCTGTTCATTCGAGGTATGGGCGGGAAATGGGATAATTCATCTGCAAATGTGATTAAGGAATTTGACCAACCATAGAAAAAATAATGGTTAATAATGGTTATTAAAAGAGTTAATCGCCAATAATGGGAGATTTAATGTGACAAATGATGGTTGATACGGAAAAACACATGGATTTAACTAACAAAAATACTAGTGACTCAATGGTTATTGAAACGGATTAGCAGGATTCAATGACGGTTACCCTCCGGTGTCATCAAACGTGACGGGCCGCTGGGAAATCCCCGAGCTAGCCATGGAAGTTTACTTCGTTGGGGAAATCAACTATACATATGGGAAATTTCCCATCAAACCATGTTTCATTACTGGAGGGTAATGGGTACAATATATATATATATATATAAGTGGGATATATCCAACCATAATTAGTTTTGCTGAAAAGACTGAATGTAGGATTTTAATGGGGATAGAATGGAATGTGATTATATTTCTATGATTTCTGATGTTTGGGTTTGTCTGAAAATATGGTAAACCACCCACATGACAATTTTTATAGGAAAAAAATGGCTGGCCATCAAAGTTTGCACAATTTTCAGACGCACTTAAATGGGTGCTGTAGAATGCTGGTAGCTGAATTGAAGTAACTATCCCAGAACAGCTGACACTTTACCCAAAGCATTGGTGCGCGGTGCTTTTAGCATTTCTAAAGGAAGAGATTGTGAGGACTTATATAAAATGTTTATGGGTCAAAACCCTTGTACCTTAGGCACCTTAAGATAGTTTGCTAATGGATGTTTATCCCCCAAAACTTTGGTAAGTTCATAGGTTTTGACTCATCCATATGTTTTTCTTAGACCGATATTAATATCCAGTGATGGTGCATCATTTCATGGTGATATTGCGGTGTTGCACATGTGGATTTGATCAGCAAAAACCATCATGGATCTGAAAACATAAGGATGTCACTAGAAATGATGGTTAGTGTCACTATCTCATAGTGGCAATATTTCCTAGATGTTATTAGGTTACCAAAAAAAGTACTATTCTTTTGATGATTGACCCTGTTAAACATGTTGTTTGAGGATTACCATGTGTTACTTTACCACAACTTGTTTATTTACCTCCTTCATAAAGCATGTGTTATTTCTTACTTCGCTGATGATGTTGACCATTTACTGACCCTCGTCTCGGTTTTCACCACCTCCATGGCAGGTATTTGGGACAGTAACTGTATACCATGTTTTTGATCCTTTTGGGTATTTGTTTTGACCCCAAAAATATGCGTTTTGATCCGTAACCCCAAAGGCGTGATCCACCGGGACATCAAGGTGACTAATATCCTTACAACGCCCGGCTGGGACAGTCAAACTGGCCAATCTTGGAAGTGCTCTGTGGAGTGCAGCTGGCCACCGTCACAACGATCCGGCAGGTTCTTTGACCAACTTGTCTCCAAAAGGCTTACCGGAACAACCGGGACAGAGAGAGACGGCAGTTCCCTTCACTGGTCGTCCCGTGGACGTCTGGGCAAGCGGTGTGACCTTGTTGAATTTGCGGCTGGCTTCCCACCGCGGACGGACATTGCAGCAGCTTTTTGCTAACATCAGACGGGGCACGCTCTCCGAAGAGGCTTGAGGGCTCATTGTGAACCAAGAGGGTGGTGTTGGCTCTTGGTCTCTGCGAGCCGCTCTGATCCACATGTTTGAACCGCAGCCGGAACGCAGGTGCAGTGCTTTGGATGCCAGCCGCATGCTACATGGGCGGTGCCCTTCTCATGAGTTCTTGCCTGGCTACCATCATCTACCATCCTGCGAAAGGGAGACGCTATGGAAACTCGTTGCGGTTTGCAAACTCTAAACCTACCATGTTTATCCATGGTTGAGATTGTTTAATGGAACTTGATCGGATTTAGATGGGATACATGATCGGATAATATCGGATATATTATGGTATACCCCAGGTTGGAGAAGTGTTGTGGGACTGCTCTGAGCTGTGGATTGAAGCTCTGTTTTTTTGAGCCCTTGCTTCCGGACTCTGGAAAAGCCATATCAACTAACCCTTGTCTTGCGCGCACAAATTGGAGACCACCACAAGCTCGTGGCACGATCTCGAAAAAACAACGGCGAGGTGTTTTGGATGCTGCAGCATGGTGCCGCGATGTGGTGTATGTAGATGCGGGCCATACGCTTCAACTGGAGAAGGTCAAAGCATCAAAGAAAAGAAAGCTCACTTTGGTAACAAGGGGGCCAATCTGTGACCCAGACTCTCCACAGTTCCGTGCTGAGGTCTTCGAAAGGTAGATGTTGGTCAGGAAAAGAGTCCTAGAAACATATTCTGCTTTGCGGGTTTCTAATAGGGGTGAAGCCGAAAGATTTTTGTCGTCTTTTCTGCAGGTGGACAATGACTTCGAAAATGCTCTTCTTGATCCTATCACTAAGCGTCTCTCAAAACCTCACGAGATGTTGAAAGCGGTTTTACTTGACACAGTTGACAAGGCTTCTTCATCTACCCAGAGTCAGGACCCAGAAATTGCCGCGGAACTGTCACGTCAAGTTTCACAATGCCGTGATAGAATTTCTTTTCAACACGATTCGCTTTATAGGTGCGATGAGTTAGACGATGCCTTAGGAAAGCTGACGACAAACAAGAAGTGTCTGCGCGGATGTTTTGCAGCCACTAAGGTTCACAACGTGCATGCTCGTTCCTACTTGCTTGTTTTAATGAACTTGGCTAGACATTTTGGTTTGACTTCTTCTCACTGGTCCTTAAGAGCTTTTTCCCATCTTTGGACGAAAGGTCCCAAAGTGTTTCGCAATGTGGAAAATCTGAGGCCAATCTCCTTGTGCGCAGATCTGGCACATGTCCAAGATGCATTGTGGATTGCCAGGAACAGAACAGTTTTTAGAGAATTATGCTGGAAATTCTCAGGTCGGAGGGGTTGCTGACACTTTGTCCTGAGTGCCAGGCTTGATTTTACATGCTGAATTAAGATTGTCTCAAGCACTTCCATGCTACTGGTGCTTCATGGACCTTGAAGCTGCGTTTGACAATGTTTTTGTCGGGCATGAAACTTGCCGCGCAGAGGCAGGTATTACAGGGATTGACTGGCTTCTTTTGGACGATATCATGGATCAAGATTCCCAATTAATGCGTTGCCATGCGCTCTCTCCTCTCAAGAGTCTTTCGCCTTGGGTGTGGCACGGCGCAAGGACGGAGGTTCACTGTACATGTGTTTAGTGGGTTGCTCAGGTGGCTATTTGAAGAGGTTCATGTTTCACTACCACACGGTACCAAAGCATGGTTTCCTCCAGCGACTGCATTGTTCCCCGCCTTCCCAGGGGGTTGAGATTCCAAGTAACCATTATACAGGTTGAAACAGGTATTACGTAAAAATCTCTGCTGTGCGAACCCTTCCCGTTGTCAGTTACAGAATGCTGCTTTTGCCCTTGCAAGCGTGCGCAATCAGGCAGATAGAGCTGCCGCAGTTGAATTTCTTGGGGTACAGGGTCTGGCTGCTTGTCAGTATGCAGGTGGTACCACCGTTATATCATTAAGGCACGAATCTGCTGCGAGATATGCCACTAAATAAGGGGCCACTTTTCACCCAGACCATCCTGCTGCACGCATGGCTAGATTGGCTGAGCAGGTGCCTGCCTCAGCATGGTGCTCCAAGGTTCGGTTGTTCCTAGAGGATAGCAGGCAAGGATGTCATGGCTTGTGCCCCCACACATGCACAGCTGTCAAGAATCGGGGCATGCGGAAAAGGTGTTTTGAAGCAATATCGGAGACTGGTCGTTCGCCCAAAGCTCGCAGAAAGGTGTGTTTTTGGTACCCCTGACATGCCGCTTCAACTCGAGTCCTGCAGCCTGTGCGGAACACCGAGCATTGAAGTACCTCACATGGTAACCTGCACGGGAAGACAAGAGTTCTTTAACTCCTTTAGATGCGATATGTTTTTTTGACTAAAGCATCACGATGACTCGACCCAGTGCTTCAGGATCACTCCTAGCGACTACGCGCATCTTGCGGGCTGAGGTGCAAAACAAGGATGCTTGGGTTGGGTAGTCACACCAAGCAAGCGGTGAGCTGTGAAAGACCAGCTCATGACATGACGCTACTGGTGCCACACCTTTGTGGTAAGAGGTGTGCCTCATGTGTCCAGGCACATTAAGTGCGCGACATTGAGGTTTCTGATCTCATCTTATCGAACGGAATGAAGACATGACCGGAGGGTATGATCTGCCACGGCTAGGAAACACGGATTCACAGACCCAGGTTGATGAATTAATTCAGGTGGCTCCAACTCCAAACAGTCAGAGGCTTTCTCAAGCCAGGGTTGATACTGTTGACTGCTGCCCTAAATGGAGGTTTCCTAAAATGATGATACCCCACATCACCCAAGTCATTCTGTCATAACTTAGTACTGAAAGAACCATGGTTTTTAGGATCCTGAATTTTAAGAATCCCCCAGGCACCATTCTCCAAACCCAGTGGCAGGCATCGAGAGAATCCTTCTAAGGAGCCGCGTCCAAAGCTGGACTTTGGATCCGAAACTGTGGGGTGAAACTGCAAAAAATGAAAGTTTCAACCAGCCGAAAAGGTGGATATTCCTGAACTTTAAGCAGAAAATCAGATGATATAGAGATGCAAAAACAGCAGGTTCAAATTTTAATCAACAGCAAGTTGGTGCTCAACCTGGTCTACAACAACAAAAACGGGTGATTAAGCACCGCGCATGTGTTTCGGCAGTGATTTTCTCTGGTCTCGGATGCTGGTCCCAGGAATCGTCATGGAAGTTCAGCAGCTTTTTGACTGGTACACAACATCGATGGGATTTGTTGCAGCCATTATGATGATACCAGTACAAATAGACATGTTTTATTTGAAGATGTTGGGACAAAAACCCTACACGGACGGTTTCATCATCATGTTCCCTCCTAAACTTTGCAATTTTTGAGGTGTGCTCGATTTTTGAACACACCCACCTGGTATTGGAAAACACTCGCGGAATCGAACGAATCGCATTGGAAAATCCCCAACAGGAGCACAGCGTGGCGGCCCACGCGAGGCGGGGAGAAATCCAAAGTGTATGACTCAAACTTGGGTACCATAGCCCAACAAAAAGGGAATGGTGACAGCCGCTAAGAATCAGAAATGTTTATCAAAAGATGTCCAAATTCGAGACTTATTGGGACTTGCAGAGTTGAGTCATGTTTTGAGGAAGTAAGACTAGGATTCTACAAGTATCATGACAGCTGTTTACCATGTTTTACCAATCCTGTTCAATCCTGTTTGGCATTTGGTGAATTAATCCTGTTTGGCATTTGGTGAATTAATCCGAAGCAGCTGAACGGCCAACAATCCTGCTTGGCATTTGGTGAATTAATTCTTGTCCTGTCGGGCTAAAATGTTCCTTGAGCTTAAGCCAAAAGTATATGGGGTGTGTCCCGTTGAGAGCACGAGTTTTGTGAGAATACGCAGTCTGCACGAATTATTCATGATCTCCAGATACCCTGAAATAAACTATTCTACACTAATTATTCAATTGAATCTTCACTGACTATTCTAAATCAATAAGATTATGCAATGCTCCTAATTATCCTGATATCTTGACACTAATTATTGGGTTTCTCCTTTCATCCTGGTGATATCCAGGTGTGAAAGGGACAGTGATATCCGGTCGATCACTTCATCGCTGGATTTCTTGCCTGGAGCAGAAACCGTGTCGCTTGGGATGGCAAAAATTTGTTGTCCGGCGCCGCCGGGCAGAAAAGAAGTTATGTTATCAATAGGAATTCCAGGATCCTAAAATGGAGGTACTGCACCATATAAGACCATATTTGGGGGTGTATATATATATATATATATTTACATAGGCCTTACATAGGCCTTATATATGGTAGGTACCTCCAATTTAGGTTCCTGAAATGGCTATTGATGATAGGTAAAATGGTAGCCACAAGTGGGGGGCATTGTTCATGCTGACTATTGTTGACTCATTTTACTTCTTATTTTGTTCAAGCAATTTATTGATCTCCCTTTCTGGTTGGTAGTTTCAAACATTTTTTATTGTTCCATATATTGGGAATGTCATCATCCCAACTGACGAACTCATATTTTTCAAGATGGTAAAAACCACCAACCAGTGCAGATATAATATACAATATATATTCCTTTAATGGATCATTTCCCATGATTTTCAGATATTTTCGAATAGCAATTTATTGATCTCCCTTTTATATGTGGGGGGTTTTCGGAAGAACTGGTAGAAAATGCTGTGATGAAACCAGCGGAAAAAAAGGAAGGTTTGCCATGCCAGGACCAAATCCATCCCATGGGAGCCACAAGGTCGATCCCAATGATCCCAAGTCATGAATAGATCCAATAAATGTCACCAGGTTGTTGGATTTAATTTATTCATAAATATCTATCTGACCGGCTGAAGGGATTATCATATGTTATGGTTGATGAAGGAATGTTCCCCGTAAATCGATCATTAACAATATCATTAAAAGATATTAAAAGTCATCAACCCGCGCTAAGAACCCCCACGCTGGCTCTTTTGAACCAAGTGGAACAGTCAAGTCAGATAAAGCCACATTTCAAAGAGGCTTCAATAAAATTGGAATATGTTTCAAAACTTCATGTTCTATCTACTTAAAGGAGTTGTTATGTTAACACATAGAACCCCCATCATGTGATGGGTGACCATACCACGTTCATTCCATGAAGCTTGAGCGTGACGAGGCCCAAGACACCTTTGGCACGACCCAACGGCGCCAAAGGCAGTTGTTCGTGATGGGCTGATGGGTATAACATATGGAATTTTGGGTTCCATAAGCCAGGAAGCAATATAACATAATACACATCCTATAACTATGGTGATATCGTTAAATGTATAACCCCAAAGTTGGTATGTCCCTCCCATCATTGTGGCCATGTATAGATGGATCCCTGGGTCCCGTGTTTTCATCGCGTGTGAATCCTTGGTACTTCTGGGATATTATTGTTTTATCAATAGCCATTTCAGGAACCTAAATTGGAGGTACCTACCATATATAAGGCCTATTTTTCAGGCCTAAATTTCAGGGAATATCCCCACAAAATATGGCCAAAAATTTGGTACTAACGTACCTCCATCTTAGGATCCTGAAGATCTATGAATAGATAAAAGGTATGCCAAATATGAACCAACGGAAGTGTTATTGACCTAGGTCATCCTAGGTCCGACATTCCATAATTACGAGTACTTTGGCCCTTATTTAAGGTACCCTTTTGAAATGATGAAAGTATAACATGCTGGTGCAGGAGATATCCGGGATCAACGTAAAAAAATGTTGGTTTTTCATTGCAAATTCACACTCACACATAGATACACAGATACATACATACACACATACATACCGCACCATTCCCTTTCATTGCATCGCGTTCTAATATAACCTTACAATAGATTAGACCACACTACGTTACACATATAATTTGCATTGCACCGCATGACTTTAGATTACAGTACGTCGCATGGCACCACTACGTTTCGCTACATATGGAGGTTTCCTAAAATAGGGCCCTAGTTATAATACATTTAAAATAGGACTTTGCATTATTCCATATCATCCATTTTAATAGGATGTTTCATTGCAAATTATCAATTATTAATAGGATTTCCATGGGTTTTCCATGAAATAAACCATCCATTTAATTGGGGAACCCCCGTGGCTTAGAAATGCTGCCGACTGGCTGGACAAGCTGCCCAGGCGACTTGACGTTGCCGAGAACCACAGGACCCACAGGACGGGACCGTGGGGAGAGATTTTTCAGGCACACGAGGCAAGGAACCAAGGTAGATCAAGGGAATAAATGGGTATCTCCGGGTCAGAAAATGGTTAGTATATGTTAGTATACCCGAAAACATATCCCCGGTATCTCCAGTTTAGAGATAGGGGAAAACGATGATTAACAGTGATCAAATGTGATTTTATAAATAATGTTCACCGGTGGATTGTGGGTACTTCATGTTCAGACAAACTTATCTATTTGACGTTACTGAAGAATCTGCGTAGAAAGGATAGCCATCCTCTAGCTCAATGAAATATTATATTTGACCTTGGTTCATTGTAAATGTTAGTGTATATTAGTTATACTACTTATGATGAATCCAATACGTGCTGGCGATTTTACTTGCTGACTTTTAGCTTTGGATTTTTCTAGCTTCTACAGTTATGGTTATGGCCCTTTACTAGTTATAAGTCAGTCATAACCCCGGTTGTGGAATGATTAACCCCATTTATAACCATTTGCAACTGGTTTCTAGGGCCATAACTGCAGTTCATTGCAAACTGCTTCAAATGCTTCAGTGAATTTGGGATCAAGATCCTCTTTTCAGGCATCCTTGTCCAGTCCAAGGAATCGCCGGCGAACAAAATAGACACAGGTGAAAACTGCTATAGCGACATCAACGGACAGATGTTTTCAGAACTTATTCAACAAACCGACGGCTCGTTTCACTAAGTGGCCTATCACCCCAATATCCGATTATAAGTCGGCAAAAGTGTTTAGTCCAGTTACAGTTGAGGTTACAACCCACTGGGATGAGCCACCAAGTACCATCAATGATGGTTAATAAACTGCAAACCTTGGCGAATTACTTTGGTATTTCCTTTTCCCCGCTGTACATAGGATAGATCCTAGCCAGTTTATTTTACCGGGGGATCTAAGATGGACACAACCTCACAGCGACCACAGTCTATCATGATAGTTTATACATTGAGGCACCTCCAAATAGGTTCATTTCGGATTCCGGAATTGTTGTGATTTGACCATTTTCGGACAGATTGCTCCTTTAGTTTTCTGTTGCCATGGAAGAAAACAGAACCAGCAAAAGATGACATGTTGTGGACATTTGTGGACTATGATTGACCATGTTTTTGAGAGGTTAGATTATCCCATCCGCATCTATAGTCGCAGCATGTCACAACAACCTGTCCCTCAAAAGGTGGGACTCCAAACGTTCATGAAAAGGTTCCAACAAAGAAGGATTTCTTAAGGCATGTTTAGCTCCTATTGTTAGGAACATTTTTTCTTCAGAAAGGGGTGTTGTGAGCGCTAAAAAAACGAATTTTGGGGATATCTTTGGGTATCCCTCAAAAATCCACAGAAGATCATAGAAGTATGTAGCTGACCAAAGTCAAGATAACTTGAACATAGGAAATTTAGAACTTTGAAGACGAGAAAGTGAGTTCAAAGGATTCTCACATCCACTGTGGGCTGGCTCGACCTATCAAGTCAAGTTGCGTGGAAACAATGGCATGCCTCGCCATTTTCGAGTACACTGGCCTCAATCTGCCAAAAAAATCAGCCACCATGGTAGATCCTTTTGCTTTGCTGCGATTTTGGCGCGCAATCTTTTGAAGGGTGGGCAGGCGTGGATGTTCAACCTATACCTGCACCGTTGTGGCAAATCACGCTCGAAACCGGAGGGTTTTCCCAACAAAGGCAGTGCCCTTCATCAAACAGAGACTCTTGCAAGCAGGTAGCGCTAGGGGCCAGGGATCCAGGCAGAGTTTGTGTTCTGTTTCTCTCCTGACGCTAGTTTCTAGCAGGACAATCAGTCAGCATGGCCAGCGGGCATGTGCGTGCCCACCAGCGTGCCTTCAACTGCATCATGGGCTGGTGGCCGGGATTTTTTTCTAAACGAAACAGAAAAGCAACTGTCAGTTTTGAAATCTGATTGTACAAAGCATTGAAACGAATCAGTTTGTCTAATGCGCTAGTTTGATTAAATTGATGTTTTTTTTTTTAAGGTTATGCTGTTGTTTGCTTTCAAGCAATCATCAAGTGGACCTGTCCAGAGTGGTGGATAATTGCCACATGTTTTGCAAGATTGCGATGTTCATGGCGCAACCGAATGTAAACCACAGGCCGTGGGGGCACTCTATTTTGAAGCAAACCCAAAGATTAATTTGCACACGTGCTCATACACATGAATGCATGCGCATTCTGTTACAATAAATATAGTTATATACGTGGGTTTCAATACATTTAAATACATATCACTTATTTGTTGCGTGGCATGCTCCTAAACTATCCAACTTTCGAGCACACAAGAAGATTTGGAGTGCGTCATCCTTTGGAAGCACTAAATCCACTACATTTACGAGTGGAACGTATACGTATACTTTATGTTCATGCCCAGCGTGCTTTAGCTAGAAAGTTAGAATCAAGCGATGATATACCTACTCCCAAAGTATTCCATGGTGCTGGGAAAATTTACCACGTATTACCACATACAAGGTACTCATTGCTTCAAGGGAAATTTCGCTCGGCATGGTACCCCAAACTCGGAAGCAGAAAACAAAAAAGCGAAGTGGAGGTTAGGCAGACGTTCCTGCCGTTGACGGTACCCCAAAAAAACATTTCTAAAGCATTGCCGAGAAAAACAAATTTCCGCGGACTATGCTTTCGTGCTGTGGAAGTGTGGAAAATTGAGAAATTGGTTTCGGGAAATTCCGTCGATTTCCGGGACATTTTGGGAAAAATCCGGGCCAAGGCCAGGCTCCTGCCATGAAAATTCATTGAGAACTCATGCAGGTTATAGATGTCTCCAACGAATGACAGTACTTCCGAATTTCTTTGCAATGCCAGGGCGGAAACAAACATGGAAAGGACTATTGAAGTCTTGTGATATCGTTACGGGCGAATATATTGTAAACCAGCTCGTAACTTAGAGTTATTAAATGTTATTAATGGTCATAATTTTGGTGATAATTCCATACGTTCTGACATCAATCCTGTAACTGTGGTTACATATATATATATATTATATATATATGTGTGTGTATTTATATATATATATCAATATATACAAATATGTTCGAATATGTATATATCTATGCATATATATATGTATATATATATGTGTGTATGTATATATATATATATATGTATATTTATATTGGTGTATGTATATACATATATATATATGTTCCTTGTTAATCGCAACTGCACCCCCAAGCAAGCCCCAAAAACATGAAATATCGCATTTTTTGATCAGAGCAACAACCTCTTAAAAACAACTAGTTAACTGCCGCATATTTTTTGTTTCAACTAAGTTGGTTTTTGATATTAAGATATATCTACCGAAAGGCCACATAGTTATGAACAAATTTAACTGTTTACCCTCCTTACAACCAGGTTTTTTTCTATTTACTGTACTAAGTGGATACTATCCACAGTCTATGTTCGATATATCAATATATTTGTGTATATGTATATTTAATCCCCAGGTATTCGCAATAGTTTTGTGAACAGAACTATGTTTCCAAATTTATAGTGTTCTTAATGTTTTTAATACGACATAATCCCAGTACATACCAAATTTATAACCGGAGTAGCCGTACTTACCGTAACTGAGACTTGAATTTCAACCTACTTGCTGGGATGAGGCGCCAAGTAAGGAATTAATCAGGATAACACATACGATATACCCTTATTTAGGGGTTTATCCCCATAATAAATACCAGGTGCACAAGTAATATCCCCAGGCATACAGGGGTTATAACCCATTTACAGACTGGCATGCATTCTTAAGTAAAGTTTTTAGTAAGTGTTACCATGAGTTTTTTTTTGTGTCATCCCAATTCCACTTACCAAGCAGTTACGAACTGGTACGCATCGGGATATAAATCACTTACTTGGAGGATCATCCAACTTAGCAAGTGGTTTGTCAACGACATTTCCTATCAAAGATTGTGAATCTCCAGTTCGTTTTTTTGTACGTTTACCAGAGGGTATACCCCAGTTATGTTTGGGGGAGGTCTCCACAACTGGAACCCTTTACCAGTACTTATAACCCTATTTATGGTTCGTGTATAATCCCATAGAACTCACCAGCTATCACTAATAGCCATGGCCATAACTGTAGTGTACCTTGATGTACCTATTTAAAATTATTTATGTGGCTGATGTGATTCCTGAGGGTCTATGTATAATGTTCTTTGGATTTCTTTGGTGATTATGCTTACAGCAACATGATTAACATGATTACTATTACTCCAAGTGAAATAGCAACATGATTAGTATAGCTGTGATAGTAAATATAGTAATAACTTGTTAACTTTAATGGTCTCGGGCCACTATCACTACTATTACTCTTTTTCCACGTGGCCCAAGCTGCTCCCGCCACAAGGCCTTAGCCCCCGCTGCTCCCCACGCCTGGCACAGAGCGCCTTCAGCGCGCAGGAAGCCGCCGGGCTCACGCCGCGAGGCCGCCTTTAAGGGGTGGGTCTTTTCGGGGAATAGACGGTGGGTTTAACGGGATTTTTAGCGGGACTTTGGATTTCATGGTGATTTCATGGGACATTAGTGAGATTTTTTGGTGATTGATAAGTACTTTAGTAGGTTTTGGTGGTGATGAATAGGAATTTGATGGGTTTTTAGTGGAACCTCCATGGATATCATGGGATTGTATGATATATGATGTGGAAGATCAGGATTCAAGTGATTTAAGCATGTTGATTTCAGAAATCATATGGTCAGAATCAACCAGTTCAATGCATGTTTTCATTATATACATTCTATGGTTTTTGGGTGGTTAAATGTTGAATATGGGAATGTCTGGGGGGATGGGGGTTGGAAAACCCATAAACAAGGTGAAGTTTCTAGTGCGTAACATGTGATTTCACCGGCAAAGCCGTTGAGCTGTCAAGATTGAAACTGTATTTGTTCATTGGTACTCTCTGGTTATTTGACATAGCCATGGAAAATGGTCCATTTATAGATGGTTTACCTATTAATAGCATGGTGATTTTCCATGGCTATGTTAGTCATAACCAGATGGTAACGTTTTCACCAGCTTGTACATGCAGGGTGCGCTGACATCATGAAATCTTGAAGTGCATTTCACTTGCCCAATTTGTGATACAGGAGCGGCATATATAAAGCGGCATCTGAGTGCGCATGATCTTCCAAGGTTCAATATCTTAATTGTAACAGGACGGCCTTACTTAGGTGGCTTACTAACCCCTCTATCAACCAGTTACCCCCGGTTACAAGCTGGTGACCGCATCAGATTTATGTATATATTCAGCATATTTTTTAGCTAATCCAAACAGAGTTTTATGGGGTTATGCATTGATTTTTTGATTAGTTAGTTATATAGTTATATAATGGCATCAAACTTGGTATTTTAATCCAGTTATAGGTGGGGTTCGCCCTTTTCGAAAAATTGAGGTTACTGTAACCGCAATCAAACCCCATAACTATACAGTTTTGGCCATTTTTTAGTTACAACTGGTCATAAATGGGATTCTACATTCCATAAATGGGGTTAGTTCAGTACTTACAACTGGTATTTAGGGCCATACCTATATGTTGATGAACAACTATTTTTACCACCAGCAAACTTACGTTAGTATGCCTGGAGGCTCTAAGCACGAAGACAGCGGCTTGCCACTTGGACTCGAGGGCGGGCCCGAGGTGTGGCAGAGCAAAGCCCCCCAAAAAAACGAAAGTGATGGTGAAAATTCCGCAGAAACCCACGAAACTGCAAAACATACAGTTTTCCCTTGAGATTAATTACAATAATAAAGTGCGGCAAAAGTCTACAGTGATTGATTTTGTGGTTTACAACTGTTGATTGTAAATGATGCTGCGAAACAATCATATCATCAATGTCATGGTGCAAAAAATCGTTTTTTTGGATGATAAATGGACATAAAACATGTCAGATGACTCTTTGAATTTGATTCTTTCAAGTCATGGAAGAACCTGGGATCATCTTGATGTCTGGTTGGGTACGAAGCCACGAAGCCAGGAGGATCGGGAGATGGACCAGCATGATGTTGCCGTTAATGAGCATGTATTCATGTCAGGCAATGTCAGTTATCAAAAAAAATATAGTTCAAACAAAAAAAATCCGGTTGTTGTTGTTGTTGTTGTTGCTGTTGTTTTCGCAAAGGGCCTAAACTGTTTAGATGGCTTATGGTCTCCAAGTCTATTGCGCAAGGAAACTGCAGTGTTCGACCCACTCTGCAAACCAAAGAGTTCTTGGTTTTTAGTGTCACAACTTTATGCCGATGCCCTAAACCAACATTTGTTTCTAAGACGGCGGCGTATGCTCGACTAAATCTGGCTCTCCCCGACAAGGAGTAGTTCTGGTCGACAAGAATATCTCTTCCAACCGACAAATATATTTCGACATAATCATTCATTCAGTGTGTATATATATATATATTTGTATGGATATGTATATATATATATCATTTCTTCCTACGCCCAGTGTATTCTTCCGTGTTTTTTGGAGCCTTGTGCAGCCATTGGCTCCAGCCATACACGTGAAGCTTCCAAACGCAGAGGCCCCGGGGTGGAGTGTAACCTGAAGTGTTACTGGTTAAAGATGTAGATTGGATGATCTGTAGATTCTGCCTAGGCCTTTTTCCGCCATATAGAATCTGGTGTAAATTCTGCTCAGTACCCTCTCCGCAATGTAGATTTAGCGGTGAAGGATCGGGGATATTCTTTGGGCTTATTTTTTTTTACCAATGATGTCAGTGACATCCTGTCAGAGACGCACTTCTAACCCTTACAAGCCAAATTGCTAACCTCAAGAGATCTTTGCCTAACCCCAACAAGGTAGATTTTGCTAACCACAAAAACATTCTTGACCCTTATATTTTCACTAACCTCAATATTGTTATTTCACTAACCACAATATTGTGCATTTCACTAACCTCTAAGCCTAAAAGCATCAGTCCCAAGGAATTATGTGATGAAATTAGTTTGCAGCAACAAAATGTTCCTTGATATATATATATATATATCACATATATATATATATATATATCTCTGGACACAAAAAAATTGCATCCAAAACCCCGGGGTTTGGCGTTTTGGTTCCAGCAAGAAGCGACGAAGGTCGTTTAGAACAGAGAATGCATGGCTTGTTTGGAAAATCTTGCGCTTAGAGTCTGAGAGCACCAGGAAGGCCATTCAACATATTCAAGCTGTGAGTGTCGTGGCTAAACCTCAATACATAACAAAAGAATAAGAAGCTATGAAATTGACCTTGAGGAAGTGATGATGAAGGGGAGTGGTGACGAAGGGAAGTGGTGAGGAAGGGAAGTGGTGAAGAAGGGAAGTGGTGACGAAGGGAAGCGGTGAAGAAGGGAAGTGATGATGAAGGGGAGATTAAAAAGTGCGTCAAAATCGTCTTTTTGTCGCTTTGGCGTCGAGATCCATCCAGTTTTGGAGCTGCAATTTCCGACGCCATTGCACGTAGTTCTATTGTGTTTTGCAACTCAGTCTCTGCAGATCGCATTGTAGTGGCTGCGTCAAGGTTGCTTGGTGCAGCGGCTGCATGCGTAATACTATTGTCTTTTGCAGCTGAAGATCGTAAATCGTATTGGAATGGCTGCATCAAGGCTGCGAAAGTGATTTGTCAGCAGATTTTCTTAATTTTGGTGCAATGTGAAGTGTGCGGAAAGTGTTTGCATTCTACCGGGGTCGCGCGCAGGTCATGTTCTTGGACAGCAACACTGCAACAGCTTCGCACAAAGCACGCACGCACGGGCCTGGCTGGCGCACGGCGCATGCAATTTCCTTACTAGTAGTACTGGGAAGTGATTCATGAAAGCTTAGGTGACATATGAGAAGAGATGAGATGAGAAGAGATGAGCTGGGATAAGGTGAGAAGAGCTCAGATGAGATGAAGTGTGGAGTGTGAAGAGTGCAGTGTGAAGTGTGGGGCGTGAAGGGTGCAGCGTGAAGTGTGAAGTATGGAGTGTGAAGAAAGCAATGAGAAGTGAGAAGTGTGAAGTGTGGACTGTGAAGTGTGAAGTGTGGAGTGTGAAGTGTGGATTGGGGAGAGTGCAGTGTGAAGTGAGAAGTGTGAAGTGTTGATTGCGAAGGGTGCAGTGTGAAGTGTGAAGACTGTCAAGTGTGAAGTGTGACGTGGAGCTTCAAATGTGACATGTGCAACACGACACCAGTTTCGCAGAGTGCACGCACGCACGGGCTTGGCTGGCGCACGGCGCATGCAAGTTCTATAGATGAGAAAGGTCTCATATATATCTTTAAGGCAACTTCCGCCCCGCCTCGTGCGGGTACTACTGGTACATTCAATATTAGAACTGATATTCCAAGTGACTAAGTGGAACATCTGCAGAGCAGCGGCTTCGAGGTGAAACAGATGCGGTGGGTTTGGCCTGCAACTCCGTGCTGGGGGACAAGTATCGCCGGGTGGGCGGCGGGTCGCGTATTTTGTATTTTTGACGTGGAAGGTCCTTAAACAGTTTCGAAGCCAGGAAAGGTATGAAAGGGTTGGGTATAAGATGGTATAACCGTGTCAAGTTGTTGTACCATGTTAAACGTTGTGTGTATGCCAAACTTTTTGCCAAACATATTTGGCAGAAGTTTTTTTCCAGTTGTTGAAAAGATATCAGTGCAACTAGCAGCGGCACCCACTTCGTATAGACGTGCGTTCCTGCATTTTCTGTAGGTTTTAGCTACGGCTTGAAACATGAAATATGAAATGGTGCTTTTCAGACTATTTAGATAAGTCATAGTTTAAAAGTCCAAATAAGAAGCGGCACGCAAGGATTTACGATTTATCAACCAAGCCAGGAAAAGACATTTTGACACACATAATATATACATATATATGTATATCAACCCGCAGAATTGGATGGTGCATCATCAAAAATGAAGCTGAAGTGTTGGCGCAGATCTTTCAAAGTTTAACCCAGTTGACCTGCCGAGTCTTTTGGCTCATGGCAATGTTTCCACATGTTTCCACGACGACGTTGCAGGTTGGTATCATGACGGAATAATCAGATCACTAGACTTTCTTTCCCGATTTTGATGGCAGCTTTGGATGCTTGGGAAGTAGAATATTCAAAAAATAGGAGAGAATTGCGCTTGCGCATGAAGTTAGATGAGGCCATTGTTGAATATCAATCGCAAAAGACTGCAAAGAAGCAAAAGGATCAGAAGGATTTCATTGCCTCCGGCAAGTCCGCCGGCCATAGAGAGGTGGCCCCAAGGGAGTTTGATGTGCATTCTAGGTGGAAGCCCGCGAGAGCGCAGAAGAGAAAAGAAGGAGAAGAAGAAGAAAGGAAGACGAAGACAAAGCCATAAAACGGAAGCGGCTCAAACAACCAATGGAACGCATACCCAATGAGTACTGGTTGATCAGTGCCGTGTGCGTCCTGTGACGAGTACTTGTAGACGACGGTAATGCTGTAGGCAGTGTCATTAGCTACCGGCACTACCAGTGTAGTACTTCGAGAAGAAGGGAGGAAGGAGTAGAGGAGTAGAGGAGTAGAGGAGTAGAGGAGAAGAGGAGCAGAGGAGTAGAGGAGTAGAGGAGCAGAGGAGTAGAGGAGTAGAGGAGTAGAGGAGTAGAGGAGCAGAGGAGCAGAGGAGTAGAGGAGTAGAGGAGCAGAGGAGTAGAGGAGCAGAGGAGCAGAGGAGTAGAGGAGCAGAGGAGTAGAGGAGTAGAGGATCAGAGGAGTAGATTCTGCCTGCGACAATGCAGGTGATGTAGATTCTGCAGGGACTTGCTTGTGCCAATGTAGATTTTGTCCGCTGCAAAACTGGTAATGCAGATTCTGCCGGGTTGGAAGCTTCATCTAATGTAGATTCTGTGCGCAACAATACAGGTAATGTAGATTCTGCGGAGATTTGCTTGTGCCAAAGTAGATGTTGTCTGCTGCAAAACTGGTAATGCAGATTCTGCCGGGTTGGAAGCTTCATCTAATGTAGATTCTGTGCGCAACAATACAGGTAATGTAGATTCTGCAGAGATTTGCTTGTGCCAAAGTAGATGTTGTCCGCTGCAAAACTGGTAATGCAGATTCTGCCGGGTTGGAAGCTTCATCTAATGTAGATTCTGTGCGCAACAATACATGGATCTTAACATGAAAAGTTTGGCCTTTGACGGGAAACATGAAAATTAGACTGGAAACCTGGAAATTTCACGGGAAACCTGGAAATTTGACGGGAAACCTGGAAATTTCACGGGAAATCTGGAAATGGAAATTTGAACAGGAAATTTGACGGAAACCCGGAAACCTGGAAATTTGACGGAAACCTGGAAATTTGACGGAAACCTGCAAATTTGACGGAAACCTGGAAATTTGACGAAAACCTGGAAATTTGACGGAAACCTGGAAATTTGACGGAAACCTGGAAATTTGACGGAAACCTGGAAATTTGACGGAAACCTGGAAATTTGATGGGAAACTTTGGAAATCTGACGGTAAACCTGGAAATTAGACGGGGAAACCTGGAAATTTGACGGGAAACCTAGAAATTTGACGGAAACCTGGAAATTTGACGGGAAACCTGGAAATTTGACGGAAACCTGGAAATTTGACGGAAACCTGGAAATTTGACGGAAACCTGGAAATTTGACGGAAACCTGGAAATTTGATGGGAAACATGAAAAACCTGGAAATCTGACGGTAAACCTGGAAATTAGACGGGAAACATGAAAAACCTGGAAATTTGACGGGAACCCTGGAAATTTGACGGGAAACCTGGAAATTTGATGGCAAACTTGGAAAACCTGGAAATTTGACGGGAAACCTGGAAATTTAACGGAAACCTGGAAATTTGACCTGGAAACGGAAACCTGGAAATTTGACGGGAAACCTGGAAATTTGACGGGAAACCTGGAAATTTGACGGGAAACCTGGAAATTTGACGGGAAGCTGAAGGAAACTTCAAAATCTGAATGGAAACTGAAGGAAACCTGGAAATTTGACGGGAAACCTGAAACCTGGAAATTTGACGGGAAACCTAGAAATTTGATGGGAAACTTGGAAATTTGACGGGAAACCTGGAAATTTGACGGGAAACCTGGAAATTTGACAGGAAACCTGGAAATTTGAAAGGGAACTTGGAAATTTGACGGGGAACCTACAAATTTGACGGGAGTGGCCAGAAACTCAAGCTACGCAGATGATTCTTGACTGCCGCTTGCTTTTTCGGTTGCCCACTTAGCTGCAAGTAGCAACTGCCTTCTCAGTTTGGTCCTTGACCTCCTAGTTTGGTTCTTAACATCCAACTTCGGCCCTTAACATTGAACTTTTGCCTTTAAAATCAAAACATCCAAGTTTGATCCTTAACATTGAACTTTGGCCCTGAACATCAAAATTTGGCCTTTAAATGCCTTTAACAATCAACTTTGGCCCTTAGCATCCAACTTCGACCTTAAAATCAAACAATGCGCACGCGACCGCCCCAGCCATCCCGCCAGTCCCCCACGGGCGCGCACCAAACCTACTCCACAACCGCGCCCCAGCACCCTCCTTTCCCAGGCCCCCAATCAAACCTTGGCTCTTAGCATCCAAACTTGGCCTTTAACATCCACATTTTGGTCTTAACATCCACATCTTGGCCTTAACATCCAAATTTTAGGCTTAACATCAAAAATTTGGCCTTAACATCCAAATTTTGGCCTTGACATCCAAATTTTGATCTTAACATGAAAAGTTTGGCCTTTGACGGGAAACATGAAAATTAGACTGGAAACCTGGAAATTTCACGGGAAACCTGGAAATTTGACGGGAAACCTGGAAATTTCACGGGAAATCTGGAAATGGAAATTTGACGGGGAACCAGGAAATTTGACGGAAACCTGGAAAATTGACGGAAACCTGGAAATTTGACGGAAACCTGGAAATTTGACGGAAACCTGGAAATTTGACGGAAACCTGGAAATTTGACGGAAACCTGGAAATTTGACGGAAACCTGGAAATTTGATGGGAAACTTGAAAAACCTGGAAATTTCAAGGGAAACCTGGAAATTTGACGGGAAACCTGGAAAACCTGCAAATTTGATGGGAAACCTGAAAATTTGACGGAAACCTGGAAATTTGACGGAAACCTGGAAATTTGACGGAAACCTGGAAATTTGACGGAAACCTGGAAATTTGACGGAAACCTGGAAATTTGACGGGAAACCTGGAAATCTGACGGTAAACCTGGAAATTAGACGGTAAACCTGGATTTGCTTGTGCCAAAGTAGATGTTGTCCGCTGCAAAACTGGTAATGCAGATTCTGCCGGGTTGGAAGCTTCATCTAATGTAGATTCTGTGCGCAACAATACAGGTGATGTAGATTCTGCAGGGACTTGCTTGTGCCAATTTAGATTTTGTCCGCTGCAAAACTGGTTATGCAGATTCTGCCGGGTTGGAAGCGTATACAGGTAATGTAGATTCTGCGGAGATTTGCTTGTGCCAAAGTAGATGTTGTCTGCTGCAAAGCTGGTAATGAAGCAAAAATGTAGATTCTGCACGCAGCAGTGCCCTTTTGTCTCCTTTCGTCCCCCTTTGTCTCCCCTGCATATGTTCGGTTCAGAATTTAGGACAGTCAGGCGGCAGTCCTTATGTCAGGTGGCATCCTGTGTGCCGTTCCAAGCTGATCCCATCATCGTTGCCAGGCTGCGTTGAGAAAGGCGGATGTGCCCCTGTGACTTCAGAGGAAAAAAACCGCGTGGTGCGACCACAGGGTTGCTTTATCGGACATTCCGACATAATGAAATAATTAAACAAGTTGAATTCAATCAGGATTGCACTTATGTTTGAAATTCAAAAGCAAGCAATTTCCAGCATGAAACATGGGTCACCCGAGTGGGCGGGTTGAACAGCCTGGGCAAACCTTGAGAACTTGAGATGCCAACTGTCATGATTTCTCACGCTGAGTGGCTCTTAATTTTTGTCGGGCAGCTTTCCGGGGTGGTTTTGTCGGGAAGAACGATGTTTCTTGTCGAGCTAATGTAAAATTCTTGTCGGGCGGCGTGGATCCTCATTCTTGTCGGGAATACAACTACGCCTCTTTGTTTCTGACTTTGGGATTGTCGAAACATCGGGTCCCCCTAAATCCCATGGTTAGGTTCCCCGTCCATTTTCAGACACAATTACAGTTCTGGCCCAAAATACCAGTTATAAGTCAGTCATAACCCCCTTTATGGAATAATTTACCCCATCAGAAAAATCATTTGTAACTAGTTTCTACGGCCATAACTGTAAAGATTTTCCGTTTTATTGGACCGTTGGTACCTAAAGTTGGTCCGTTCATCCTCAATGTTTGGACCAGACATGGTCCGTTCCTCGCCCCCCTTTTCTGGTGCCAGAAATTCTCAGTGGAAGGTGGTGCCCCGAAGAGTTCAACGTCTGCGTTGGTTTATAAACACATATAAACAGTATATATAAATCCTTATAAATCCCATCGACCATACTTATTTACAATATATGTGTGATGATATCCCAATACAATATCTATGGTTATAGATATATCATATGTCCCATTATAAATCCCATTGACTATAGTTATATATCTACCGCTACCATAAACCATAAACATTCACCGAACGTGAACTATACCAACTTTGCTTTCTATAGGCCCCACCTGAGTCGGGATCTTGTGTTAGGTATGCCTCCAATTCAAGCGGAAACATCATCATGTTTCTGCTTTTGCAGACCATGTGTCCTAAGATATCGTATGATATGTAGGCTACACAGCGATGTTCATATTAGCCTACGTAGGAATGTAGGAATTGTGGCCTACCTGATGTAGCAGCTCACTTCTCCTTGTCCCAGGTGGATCCCCGCTAGAACTTACGAGGCCACGGGCTCGGGGGTTGTTTTTTTTTCTGCTGCAAGACGTTGGATCCAATCTGAACGACCCGCAATGGCAAACAAATTGGAGTTTGCTGATCTTTGCTGGAAACTGCGGAAAATGATGAAAAAAATGCACCCGAACATGGTCTTCCGATGTCTTCTGGATCTGTTCTGCTTTTGTTGATGTTTTTTCAAAGGCTCTGCGGGATGATCCCTTTCCAGCTGAGGGACTCAGTGGACTCGGCAGTCAGAGGCCGATGCCGAATTTTTGGCGGTCGATTTTTTCTGAAATCCTGAAGAAATCAATGGTCTCTATATGTCTCTGTACTATATGTGGAAAACTTTGGAAAATCACCATTCTTAATGGGAAAACTATGAACAATCACCATGTTTACTATGGTATATCAATATCTAGGGTATATCAATGGAATATCTATGAATCAATGGTATATCTATTGCTGGTTGGTGGTTTTCAACATGACTTTTGAATTTTCCATTTCATATATGGGATGTCATCCTTCCCATTGACGAACGGATATTTTTCAAGATGGTTAAAACCACCAACCAGCTATATGTCTTTGTACTATAAGTTGTTTTTGTTTTTTTCCCGGCATGTTCTCCGTTTTGTTTGATTGTTTTGGTGATCCAATTCCGAGATTGTTGGACACCTGCCAGCATATTTGCCACCCAAAAGGTGACCAATGGTGAAAGAATGGGCTGTTTTTCATGTAGAGCATACAGAATTCAGGCCCGAAATACCAGTTATCAGTCAGCTATAGACTCATTTATATCCATTTATGGATTCTATAACCCCATTTACAACTACAAGTGGTTTCCAGGGTCATAGCTGTACCTTCAAAGACTGGAATCAGCTGATTGTGATCCTTTCTCTTGGTGTTACGGTTGCAAGTTTACCAAGTATTGACTAGTGTTGACCTGAAGAATTTGTTGAGATGCAACTTGATATATGAGTATATATATATATATACTGAAGTTAAATATAAGCAATATTCTGATTAACTATGTAAGTTCACCCACACATGTACATCATCTGCATATAAATTGGAGCTCAACACTTCAGTCCGTTAAATCCACAACTGGCCTGGCCGCCAGGCTTCATAAGGCCCGGCTGTTGCGGATCAGCCCACGGAATAGGGTACAGACGGTCTAGCGCTTGGAGGTACTTCACTTCGGGACCAAAAATGGAATGGCTTAAGGTCCGAAATGCCTAAATAGTCCCAATGATGCAGCGTTTCTTAAGTTTTGACCCACTAGTTGTGCAATTTCGGTGCAAAAGATATTAATGTCAGTCCAATGGTTAGTGCAAAATCCAGTGGCTTATATCTGTTCTTCCCTTTAACATTATAAGTTTGGAGTTTGGGATATCCCTTTTACCCTATAGTTACATATGGAGGTTTCCTAAAATGAGGTACCACCACAAGATCCAAAATTAAACCTATGGTTTTTGTGATCCACCATTTTAAGAACCCCCATATATATATATTATATATATATGATATGGTGTGGACAAGTCTTCCATGTGGATAAAACAAAATCACACCGCTCTGAGGACTAGGGCCTCCGATGCCGAACTGAACACTCTTCGGATTGAAATTGAACCAACTGTAGTGACGACAAAATTCACCAAGGATTTGACAACCGAACATAACTGATTCGTATATTTATGTGCGTTTTTTGATCAAAATCTGGTTGGAGCGAAGTTTCTTGCGATCTGCCAAAGCTGACACTGCTCAAATATAGCTTATAAACAGTTTTTCTATATAAATATGAATTTCAATATATATATATACAGTGTATGTATATATACATACAGTATATATCCTGGCTGCTGGGTGGCTTTACAGAAATATCGTTTTGGTGTGTTCCTCTGCCGATCCAGGTGGAGACTGCTGGATTCAGAGGCTATGTGGACTGCGAAGGTCGCTATGGTTTACCCCGCTGGTTGGTTTCTGGAAAATCCTTTGAAAATGAAAAATGAACATGGATTTTATATAAAACCTATATGGTTTCTAATGAACATATCCTAGAATGATTTGGAAACCTATATAGCTATTATAGCTATAGGCTATATATATATATATATATACATAGCCATATATCACCAGCTACAGGGTAAATATTGAAACTATGCTACGTATCTGTGAGAGTGAATTACAACGAACTCGTTGACGTCACAGCAAGGCAGGATCTTCCACGTCATGATTCTAGTAGACTTGCTGACACTGGCGAAGGTGATCAAGTGTCCGATTTGAAATGATTTGAAGATTTGTTTGATGCCAGTGGGTCAGTGGATTCTGTATCCATTGTTCCCCAACTTCTATCCAAACTCTATATAATTAATAATAGTTGTACATAGTTGTACATAGTTGTACATAGTTATACCAGTTGATATTGAGGTCACCACCTTAAAGTTGGTTAAGAGCTTGTTGACACCTTAACGCGGCCGAAAAACCATCCCCTTAACCGACTGGGGGTCAGTTCACATCATGCCAATAATGTACCCAAGAACCCTCGATTTGGGATGCGACAAAAATTGGCTTTACCAAGGTTTACCACATGGTTTGCCTTCCTGGTTGGTGGTTTGGAACATGAATTTTATTTTCTATATAATGGGAATTTCATCATCCCAACTGACGAATTCATATTTTTCAAGATGGTTAAAACCACCAACCAGTACAGATATAATATACTATATATATATTCTCCCTAGTTTGGCTGAGACATCTCCTCTCTTTGAAGGTCTATTTCTTGCTTTGCCACCATTTTTTTGGGCGCAAAAATGCCGGGTTTTTGGTTTCGGTCGCAGGGGTTGGCCCCGGCTGCGCACCGAATCTGGGTGGTGCGGAGGATGTGACACTGGGATAGCGATTTCTGGGTGAAGAGAGTGGGTGATTGGGGATTCAATTGGGGGATATATATATATATATATATAGACAGATAGACAGATAGATAGATAGATAGATAGATTAGATAGATAGATAGATAGATAGATCGATCGATCGATAGATAAATAGATAGACAGATAGATAGATAAATAGATAGATAGATAGATAGATAAATAGATAGATGGATAGATAGATTGACAGATAGATAGATAGATAGATCGATAGATAGATAGATAGATGGTTAGATAGACAGATAGATAGATAAATAGATAGATAGATAGATCGATAGATCGATAGATGGATAGATAGATAGATAGATAAATAGATAGACAGATAAATAGATAGATAGATCGATAGATAGATAGATAGATAGATAGATTGACAGATAGATAAATAGATAGATAAGTAGATAGATAGATCGATAGATAGATAGATAGATGGTTAGATAGATAGATAAATAGATAGATAAATAGATAGATAGATAGATAGATCGATAGATCGATAGATCGATCGATAGATAGATAGATAAATAGATAGGTAGATTGATAGATAGATAGGTAGGTAGGTAGATAGGTAGGTAGGTAGATAGATAGGTATGTAGATAGGTAGATAGGTAGGTAGGTAGATAGATAGGTATGTAGATAGGTAGATAGGTAGGTAGATAGATAGACAGATAATTATTTATATATATCCCATATACATATATATATACACATCTATATAGCTAATGGGATATAATATAATGTCAACCCTGGCAATTCATTGGTGGTTTCGCCTCCAACTCAATAAAGTAGGGTTTATTCATCCTGCATTGACATGAATGGGGATATAATTGGGAATTTGGAATTTTGCCAACCATGCCGATCGAAGCAATGCCCACATCGTGCTTGTAAAAAAATGTGATTATCTTTGGTTCTTGTAAACCTTGCAACCTATTGATGGACTTTAAGGAACTAATTCAAACAATAAGCAATTGTGTGAAATCTTTCCGTGGCGACTTTTGCTGCTCCCAGAGACTCAGGCCGAGTCCACAAGTCGAGAGCCCACGAGAGAAGCAAGTGTCCTGTGGCGAAAGGGGTCACGACCGGTTTTTTGGCATTGGTTTGTCAAACAGATGATCACAGGCAAATTATCAGATTGCATTGTGGGTCATGAGTGGGTTTACAATCCGGTTGTTCATTTAACATCATTTTGTTGAAAATGTCCCGTAGTTCGACAATTGACCTTTTCTAAACATGGCGATTGTTCAGTTCGCAAACTACAACAATTGACGTACAAGAGGGCAATTCCCATCGATATCTCCGTTTTGTATGTTAAATCCTCATTAATCACCATTAAAATTTGTTAGAGTTCAAGAAAATTCCATTAATTTCCATTAAATCCACGCAAAAAACAGCATGAAATCCCATTAAATCAATGGCCATTCCAGGATCCTAAAATGGAGGTACTGTACCAGATAAGGCCATATTTTGGGGGTATATCCCCTTACATAGCCCTTACATAGGCCTTATATATCCTAAGATATGGTAGGTACCTCCAATTTGGGTTCCTGGAATGGCCATTGATTAAAGTCCAAGAAAAACTTCAACCTTCCAGAGTTTCACTGAGGCCTGGCACCGCTTTGTCTTCCATCCATGTTGGGGCCCCGGCTGAGCCAATGCTGAGCCTCTGCGTCTTGGGATGGATGTTCCTAAAACAGTTGATGCTACAGAGGAAAAGGCATGTGATGCGTTTCCATATGTCTAGGTCAATCTTACATGGATACTTTAAGCCTTTAGTCTTTTGGTATTAATGGGAATATCTACGTTCACCAGCAAAGAATTTGTCATTTTTTGCAGGGTATCTAAGATTGGCAATGATGTGTTCCGTGCAATTTGAAGAAGATCATTTCTGTGACGCACCATGGCCAGTTTGTTTCGTCAACATTGCAAGTGTTTTCAGTGATAATGTCGGGCCCACAACCTTGGATTGATACTTTAATCATTGAGTTTCTTGCCATGGAAAACAGCCACAGGCAGCAACGCAGCTTTTTTTTGGTGGACTACCAAAGGTTGACCCTGATGTCGATGTAGATTCTCCGTGGTGGCAACACGTGTACACTCAAAGAGTGATGGTGCCCAGCTCGCCGATATTTGGAGGTTTTCTAAGTCATAGAGGGTACCCCCTATCATCCGATTTAGTTGGGATGTTCGATGATAAACCAAGGATATTTTGGGGATCCCCCATTTATGGAAGCCCTCTTATTTGTAGATGTTTTTTTTCCCGGATGTTCCATGACATGAACCATCCAGATATTGGGGTACCCCGATTTGAGGAAAACCAAAAAAAAACATCAAGGAAACTACAGGCCTTTTACCATAAGTCAGTTATAACATGTTCTAACCACCTTTATGGAATGAGGAACCCCATTTAAAATCATGTGTACCCTTTGGTAATTTGTTACATATCTATTGAAAATGGCCAAAGAAATAGTGGATTTACCCATTAAACATGGTGATTTTCCATAGTTTTTTGTAGGTTTACCAGGCCGGGCAACTGGTTTACCATGGGCCATCACTGTACAGTCACAGACGGCGCACCGCGCACCGTCGGATCATGCCCAGGTGGCCCTGGCCAAGCTCCACCGACCGTTTGGGGCACCTGAAAATAACCGCGGAAGAAAAACGGAGCCTTGGTATTTCTTAAATATTTCTATTTAATGGTATATAATATTATACATACATACAATATCAACATACTCCAAAATGATGATTCTGGTACTATATGGCACTTTAAGTTTGAAGGACTTTGGGCTCTTTTTGGTTCAAGTGTTTAGTGGTGTGGTGCTTTGATGTCTACCAGTGAAACAGGAAAGAGGGAGCATGATCAGCGACAAATAATAATCATCAGAACAAACATGATCATCATAACAAAATCAATCATAATACCAGTAGGCATGATTATGCAGTTACAATCAATAATAATTGGGTGCATCAGTGTGTCACAATCGTAGCAATGAATCTGGATAGTCCCATTTTGTATTGGTTCATTTGTTGAGTAAATGTTGGTAACTGTATCCCGATGGTTATTTATATTGAGTACTAAGAATGAACCAAACTATGTGGTCCCCGGGTCGTAAATCTTGACTCCCCAAATTGCCCTAGGCCTCGACCCAGATGCAGTGCACGGGCACAGCGTGCCACTTGGCCACCTGTGGAGGCAAGTGAGGCCCGCTTACCAAGACAGAGACACAACTGATATGGAAGAGTGCAATGAAACCCAACAGTGGCAAACCCACTTGCAGCCTTTAATCATGTCAGACCTTTGCAAATTTTGAAATTTTGGTTGGCGGTTTTATTCTCGTTATTTTCCATATCCCATTGGGATACCAACTACAGCAACCCCCAAATAGATAGACACATTGGAAAGCTGGAAATTGTAGAACAAACATCATCGAACTACCATTTTGGAAGCACGGTTCCATTTGTTTTTTTTGGGGGGGGCTGTTACTTGTTACTTATGCATACTTATTCTACATATGCAAGTATATTCATATTAATTGATATATATATAAATAAAAATATGTATGCACAATATATATATATATAATATATTAAATATAATATATACACGATGAGTATGATCGCATCTTTCATCTGCTACCGCTTAATCCGCTGATTTCTCCAGGCGCCAAGGCAAAGTCCTGCAAGTCGACTGTCTGGTCGACTCCAGGCGCCAAGGCCAGGGGATTCAGAGCGGCTGCGGAAAGGTGGACGACTCTATCAGATGATCCATCAACAGATATCATAATTGTGAAATGGGTATCTACCCAACATATTCCAAGAAGTTTTTTGTTTATCTACCCAACATATTCCAAGAAGTGTTTTTTATCTACCCAACATATTCCAACATTGTGTGATTGTTAAATGGATATCAGGGTTCCACACTAAAACCTAAGACCTTCTTTGGCACGTTGGGGAAATATCATCACAAGTTCATTGATTGCCAAAGACCGTGGCTTAAACATTGGGAGATATGACATTCTATGTTGGCGAGATATCGATTTAAAACCATGTAATCTAATCTATCGGTGAATCTACATCACCAATCTATTAACTGGTTGGCGGTATGGAACATTCTTTATTTTCCCCAATAGTTGGGATGATGATCCAATCTGACTTTCATATTTTTCAGGGGGGTAGGTCAACCACCAACCAGATTAATCTATTTAGATTGTTTTACAACCATGTTAATCACCAATAGATTATATATATATATATATCCATTAACCATGTTATTTTAACCAGTGATATGTGAAATATCCATTTGTTCAACCATGTTAAACATCACCAACCTATTGATCTATAAGAGGCTTGGGGCTAAGCCAAATAGGTCACTTAACGTAGACCCAGAAAAGAACCAATCATGGGTCGATGTGTGGGATCGTAGATGGCTAGATGGGGATACCCAGAAGATCTATTTCGCCATTAATTCATGACATTAATATAATGATTATATATCCATGGTATTTATATATATATATCATATATAATATATCATCATATATATATATATATATTGATGCATGGTAATTATATATTAATATTTATTATGGGGAATGATCATGGTGGATTATCAGTATGTTGTTTGATCCATTTTGATCCCCAAGATATTCAATCCCTAAATCTTTGACACCCCTGTTTGGTTGGGGAGTATCCATGGTGAAGTTTCGTCTGTCACCTTGCGGTGGTGCCGGTGACCTCCGGTGACGTGCGACTTTCATTCTGAAAAACACCCGGTGTGAAAAACCTGGTGATATCAATGATTCATCAATACAATGAGATGAGTTGAAAGTCTGGATCAGTGTCCGAGTGCCACTTCAAGAACTGGAACGACCTTTGAGCCCGTACCCCCGGAAATCATCACCATTTGGAACATTTTTTCCTTCAAACTGGTCACAATGATTGCCGTTTGCAGGTCCTATAGAATCCCATGATAACCACCAGAAACAGGTTTGCTCCAACCCGCACAAGGCAGATTATAGCTGGATGGAATTTGGCCATTTTACATCATTTTACCACTTTATCTACCCAGTTTCTCCCCCAACAGTAATTATCTGGGGTGGGAGCAACCATAACGGACCACAATCAAATAGAGTGTTTTCAACACCAAATGTGCAATCAACTTCTGCCACATCGATTACTGAAGCAAGGGGATTTCCGCGCCATGTTTGATCATCCTATCAGTTCCGATTCACCATCAAATCCCATGGAAATCCCATGAAAAATCACCATGAATTCCCATCAAATCACCATGAATACCCCATGAAATTCCATGAAATTCCATGAAAATCCCGAGTTTCTTGATGGTATCCATGGTTCTTCCGAACTCTCAGGGGAGCTCCACGCCTACGTGGCGTGCGACCACCTTCCCATGGCGTGGGGCAAGATACTCCGCTGCCAGAGGAGCGATTTGGGCGGCGGTGTTTTAGGGGATGTTCACCAAACATGTTCTCAATGTTGGATGATGTTGGATACACAAGAATGTTAAATAAGGTTTTTCCCCCAAACAACTGCCTTATTTCGAGCGTTTCATCAGTTCAAATCAAGCTCCTACGGCGGCGCCCTCGGTCCGTGTGTACCCGCACAGGGAATGCTAAAGAACACAAAATCAACCAATGGATTCGTTTGTCAAGCACACATATTTTGACCTAGCCTACGTGGTACATGACTTTTGTTTAACAATAGTTATATCTCATATAGGTTTTGTACGATGTCATGATTTATGTGGACGTAGTGGGTTTTCGTCTTTGATGTGAATCAACACGCAACTATAAGTTTCCTTTTTTCCCCCTGGCAAAATCCGCGCTCGCAATCCGCTAGCAAAAGTTGCAAAAAAGGGTTTTGGCCACAATCGATTTTATCAGTTGTGGGGTGATCCCTTGTTTTTTTTCCCCACTGATGTACTACATTACGTGTATGAAGATGTTTACATGGGTTTGTCTCAAAGATGGATAGCCCATGATAGCCCCCCCAAAAAAAACTGGTTGATGGTCATCTTCCATCTAAAGTCATTAAAACATCAGATGTGAAAATCCTCATTTTGGGAGCATCAAACAATTGTTAGACCAGAACAAACCTTGAAAAAAGAGTTATAAAACACACCATGGTGAGACCACCAGCTGCCAAGATAGATCTCTGACACCACTGAACTAATGGTTTCCCCCTCTGGTAATTTGCTGGACGATTCCCATTTTGTTTCATGATTTTCCAATTCATCCAGCTCATTTGGCTGGGGGATTCCACCAGCCCGTGGCACATGAGCCACATGCAGCTTGGTTGTTTTGGCACATTCATGTGGGATTCACCCCATGCCATATTTATCTCTAGAATTTTGGGGTTGAAATCCCACTAAAAAAAATGGTGATTTTGGGACTGGTGAGAGTTTATGGCCTTGGGTTTACCACATTATATAACTAGTTAGTGTATATATATATATATATAGAATAATGATTCAGAATACTTGTTGACTAGAACACAGAGTTCCTCAAGGAAAACCCGGAAACCGGTCGTTTTTCAATTTGTTGTCATCAGATGTGTTTTCGACAACGCCGTTGTCGAGGTGTCCCCTAGTGATATCGTCTTGGAGGAACGTGGAGGCTGGACTCCTGGACAGGTCCCGGCAGCGAAGTTGGTAAACCATGGATTGGGTTGAAAATTCTATGGCTTATGGTAGATATTTCGAACTAGTTCATAGGCTTTATTTCCGCATGCCGTAGCACCAAAGATGTGGGAGATGCTGAACTGTGGATTAAACCAAGAAGTTTTTTCGTGGTTTGCCAACAAAAAGTCAGTTCGAATGAACAAGCCAACTGTGGTTCAAATGAGTCTTGTGGAATTCAACTAAATGAGCATTCAAAACATGTCAAAACCACTGCTGGATGATTAGATGGGTTTATGTATAATGGTTTATGATGGTTTTTACATTACATAACCAATGCATTGTGGATGTTCATATTATGGGAATCCCATTGGTTATCCATTTCTTCATTGGCCAGTTCTTACGGGAAATATACCGTTGGAGCACATGGAATATCCTTTGGTATTTTGTTACATGCCTATTAAACATGGCCACTTACAGTTGATTTACCTATTCAAAATGGTGATTTTCCATAGCTTTTTGTAAATTCATCAGAGGGTACAGAACTCTATTGGAAAAGGCCATTGCTGTTCAGGTTTGTCCATTCCGGCTCACTCCTCTGCGGTGAAGACAGAGGACGCAACGAGAAGCAACACCTGTTTACACTTGCTCCATCTCTGAGAAAATCTGCAGAACCTTGAGGGGGAAAATTACGCATGAATAGCAACTTGACTTGAAGATGTTTAACCTAAAGTTTGCGGTTGAACATGAACCCATTATACAAAATCCCATGGTTTTTTAGTTTCATGGTTTATATTTCCAGTAGTGGGTCCCACCTTCTGTCATAATTCTATCCATTGGTTTGGGTATCTATATTCAAAATACCCTATTAGATGATAAGCCAAGGGGAGCTAGTTTGTTGTATCTCCATTTTTGGGCAAGCCCATTTTTGGGCTAGTGCATGATGCTGTTGTAGTCAGTTGAGGTCAAAAGCCGGGTTGAGTGTACAGATAGATAGATACCTATATTGAGATGGATAGATAGGTAGGTAGGTAGTTTCAATGTGTACACCCAAAGCATCATTTACAGTGCTTTAAGTGCGGTTGTTTGTAGCGCAGAGGCCCCATAAGAATACATGGGATGGCATCTAACCAGCAGTAGAGATTTTCGGGCTCAAGATCAACGAAGTAAGAGTCAATTGCGTACCATCCCCCAAATCAACAAAAACCTTGAACATAGCATGTTTTAAGTGGAAACTAATTTTCGAATTCCCTATTTGATAGGATTTATGTTAATTTGGGGCAGGGTGTATTGATTTTTTCATTTGTCAACAGGGTCCTTTGCATGGACTTACACGGGACTGCGATAAACAAAATTCCCGCAAGGAATAGCTTGGATAATTGATGTAGAAAAGAAAGCGTTCGTTAGGATCCAGCTTGGGATATCAACACTCTTTGCAATTATATATGATATTTCATAATATTATTTATAATCATACATATATTATTATACGTCTGTATATATATATATCTTCATTGATAATATTCCACGTATCATCATCCACCATTCACCCAAGTGATCCCAGAAGAATTGCTGTAGGTTTTTATATACCCTAGGTGGAGCATATTGCTGTGGCCATGTTCCATTCCACACAAAAGGTGGTCCCCAAAAACTTTAAATGTCATATCATCATTGCAACCCATTATCACGTTTTCCCAAAAAAAAACATTTATTAAACCATTATTATCCCATTGATACATATGATACATGAATATCCCGTGGTTGTTTCATTGATACATTAATATCCCTTTTAGTATCCCAATGATCCATTAAATATCTCAACGATTATTCCATTAAGACATATGACTCATATGACTATTATTCCTATAATAGCTCTATCCCATTATCATCCCATGATTGTTCCATCAACATCCCATGATTATTCCATTGATATGGATACATATGAAAAATAACAATATATAATAATATCCACTGGCAGGCCCTGACTGTATCCATATCAATGGGATTGAATGTGACAATAATATCCACTGACTGTATGCATATTACATTTATATCCCAGTAATATCCCATGATTTGTTCCATGGATTCTCCACATCTCCAGGACTCCGCCTTGGGCGCCTTGGGCGCCTTGGGCGGTTTGGCGGCCACACGGCAGAAGGCACCGAGCGCCAGCGGTGTCCGAAAATCCCATGTGTTTTTTTTTTCCGGAGAGAAATGGTGTTTTAATGGTGTTTTACGATTATTTTAATGGTATTTTAATGGTATGTCAATGGTATGTGAATGGTATGTATAGTGTTGTTATGGGAAAAAAAATGTGTTTTTTAATGGTGCGTTTTATGGGAAAAATCAATGAAAGTCATTGATACATAGGCAATGTTCATCAATTTTGATGAATGATGATAGTTAAGACTAGTTATATATAATAACTGTAGTTGGGACTTTGATTGAGATGTAAGAATTGGGATTTAGTTAACAGTTCACAACAACTATAGTAAATATATGTAACTATAGCCACCCACAAAAAGATAGAAAAACGAAATCATAATAGTGATACATCACTGTTCTATATTTGTATTGGTGACTAAAAAACATAATCGATTTGGGGATATATCACATTTTCAGCCAAACTTCAGCAATTTGGAATCATCCCACTGTTGTATTTCAGCTCTTGTGTCGCCCTGATCAGAAATTATCCATGGTGCTGTACAGTACACTGCAGCTGGCTCCATGACATGGAGAAATGGGAACATCTGCAGAAGCCAACGTGTTGCAACCCATGACAGGGTTGCACCCAATGTTTTTTTTCCCTTGAGCCAATTCCAGAAAGGGAGGATGTGCTTGCAGTTTCCACATATAATATGTTATATATATATATATATATATGCTACCCCCCCCCCAGAACCTATGTTTCAGAAGCTGCGACCCTGCTTGAAGGCATACTGCCATGTTGCAATGATTTGAGCAAAGAAGACGGCAGGTGCTGTTGATTTATAAATAATTTTCGATTTATAAATTCTCAGGATGAAATTAGGGATGTAGCTTTAAATTATTTGATAAGATTATCTTTAGTACGTTCTTTTGTAATTAAGAATCCTTATATACTTGATTCAATTGACATTACTCCAAATCAAAATTTTGTTGAATATTGCAAATTCAATAAGATAGATCATAAAAAAGTTATGGCAAAAGCTAAAGAGCAGTTTTTAGATAAGGGTTTGCTTGAAATTTTTCAATATATTTTTTTAAGAAAAAAATGTTTAGGGGTATTGCCAAATTTTTTGTTACCAGAAAAAATAGGCTAGAAACAATTGTATTCAAGATAAAAAGATAGAAGATATTAGAATTGTATATGAAGAGTATAGCATTGATAAGATTATTAAAAAATCTTATCAAAACTTATTAAAAGTACGAAATCACGTGTTAAATAAAAGACAGATGTCTACAAAAGGGGTGAAAGATAAGAATAATATTTGTTACTACTCAGTTGTATCTAAACTACAAGATATCAATTGTCAATATACTTTATATGATTTAAGTCCTGGTCAAGTAAGCAACATTATAGAAGAAAAAGATAAATTCGCATTTATAAAGTTAAAAAAAATATGAAGTGTTAGGAAATGATAAAAAAGATATCACTAAATTAGAAGAATTATATAGAGATATGTCTGCAGAAATATACATAGAAAAAGTCCATACGGATTTATTTAATTATTTCCCTATACAATATAGCTTTGAATAACGATTATACAGAGGATGAAAACATAAACTTGTTCAATCCAAAGAAAATAATTCACTATTATCAAGAGGTAAATACTAAAATAAAAAAATAATTAGGTCAAATTTTCTTTTAGACCAAAATATATCTAGAAAAATTGGATCAAATCTCACCCAAAATGGAAATAATGAAGAGATATTAGAGATAGGTCCTGGTCTTGGCAACTTAACAGTTATGCTATGCAAAAATCAATCTATAAAAAAGATTATCCTTGTAGAAAAAGATAAAGATTTTGAGAAAGCATTATGTAAATTAAAATTAAAAGTTCCAAAAAAATACTAGTATATTTTCAGATTTTATGCATTTTGATCTGAATATATTAAGTAAACATGCAAAAATAGTAGGTAATTTACCATATAATTTAGCTACTCATTTTATCAAGAAGTTTATAGAACAAGATAATGTTTTTTATATGATTTTTACAATTCAAACTGAAGTTGCAAAAAGAATTTGTGCAAAATTAAACACAAAAAGCTATGGATATTTGAGTGTATTAAGTCAGATATGTCATTTTGATATTTCTGGGAAGATTTTTTCCACAACCCAAAGTTTCTTCAACTGTAATTTCTTTATCGCCTAAGAATTTTAGGCTACAAAAAAATGCATTACTTTTTCTAAGAAAAATTATTTCTAATTCTTGAAAAAATGGGAATAATAAATATACAGGAAGTTTTATATAATATAGGTATAAATCCTACAAGTAGAGCAGAGCAGGTAAGTCCAAAAAAATATGTTGAATTAGCTAGGGTTTTGCATAGCAAAATACAAATAAGTAATATTAGTAACATATACTGATGGATTATGTCTTCATAAAGTATGATAAGAAGAATATATTCTTTAAAATAATTAATAATCAAGTATCTTCAGATAAAGTATATCAAGATGATGATCTTATTATTATAAACGATATTTATCCAGTAGCAGAGCATCATTTTTTAGCAATACCTACCATTGAATGTGTAAATTATGATCATTTTTTAGAAGTGGCAGATAAAGAGGTTATAGTTATTTTGTTTGTAAAGATTAAGCATTTTATAAACAAGATGTCTATACAAGACAATTGTAGATTAATTATGAATAATGGCCTTGGTCAAACTATTAGACATTATCATGTTCATATTATCTCTGGACATGCAATTTAAAAAGATGAAATTTTAGAACAAATGCAATAGAAAATTAATAGTAATGCTGAGTTTAAATCTTTAGATATCCTTGATTAATTATATATTCGGCTGTTCTTACAGCGTTTAGCGCAGCTCCTACCCTCAAATTATCACTTAATGCCCATAGGTCTATGATTTGTTTATTGTTTCCTTGTCTTAGTCTGCCAATACGATTGTAATCTGTTGCTTCTATTGATCGAGGAGTAAGATGTTCATATTCTAAATTATTGACACAGCTTGGGGTCACTTGATTTTTTCAGTTTTTTCAGCTTTTCGGGTTTTCACCTTTCAGGAGAAGCCTAGAACTGAAAAACTGAAAAACTGAATTCCACAAGAGAAGAATGGACCCCAGACTTCTCCTATGGAATTCAGTTTTTCAGTTCTTCAGTTTTTTCAGCTTTTCGGGTTTTCACCTTTCAGGAGAAGCCTAGAACTGAAAAACTGAAAAACTGAAAAACTGAATTCCACAAGAGAAGAATGGACCCCAGACTTCTCCTATGAAATTCAGTTTTTCAGTTTTTCAGTTTTCCCACTGTTGGTGCCTCAAATTTAATCGGAACAAAATCGGTGCCAAAATATATAAAATTCACTGTAAATACGAGTAAAATTGAAGTCTGCATAGGTTTTGGGGGGGGTACCATATATATATATATACAAGATTCAGACTTCCATTTTCCATATTAATAACATCTAAATCTAAATTTCAATAAGTTTTCCATTCATAAAATCAAAGACAAACCCAGAATTTCTGGTGGTTTCCTAGGAAATTCCATGAATATCTGGCATGCTGCCGTGGTGTTTTGGCTCTTTTTTGAAACGAAACGGTGTGCGTTTGTGCGAGGTCTTGATGCTGCGGGAGCAGGTGGGGGCGCTGGCAGCCTATTGCCTGGCGACCCAGATGAGTCTGCTGGATGCACCGTGAAATCAATTTATGCACCACCCAAAGGATGGTTGAAAGCCCAGAAATATTGGGATGAACCACCGTTTTCAATTGGTGCAGGATTTCTTCCATCCACCGAATGTCTCCATTGCGTGTAGTATAGAACGGGAATGCATTCTGTACCACATTATCTGATTGCAGAATTGTTGATATATTGATATGACATTAGAACCCACGTCCATTGTCTCGCATTTTTTCCAGATGAAATGGTTGTAGTTCATCTCGTCAGGTTCCCGTTACCAGCCAACTTCGAAGGTTTTCTGTGGAGTTTCCTACTGTAGATGTTTGGCCGTAAATCCATTAGAATGTCGGGCCACAGAGTCATGTTTCTTGGTTTATGATGTTTATTTTCAGCCATTTAATTATATTCTAATCTCAAGCACAAAAATCAACAGAAATTGTCACTTACTGTATGTAAAACCAATTTACTTATATAGTAACTTTAGGGGGGACTATGATTTATTCCATTATCATCATGCAGGTAAATACGGAATACTGTGGCCATGTAGTAACCTGATTTGTACGGATTCCTTTCATAAATCTCTACCAATAAATCCAAATTAATCCAAAAAAACTGCAAGTGTATTTATATATCCATTTGTTCCAATACCCATATGCTCAATGTAGGTAAATGACCAGTCATGTAGGTAAATATACCAGCACCACGGAGCATCCAAGAGATTTCTTCCATTTCTTCCAAGATCTGATTGTTCCATACTTACCCTCTGGTAAACTAACATACCAGTAACTATGGAAAATCACCATGGTATTAATGGGAAAACTCACAATTTCTATGGCCATTTTCAAGTTCGCAAACTGTTAGTTTACCAGGCCGGGTAGCTGGCCATCGCACCGGCAGGCGACCGCTTGGAGCATGCTACGGGTCTGGCAGATGGATGGCATGGCAATGGCTTGTTGCCCTTAGGTCCTGGCAGCCCAGCCGGAGATGGCTTGGAAGTTGGTTGAAACATGCTGAAGCTAAACAGCTAACAAGATAGGCACGGACATTGAACTGTGGTGATTCGTTGGGGAAGTTATCTAACAATAATGGAATGGATTATTTGGAACCCACATTGTTCCATGGTATATTTACCATGACTGTGCCATTTTTTGAGGAAATGTTGGTACATAGGTTCCCAAGCACCGTTGCCTGAGTCACCTGGGATAGGTTGATACGATGATCCCTGCAGATGAGAGGCATCCCTGGTTGAACATGAATCACCAGTTGCCAAGCTCATGAATCAGCGAGTTATCATTGGGAAAATCACCAGTTACTCATAAATAATTTTCAAATATTTTCAACGTGAGACAAGGAACTTGATTGCCACACCTCCATGTTGGTTTCGTCGTTGCATCTTGGGTGGAAATGATTCCCTGGCCTGGTGACCTGTGTCATGAGCCCATGCTTTTGAGGCCACTGGCAGTGGAATTTTATCATTTGTTTTATATCACAGCCCAGGCTGGTTCCAGTGTGTTTTCTGTTAAAATGACCACTTTGTTTGCTTCATGTTGGTTCCATCCTCGTCATGTGTTAGGTCCCCAGTTTTCACATGTTTTCACCAACACCCCATCCATGTATGGTGTATTTGAAATTGCTTTCCTACTACATATGACTACAAGTCATCAAAATGTAGTTTTGGATACCTCCAGCAAAGTCACGTCACGTATGTACGGAAAATCCACCATGTCAAGAGCGTTTCCTGTGGAAACTGTGGGTTGTCCATATCTGTATGTCACTTTACTGGAGGGTACCACAAAGTGGGGCCCCCGTTCGATAGCTAAGTTGGTGAACATAACTCCAATAGCTATGGTTTATGATACTTATATAAACTTATATACAGTATTCATGGGGTTTATAAACCAACAAACATCACCGGGGGGCCACATTCGGATCTTCATGATCAGGTCCAGCCCACACTGCTGCAATGACGCAAGCGGCACAGCAGCACGGGAACCCGGGAACCTTTCAGCAGTGGGGAGAAGCAGGAACTTGTGAGAATCCTGCAAAATCCAATGGAAAAATGGGGATTTGATCGGCCAAAATATGGGAATTGTCAATGGTTTGAGTAATTTTGACCATCAAAAAGTAGGGATAGAACATGACTTCACCACTGAATGGTGGATTTGGGTCTGAATGGTGGAAACCGGGATACCTTCAAGTGACAATTTTGATGGGGGAACATATACCTGACGGATTTCAGGGACACTGTACTTCAAACAGACACATGGTGTTCTGTATGAACGCTTCCCAAACTTACCAGAAATGTATGGTACACACATTCCCAAACTTTTCTGAAAGATGAGGATTTGATCGATATTTGTTTCGGGGCTTTATCCAAACATCACCGTGGTGAGTGAGGTTCAGCCTGGTAAAAGGGTGATGATGGAGGAAGCACGAGCAACCTTGCAGTAAAATCATCAGTCAGTCTGGTCATATCACTGCAACTTTGTGGTTGAAACGGTGCAAGAAATGTCCCGGCCCTGGACTGGCTATCCCGGTTTCTCACTGATGGTGCGTACTACTTGGAGGTATTTGGATGTGGAACCCACATATAGTAAGTGATTTATCCATATACATAACCCATATATGTCAGTAGTGGTTTATAATCCATCAACATAACCCATAAGTGAGGGAGTATCACCTGGTTTATCCTGGTTTATCCATGTCTCTCTCTCTGTCTTTTATATATATATATATATTATCGAAGGAAGTTTAGAAGTCAAACTTCCGACAATATGGACAGATGAAAAAAGCAGAGGTGGAGCAGAAGAATAGAGAAGAGAAGAGCAGAAGAGAGAAGATCAGAGAAGAGAAAGAGTCAGAAGAAAGAAGATGCAGGTGCGCGAAAAGGTATCAAAGTCGCGAAACACTGTGTTTTTCCAATGATTTGTGGCTCCAGAGGGTCGAAAAGTAGGCTCGCTAAAGCGGCGGGTGCGGAGCCAGCTGGCCAGATGAGAGATGAAAAATTGCACGTCGTTGTGGCGCGAAGCACATTTCCAAGTCAAAACGTACAAAACACTGCAGCCCCGGACCACTTTTGGAAGTTGAGACGTCGAAAAAGTGCACGCCATTGTGGCGCGAAGCAAATTTCGAAGTCAAAATGCACAAAACACACCATTCTCGGACCACTTTTGGAAATTGAGACGTCAAAAAAGTGTACGCCGCTGTGGCGCGAAGCGCGTTTCCAAGTCAAAATATACAAAGCACACCAGGTTCGGACCACTTTTTGAAGTTTCGATGTCGAAAAAGTGCACGCCGTTGTGGCGTGAAGCAAATTTCGAAGTCAAAATGTTAAAAGCACCAAGGGTTTGGACCACTTTTGGACATTCAGATGTCGTTTCGCGTGGCAGGCGCAAGGGACTGTGCACCTTGTCAAATGTGAGCAAAACGTGAGGGTTTTGTAGCATTTCCAAGAACGATGGCAGGCGTGGGACATTTGAAGAGTATCTGCAAAGATGCATTTTCCGTGGCAGGCGCAGTACAAGAGACATGTTTATCAGAGATGTTAGGAGGTCCGGGGGGTTGCATTTTGGAGCCTCAGATCTTCAGGTTTGCTGAGATGATTTTGCGTGACAGGTGCAGCACTTCGTATGACCTGGCATCACTTTTTGGTGGCAGGCACAGTAGTTTAGACAGATGGACTGGAAAATTCGCAAAACGCATTGGTACGAGACCGTCAGCTCTGCACTCAACTTTCCATTTTTGAAGGATGTCTCGCAGAATTGTTTGGTTTTTGATGTTGTCAACTCAAAAAATGAGGAAGTCGCGCTGAATTGCTTCGTTTTTGATGTTGTCAAGTGCAAAAATTGAGGAATCTCGCTGAGTTGCTGTGTTTCTGATGTTGTCAAGTTTCAAAACTTAGGCAGTCTCGCAGAATAGCTTCGTTTTCAAGCTTGCAGATAGACAGATAGACAGACAGACAGAGAGAGAGAGAGAGGGAGAGAGAGAGAGAGAGATAGATAGATAGATAGATAGATTAGATAGATCGATCGATAGATAGATAGATTAGATAGATTAGATAGATTAGATAGATTAGATAGATTAGATAGATTAGATAGATTAGATAGATTAGATAGATTAGATAGATTAGTTAGTTAGTTAGTTAGTTAGCTAGCTAGCTAGCTAGTTAGTTAGTTAGTTCGTTAGTTAGTTAGATAGATAGATAGAAAGATAAATAGATAGATAGATAAATAGATAGATAAATAAATAGATAGATAGATAAATAGATAGATAGATAGATAAATAGATCGATAGATCGATAGATCGATAGATAGATAGATAGATAAATAGATAGACAGATAGATAGATAGATAAATAGATAGATAGATAAATAGATAGATGGATAGATAGATTGACAAATAGATAGATAGATAGATAAATAGATAGATAGATAGATAGATCGATAGATCGATAGATCGATAGATAGATAGATAGATAGCTAGATACATAGCTTGATAGATAGATAGATAGATATATAGATAGATACATAGATAGATGGATAGATAGATAAATAGATAGATAGATAGATATCTAAATAGGTTTCCTATTTTTGAAACTTCCGCCGCCGCCTTGTGCGGTACTACTGGTATATATTTATATATATATATATATATTAGTTTTTTTTTAAAGCCCCGTAATCAATGGTTTTATAGCTCCAAGAGACACGGTGAACGTAGGGGGTACGAGTGGCTAACGGACGTGGTGGCGAACGTAAGGCGAACGAGTGAACGGACGAGTGCATGGACGAGTGCACGTGTGAGCGAACGAGTGCACGGATGTGTGCGTACAAGTGGACGGACGTGTGCGCGTACGTGCGCGCGTTTGCACGTTCACTGGCCGCGCGCGCGCGCACGGACGAAAATAAGGTCGACTGGAGTCCACCTGAATCGACCTTATTTCTGTACGTGCGAAGCGCTACAATACTAAATCAATACTAAATAGGTAAAGAAAGGCAGGGTCGTGCAAAAATAAGGTCGACTCAAGTCGACCTTATTTTCGTACGTGCGCGCGCGCGCGTGGCGAGGGACCGTGCAAACGCACGGACGTACGCTCACACTCTCGCTCGCACGTAGGCTCACTCGTACATACATACGTTCGCACGTACGTTCACTCGCACGCATGTCGTTCACACACACGTTCATACCCCCATTCCTGTCACTCGTCACTACACGTACGCTAGATAACAAACATATGTTTACGAGACTGAAAATAAATAAATAAATATATATATTATATTTAATGTGTATATATATATAGATTTACATATTATACACATATTTTAAATAAATATAAATATATATATATACATATTATAAACTATATATATATATACATATTATATACATATAACCCATATGTAAGTGGTTTTTTTCATGTTTTTTCCTCATCTTTTCCGTGGAAGACCAATCCCTCCGAACCGTCCCTCCGAGGCTTTCGATTTGGGCCGCACCGTCCCAGAGCGGGACGCCGCCAGCGGATGATGCGTCCAGGCTGTGGTGTTGCGGCGGTGATTTTCCAATTGGGGGATAGGAAAGTAACAGGAAAAATATAGGGATTTTCATAGGAACAGGATAGGAACATAATAGGAATCTTCATAGGAAAACGAATTGGGAAAATGATGTTAGTTGGAAAAACAATAGGAAATGAAGATTAACCAGATTCATATGATAGGAAAATGATAGGAACACATGAAAATGATAGGAACATGATATGGATAGATCGGAAAAGTCATATTAATTTCATGATATATTTGGTGAATAACATTATATAATATGATAGAAACATATGATGGGAAATAGTAATATTAGCTGAAAACCCCATATAGTAATATGATTGGGGAATATCATGTTGTTTGTTTCTCCCTTCATGTTAATATGATAGGAAAAACAATAATTATATAATATTAAAATGAATTGGGGTTGTCTGTAAATTTTGTATGGCAATGGCTAATGATAGGGAAAAGGATGATCAAGACAATTAATTATGGGATACCTACTTTGAGACAAGCCAATATTCTAAGGATGAAATACTTCAATCAATACTGAAACTTGAAGAATGAATGTACACGGACAATCAAGAAACATGTGACTGGGAGATGTTAGTATGAATCGATGTTGAAATATCTAGCACGATACTCTATCTGCAGATGACTGGGACGTCATCAGATTTTCGACCCCAGTTTTTGCCCGTTGCGATGTCACCCAGAGGAGCCCAACTGTACATAACTGTGCTTCAAGACATGCTCCCAATGTTCCCATCATATTCCTGTCTCATTTATTACTGCTCCAGATGGATGAATATAATGACCTCACTGCAACCTCACTGGTTAGTAAGGTCCAATATAGTTTTATGTCAGGTTAGTGCATTATTACAATTTACCCAGATATATCCCAGGAGAGAAATGGCGAGTTGGTTGGCAGACTTGACAAAGACTTCAAGTTCTCAATCAGCTTGGAGCCCTGTTGGAGGGACGAAGGGACGAATGTGCCAAGCTACAAGTATATTTCACAAGCCTCAAAAACGAGAAAAGGTAGTAAAATCCTATTTAGATATATTTATGATAAATATTTACTGCTAACATATCTTGTTACTATTGTTATTGTGGGTTAAAACAGTCTATATATATACATCTACCAAACTGAGCCAGGGCAAAGAAAAAGGGAACTCTCACTGAACCCGCTGACGTTTTATCATTTCGCAAATCCTCTCGTTTTCCCCCCCATAGCTGAGGTATCGAATTCGCTTAGTCGGAAAAAGTCCCACATCCCCCCATTCAGTTCGATGATGTTCTTGTAGCTAGAAACCTCCATGGAGTTTTGGGATATTCATCACTTGGATGTGGCATCAGGGAACGTTCAGAGCTTTTCATTTGGATGAAGAGGTTTAAAATATGTTATAATCCGGATATAACATTTTACAACCCATATAATCCAATATAATCCCAGATCAGTAGTGGAGAATAGCGGAGATATTCCATATATATAACTGGATGGTGATCTTCCATCCATTCCTTTCAACTGGATCTTCACCAGTAGCTCGCCCAGTGCCAAGGAAATCGCTCAGTATCCCATGCACTATCCACTGTCAGGTCAAGCAAAGGTGAAAGTCCAGGTCAAACAAACTATATCTGATTGGTGGTTTGGAACGTCGTTTGGAACATGAATTTTATTGTTCCATATATTGGGAAGAATCATCCCAACTGACTTTCATATTTTTCAGAGGGGCAGGTATACCACCAACCAAATATTATAGATATCTATTTACCAACTGAATGAATTAAAACTGTGAGGTTGGTACCTTTGTTTGGTTCTGGCAACCCATGCAGCAACTTTGGCTTTCTGCATCCCTTGCATTCTTTGCGACAAAACAAAGAGAAATTTCGACAATTTCGTGCTGGTGCTTAATTAGTAGGGAATGGGGGAATGATCCACAAGAGATATTAATACTGGTTGGTGGTTTGGAACATTTTTTATTTTCCATAATATATGGTATAATCCGTCCCATTGACTAATATTTTTCAGAGGGGTTGAAACCACCAACCAGAATAATATTTAATAATCACCAACAATAAATCTAAGATCATTCCATTATTAATATCATTGGAACGATCCGACAAATCTTACTGGTGCCTATTTAATAATCATCCATAATCATCCTATTCCTCCATTCCCTACGTTTAGCACCAGTAAGATATTTCTCGGGTCTGTCTGTCGAAAACGGGGAATATCCCGCCAGTGAAATCCCCATGGATTTGGATTTAGCTGCAAAAAAAAACAAACAATCCCCCCGGGACCCCAAAAGAAACACATTGCTCAATAAATGGAAAACACACATAATTAACCAGCAAAAGGTTTTTTTGATCAAAGATTGACAGTGATTTATATTGATTCATATTGATTCATATTGATTCACATTGATTCATCATGATTCATATTGATTCACATTGATTCATAATGATTCATAATGGTTCACATTGATTCATTTTGATTCATAATGATTCATAGTGATTCACATTGATTCATTTTGATTCATATTGATTCATGATGATTCATAATGATTCACACTGATTTATATTGATTCATATTGGTTCATAATGATTCACATTGATTCATACTGATTCTTAATGATTCACATTGATGCACATTGATTCATATTGAATCATAATGGTTCATCATGATTTACATTGATTCATATTGGTTCATAATGATTCACATTGATTCATATTGATTCATCTTGATTCATAATGATTCATAATGATTCACATTGATTCATATTGGTTCATAATGATTCATCATGATTCATTTTGATTCATCTTGATTCATATTGACTCATGATGCTTCATAGTGATTCATAATGATTCACATTGATTCATTTTGATTCACATTGATTCACATTGATTCATATTGGTTCATAATGATTCATATTGATTCATATTGATTCATTTTGATTCATAATGATTCATAATGATTCACATTGATTCATATTGATTCATAATGATTCACATTGATTCATATTGATTCATTTTGATTCATATTGATTCATGATGATTCATAATGATTCACACTGATTTATATTGATTCATATTGGTTCATAATGATTCACATTGATTCATAATGATTCATAATAATTTACAATGATTCATTTTGGGTCATAATGATTCATCATGATTCATATTGATTCACACTGATTCATATTGATCCATAATGATTCACATTGATTCATTTTGATTCACATTGATTCATATTGATTCATATTGATACATAATGATTCACATTGATTCATATTGATTCTTTTTGATTCTTTTTGATTCACATTGAATTATTTTGATTCATAATGATTCATAGTGATTCACATTGATTCATATTGATTCACATTGATTCATATTGATTTGGAGTATATTGATGGGATCCATGTTACCATATATAGCATCACCATGGATCCTATGGGTAATGATTTATCATGATTCATATCCAAACGACACTAAACATGAACATCCTATGATCATCCCATGCCGTCCACGACAGGTTTTTGCTATTCAAATGGCCGAAAGGTCGTGGAAAAATTCGACCGGGTTTACCATGGTTTACCGTAAAACATGGTGATGTTCTGATGTTCGTTTATTGATGTTTATTGTACGTAAAAACCAGGTCGGGCATCCCCAAAGACACCATGGGTTCAGGTCACAAGCCGATTTGGTCCCGATGAGGGCGCTGGACCCGTGCCTTTTTCGAAGGGGTAGGGCAGAGGCTGGCCCGAAGGTTGGTCAAAAGATATGAAAGTAATTATTAATAGTTGATGGGATATGTAATGGATTAACTTCTAAATTTAATCAACAACAATGGGATAATTTGATATAATTCATTGATTTTAATACGTTCATATGTTTTACCATGTTTTGCCAAGAACAATGGGATGATTAGGTGATAATTCACAGATTAATGGTAAATTCAACCAACAACAATCGGATAACTCGTGGATCTTAAAGGGATAATTCATAGAACATCTGAGGTTTTACATCAGTTGGCTGTGAAATCCCAGAACTAGCCATGGACGTTTATAGCTGTGAAAATCATCGAACTATGGCTGGTGGATTTTCCCATAAAAAAGGGATGGTCGTCTCCTCATTTAGTCCTTTGGAAGCCGCGTCTCATCGGGGTGTGCCATGTTTTGACATGTTTTGACCATGGCACACATCGGCGATTTTTATGCCACGGGAATATGTTTACACATCCGGGCAAAAACATATCACGTTTTTTCAACACTTGCAACGTGGGAACATGATATGAATCTGGTAGGATGGTCGATGGTCCAAAATACGCCAACATACCCCCGGACGGGCCCCGGAACCTCACGAGTTCACCAAGCTGGAGAAAACATTTTGGGTCTGGAGTCCATGGGGATATACTGAGGATCAATGGAATCAGAAATTTATTGGGGATAGAATCTCAAAGGATGTTTTAGCTGGACCTTAAATGACGTGGCCAGATATTTTGACTTCTTCAATGCATGTTTGCACCGGCCTTGGAACAGGTTGAACTGTGGTTGATGCGACTTTTTGTGGTTGAGGCAACTCGTATTAAAATCCTTCTGACCAGAAAATTTTCGATATGATGATTGTATGTTCTTGTTGGTATTGATATTATTTGTGTATATGTTATCGATAATAAACATAGAAACAGATCCCTTTTTGGATTTTTGAGTTGATAGACCTTCGATGTTTGGTCGATGTTCTGTCGAGCTGGTGCCGATGGCTCAGGCATTGCGGCAGTGAGGGTCCTGAGCGATGTTCTCTGAACACAGTGGTATAAGCCAAGTATATATTATATATACATACATACATACATACATACATACATACATATATACATACATACATACATATATATATATACATACATACATACATATATATATATACATACATACATACATACATATATATATACATATATATACATATATACATACATACATATATATATATACATACATACATACATACATATACATACATACATACATATATATATATACATACATACATACATACAAACATACAAACATACAAACATACAAACATACAAACATACACACACCGATATGTATATATATATATAATGGGCCAATAATGGGGTATTACAATAGGGATTTAATAATTAGGCATATGGGGATATAACCAACAATTTGATATGTGGGTTTGTCTGAGAATGCTTAGTATACACAGTATACCTCCCCAGTTATGGTTATTTCACCATGCTCAGGGCCATTTTTTCACCACAGAATTTCAGCGAACAGCACAATCTGTCGGACGTGGATTGAAATCAGCAGCGACCATGAAATCTTGGCTGATGGTTTCCACTGGTATATTGATGTGAATTGTAAGAATATTAGTGATAGTAATATATATATATATGTATATATATATACCCATGACGGATCCATGGCGCTGGTATATTAATACTAACATAAAGGGTTTTTTGTTGATGGGATTCATGGAGCACCATATATAGCAGCACCATGGATCCGTCATGGGATATATTATAGACCTGTTTAAACCCATGAGCTCCCAGTTCATAACGAAGTGCCAGGAAGATCTCTGAGGTCCACGGATCCCTTTGCCGCGTTGTCGTTCTGCGACCTGGGAGACCTGGGAGGCTACTTGTGGCCCGAGGACCCGGTTCGAGAAAAGTCCACGGAAACCAAGGCTTTTGGATGTGGAGAAGCAATGAGAACTGTGAACATTTTTCCAGCATTGGATGAAGGGACATTTCACAGGCTTTCCATGGTAGCCAGAAAATTTGCTGCGCATGTTCCCCATTTACCCAAATTGGCATGGCTGGACAATCTGGTTGCGTCTGAAAATCATTATAAGCCATAGCTGCACCTTGTCGCACCCACTCTGATGCAAGATACCAGACTTTTGGACAGGTTGGCATGTTGAGATATAGTTTATATTATATATATATATGTGTGTGTGTTTGATATGTTTATATGCTGTTTATATGTATGTTTATATGCTGTTTATATATGATTATATGTTTATACGCTGTTTATATCAGGTAAATATAAAGCACTTAATCGCACTTACATATACTTGACATGCCGACTTGCCACCTGCTTACCAGCTGATATTTATATATATAATTATATATATTGAGATGTCCTGAAATGGGGGTACTGTCAAATCATTCATTTGTTGGGGGATGTTCCATTATAAACCATCCGTTTAGGGGTATGCCCATTTTAGGAAACCTCCATATATTGATAATTAATCCACGGTGACAACTAGTCAACTGTGGGATGTTAAGATAGTTTATATCACTTCAACTAATAAAGCAATTTACCAATTTTATATCAGTTTATATAATATTAATATCAGTTCATTATATAATATTAACCAACTTGATATTAACCAATATGTTATATCAGTTTACAGTATATACTACTAGTACCCAATTGATACCCTCTGGTAATTTAACATAGCTATTGAAAATGGCCATAGAAATAGTGGATTTTGGAAGTAAAAATGGTGATTTTCCATAGTTATGTAAACGTTTACCAGAGGGTATAATATGGTACATCTATACCCAATTCGACCAACTGCTTACCAACTCAATGGGACCTGGGTGGACCCGATCACATCGTCCAGGACCTCTCCAGATTTACCACTCCCAGTCGTTCACTCAGTTGACTCCGTCGCCATGGGCGACCATGGCGACCTTAAAACCATCGAATGTTCTATGTTGTTCTATCATTCTCTATGTTTTTTTGTAACTGTCTGTGGTTTTCCAAAAAGATTGTTTCCCTGTTTTTAGCAAACAAAATTCCAGCGGTGCGGAAGGGGTTGGGAATGTGAGTATGGGTCAAAAGCTGGGTGAGCCCTTCCATTTCACACCAAAGTGGCGTGTGTTTGTGGATGTTCAATGTGCAAAAAATGGTCATGTGCTTATTGCCTCATTATCATGTTGTCCATTGTTGTCCCATAACCCAGGGTGAACATTGGAAACAACTATGTACAAGTGGGATTTACTAGAAGTGGAATTTGTCCTCAAGCAGCCTCTTGGTTGCATCACCCCCTTCGGTTGACAGCCTTGAATTCCCAGAATTGGATGTCTCCCTTTAACCCAGCGAAGGCATGTTCACGAGCACGTTCGGAGGTCATTCTGGCTGGGCTGTGCAAACGCCCGCATGTTGAGAGCCCGTTTTGAGCATCAGCCATTTGCTTCTGCGATGCTGGGGGTTGTGAACCCGGCCGTATTTCAGTAAAAAACACGTTACAAGGCGGGGCCCCTCAAAATAACGAAGTTGGTTTATAGCTAGGTTACCTTGGGGCTAATGTAGATGTACTTACAATGGGACTTGAAACAACATTATAACATGTTATCACCAGGGCGCGCACTAGCTGTACTCAGTGCTTGACCCCACTTTCCATAGGTCCATGCTCATTTGCTGTCCTGGTGTCACAGTGGAAGGGAAGAAACTCAGGAGCAATCACATGTATATAATTATAAATATATGAAAAACCAGGAGAAATGGCAGGTGATGTGTACTCGTACTAGTAAACCACCGCCAGAAACAACCCATGTCCCTCCAGTCTCGATCTTTCGAAGTGCAGCAGAAGGTGATAAAGTGATAAACTCAGCGCGACAACATGTGGCTCTTGCAGCCGTACAATGTTGGAAGCCAGGACCAAGATCAGAAGACTGTACCGTAATGTTGCCACATATTTGTCCAACTGTACAATGTGAGGCCCCCCAGTTATAAGTTGGTTTATAAGCCCCAGTAACTATACAGTAGTTATAAGTACCATAAACCATAGTTATTGGAGTTGTTGGCACCAACTTAGCTATCTTGGGGGCCTCACATTGTAGGTAAGTATCTAGCCAACAGATGAGGTCCGGACGGTCCTGACTATTGTTGATTCCATAGCATCCCTCTCGCCATTGTCTCACAATTACAGTCTCCAGTTCCGACGTTGCAGGATGTTTCAAGGGGTTGATGCCCCAAGAATGGAGTTGTGAAAAATGCGTTTTATCTAAACACCCATATATGGGTCTGTTTGAAAATGGAGGATACCGCTTAAAATGGTATACCAATCTTGATGGGGAAATGGTGATTGACCATCAAATTTTTGGGTACCATTCGTGTCGAAATTTGAGGATGGTATTCTTCTCGCTTGAAGGGCCACGGTGATGTCTACATCAATGGGACAGGACCAACCTTGAAGATGATTCTTTGGTTTTGCTCCGCTTATATTATGATACCTAGAAAAACTTTTTGGCTGCAATTTCTGACTTAAGGCAAATATCAGACTGAATGCAATTCGGGCAGAAAATCAGACTGAGGACAAGTTCGGGCAGATTTAACAAACTCAGGCACAAATCTGGTGAACTTAGTCTGATTCTAGGATAAAGGCTGGCTCAAACACAGCTGAAACATGTTATAATTAAATTACCTTGACCAAGACCTTTAGGTTGAGAGTCTACTGGAGTCTAGCGCAACCACTACTGCTTACAATTCGGAGTGAGCAACATTTCATGCAAAGCAACTCTCAAATCTGGGAAAACATGTCAACTGCCCTTTGTGCAGTAGAGGCCTAGGAGTGACGTGCTGTGTTGTCCGCCCGATGTTCTTGTGACGAGCTGACGAGCTATAGCGTTTTATGTGCCAATAAGGACAAGGTGACAAGGCCTGTTTTGTTACTAACTCAGGCCAAAATTTCCAGAAACACATTTTTTATTATGAACACCCCGGGCGAAAAAAGCCGAAATAGGCGAACAAAAACCCGCTAATCGGGCTAAAAAACGCGAAACGTTGTTTATTTGTTTTTCAAAAAAAGCAATCCATCTTGTTCTGGCTGACTGGTGAGAGTTGTTTTCATGGATGAACCAGGCTCTTTGACGATTTGGCTGCAAACCCTGTGAGGGTTGTGTGAGCTTTGTAATGTAAGTAAATGGATGAAGTGTGGTCTTTTGAGACCCTCACAAGAGGCTGTGCCTCTTCAAAGTTATGATGGCCAGAGGCCAGAGGCTTTATGTTTGAAACATCTATCGATAATGGGTGCTTTGTTGATTTGTTTTGCTGGATGAAGCCTCTGCGATTGACAAATATATTGTTGTTTGGTGCTGCAAAGTTGCAGATTTGAGTAAAATCACCTCAGCCTAGGTTTTTTCCTCGGCCAGAATTTCTGAACTCGGGCATAAATTCAGATTGAACTGGGTCCGTCTAAAATTCCAGGCTGAGGAATTCGTAGGTATAAGATGGCATTTGACAGCATTTCACCTAAAAATTAAAATGAGAAGATGTGGGAAGCATGTTCAGCTAAAAATCCGCAATGTTCTCAATGGAGTCTTTAGATTGGTTTCTGCTGTTCGGCGGTGCAAAAAGACACCGGAGCATCTGAAAAGTCGAAAATGTCCACCATTGATTCCTTCCAGGCAGTACCTCTTCTACGTGTATGGGAGTGATGTCATTCTTACGATTTCTTCCTGGTATGGAATGAAAGACATTATAAGACCCTATGTCCCTATGTTTCAAGCTGCAATCAGACAACACCTTCCCTGTGACAAGCAGCCTGCAAATTTGGCGATTCTGTGCCCTAGAAAACATAGATGGTTCTATCCTAAAATGGCACGAAAGACACAATTCAAATTGACCCATCCGCAGATCACAGTGTCATTGGACTTAGCATTTTCACCGCAGTGGGCACTGTATTTTGGCATGCTACACTTTCGCAGCAGCCCTCAGTGGTCGTGTTTTCTCTTGTCGAATTTCACCACTGATCGCTGGCTCGGGCTCAGCCATGCTCAGCCACCGGCCCGTCATTTTTTTTCGGCTGCGGATGGGCGGGAGGACTCAGTTTTGCCGATGGAACGATTCACCAGACCTCACCAAGGGTCATGTGGTCCCCTCGTCCACATGGTGTGTTTGTATACGAAAGATGGAGTTAAGACAGGATACCCTCTGGTAAACATTCACAGTTTGCGAACTTGAAAATGGCCCAGTCGAAATAGTTGATTTACCCAGCTACATAGCATAGTGATTTTCCAGTTCGCTATGTAAACGTTTACCAGGCCGGGCATTTGATATGTGGATTGCCAACTCCACACAAACTATGTGCCATCCAAAGCGTACACTCAGGGGTGCATTTTCACCAATAAGTGGGTTATAGAACCACTGTTGTAGGTAATTTATTATCCGGAGGTGAGGTGAACCAGTAAAACTTCTGTCAAAACGAAAGTGGGGATTCACCAGCCAGAACGTAGTAGTCGACATACCATGACTGCATTTTGCCGCTGACTATGCTATTTCTCGGATATTAGATGGTTACTCATGAATTGAGGATTGCAAGAAATGGTCGATTGAGTTTTTCATGAACCAAACTTGCTACTTCTTTGGGATTTGCACAAGGCCAAATGGGCAAAAAAAAAGGTATCGTCGTGCATCAAACAGCTAAACGGGGTGTTCATATATAGGTTACTTTACTAACTATCAACATGTCAATCCTTTGCAACCGATCTGAATTTTGAAGCCATGGCTTGTCATGCTTGTCGTCATGGATTCCAACGACATCACAGAGCGAACTCTGGATAGAGGATGGTAGGAATATGGTTATACTAACTAATGTATTATCTGAATTATGGTATATGAATGTATGATAATAGTAATCCGTATGCTAACTAATATATGATTCTCCGTATTATGGTTAGTATGATCCCCACTTCAGATCAATGAAGTCCGTGTGCCGCGGTGCCCAGGTGCATCAAGTTGCCAGGCTCCAGGTTCCTCTGCATGGCCCGAAATACCAAACTCATATGTCAGGAAAATACTGTAAGCCCATATTTATGGTTCATGATCACCCCCTATAAATAACCCATGTACAACCATTCATCGCATTTACATATATTACATATATATATATAAATATATATATATGTGTGTGTGTTTGATAACCAGTGGTAAATGGCCTTAACTCTATCCATAGGTATTCCATAGGTCAATTGAGCTCTCCTTCGCCAGGGAGCACCGTGACTGTCGCTCTGACACCGTAGGGAATCCACAGCATGGGTCAGTAAGTATTGCGATCTTAAATATGATACTTAATGGAAGAACATAGAATATCATAGAATATCTAGATCTAGTTTATATGATTTTATATGATCTGATTATGATCTGTTGACATTACTGTTTTCATGGTGAACCGATATAGGAGATCTAAGCCCGGTTGATCAGTTATTTCACGAGGATTTGACTTTAAAATATACGGGATTTGCAGCAAAAATACGGACTTTATTTTTCTGAAATGACCATGAACCCAGTACAACGGGATGAGAGAGGTATTGCAAGGAATGAGACTCAACACATGAGTTTCATCATGAAATCATGTCGCAGTAATTACTAGTGAAAGTTCCGGACATATCCCAGGAATCCCGATTCAATGCATGGTATTGGTGCTTGCGCACTTTTGCCAAAATGCCGGGTATAGAGAGCAAAAACCACCATTCATAGATGCCATGGGAACCCAACTTTTGTTTTCTAAACCACCTGCGGTGAGTAAGATCCCAAGTGTTTCGTACGCTACGATTGCGGCTTGGAAAAGAGAAAAGCTTGAAGAAGGTTGAAGCAGCACATTGCTAGGTCAATCTTAGATGGGTCGTTTAGTCCTTTCGTTTTTTGGTATCAATGGGATTATCTACTAACCAGCTAAGTTTTTTTTTTGCAGGGTATCTAAGACTGGCACTGATTGAGCACACTACTACTTCCAAACCTGCTTTGTGGTGTGAGACTTGCTTTGCTCTCCATCCTTAGTTGCAATGTGTTTGCTCCAGTTTCCAACACCATTTTGGCTATTTTGTGATGAAAAATGGGTGCTTTTATAATCTTTTATACTGAAATGACTTGTTGTTTTGGCCCCCCAAAAAAGGTTTAGACCCATTACCCTTTGGTAAACTAACATTGCTATTGAAAATGGCCATAGAAATAGTGAGTTTTCCCATTAATAGCATGGTGATTTTCCATAGTCATTGAAGTCAGCTTTGCCCTTCGGTGTTGGCTTGCAACAATGCTGCCACCTCAGCAGGGCTTCAGCTGGATCTGAGCATCAGCCGTTTCCATTTCGGGTTGGCAGTGGACAAACCGCACATTGAGTGGTTGTTGATACTGTGGATGGAAGAAATCCTGCACCAGTTGATAGATGGTTTTTTCCATTATCCATAGGGTTTCAATCATCCAAGGTGGTGCAGGATTTCTTGCATCCACAGTATGTTTAGCTGTTGAACCAATCATTTTGTTGATGTAATGTAGATGGATAGTATTGCAGATCCGCGTTCGGGGTATTAAGCTGGTTGGTTGTTTTTTCAGAGGGGTTGAAACCACCAACCAGTTAAGTTTCCCCATATCCATATCTCATTTTGCTAAGTGAAGAAGTTTGACAGCCGCAGGACAAGAGTTCACCAGCAAAAAACCACTCAGACAGGCCCCAAGAAGTTTGACACCCTCTCCTACCACATTGTTTTGGTCATGTACTATGTACTGGAACCCAACTGACTCTTACTTTTTTTTGGCTTCTCACGCTCAAGATTGTGGGGTGCGGATATAGATTCAACGCACTTCCAAATTGACATTAGACATGGAAAACAAACATGGATTCCCAAGGAAATTGGGCTGGTTTTATGGTGGTATTGGGGTTTTTGCCGTTTTCTATGTTAGTTTGGTGGAGAGTATGAGAAACCGCCCGTCATTTTGGCTAATTGCAACAGTTAAGGATTGGGGACTCGCAAGACAATCATAGATTGCTAGTTGAATTGGTACCCACCTTTTAATAAACTGTGGGGACTACTAGTTGCCCGAGTTATATATAAGGATTAATCATCAATATTTAATGCTCAGCCACAGTTGGCTAATTAATATTTGATTAGCTATCAATATACACTGTTCAGCCACAGTTGAGTAATCAATATTGGATTAGCTATCAATATACACTGTTCAGCCACAGTTGAGTAATTAACCCTGGATTCTTTATCAATATCCAGTGTTCAAACACAGTTGACTAATTAACATTGGATTCATTGTCAATATACAATGTTCTGCCACAGTTGACTAATTAACCCTGGATTCATTATCAATATACAATGTTAACCTACAGTTGACTAATTAACCTTGGATTCATTGTCAATATACAATGTTCAGCCACAGTTGACCAATTAACCCTTGATTCATTATCAATATACAATGTTCAGCCATAGTCCATAGTTGACTAATTAAGCTTGGACTAATTATCAGTATATAATGGTCACTTAGCGTTGACTAATTAACCTTGGATAAATTTTGGTATGTTAATTACACCCTCTATAATGATCACGGATCAATATTACAACGACGTGAGGTTCCAAAGATAGCACCCGCAACGTCAAGGGCTTTCATGAGACGCCCTGGCATGGCTTTGGATGCTGGTTGGTACACGTCAAAACAGTCAAAGTATGGGAGGAGTCAACCAGAACTGGTGATGTAGACTTGTTAGAACTTAAATTGTATAAGTTTGGTGCATGACTTTCTTGTTTTGAGAACCATTCATCGTTTTTTGACGATTCATGTAGATTCTTGTATGTTTGTTTTTTTGAAGTTTTTTTCTTTGAATCATGTATATATATATATGCATGTGTGTGTGCTTTACATACAAGAAATGATGTGTTTTATCGACTTGATTTATTCTACATCCAGGAAATGATGCCGAGGGCTATGCAAAATACTCATAATGAGGCAACCTGCTTGCCTCGAGTTTCCCGAGGATTCCCAAGTGGTTCCTGAGCGCTAATTGCTGGGCATTGCTTTGTTTGTATGATAGAGATGTGATATTCATGGATGATATCTTATGTGACGAAAGTTGACATAGATACTGTAGACTAGGTGTATGCATAAGTATGTTTACACATCTAATACAACTTATATAAATAATATTATATACACTCCTATAGTAAATATGCACATTGCTATTGGTGCAGACACATCCAAGTACATCCTCAGAAGCTGCGCTCTTCACGATGATATCCCCACCTGCCTTGTGACCAAAAATGGCGCCACATGTCAGGGGAACGTGGGAATGTCGTGCGGACCTCAGATGATCGCTGTAGGATGATTATATAATGATCATTATATTGATTATAGGTTGGAATTAATGAGTGTTACTGATGATTATGTATATCTATATATATATATCATTATTATTATTGAGATGTTTATGATATTGTGTTATATTATGTTCATTGGCGTTTGTTAAATTGACATCATTAATACGGGTTGATGATGCTTGCAAGATCACCACCACGGGATGATCCTCCGAGTGATGAAGTGATGTTGGTGGTCAGTACACAGGCAGCCTATGGATGCACCGCAGGTTATTTCAGACAACGAAAACGTGACAGCAACACTTGGAGGGGTTTCAAGATGTTTCAAGTTTGGTTTGCTTATTGCTGCTTAAATGGTGTTACCCGTTTTCATAGGCTATATACTACATATACATGTGCCATCAAATGCTGGACATTTAGGGTATTATATATACCGTATGTGTATATATATATACACAGTATATACGTATATTTATGGTATGTAAGTTGCTCAACAATTGATATTAATCATATCTTTCATGTTTTTTTCTGCTCATACCCGAATTTCAGACATGTTACTGATATATATATATATATATTTACATTGAGAAAGAGGCTCCCCAAGATCTCATGAACACAGCGCCAGATGAACCGGCTGCGGCTGCGCCATGCTTCGCATTAGCTCGGCGGTGTCGGGTGAAGAACTGATAGTGCTGGATGCGGCGGAGGTAGAGGGGAAGTCGGGCAAAGAACTGAAGAGCCTGGGATCGCCACAGGTGACGCAGGTCGGAAGCGCGAAGTTAGCTTAGATGCTTATGGCCTAGGATTTATAGTGATTACTTAGATGGTGAATATTTAACCGTAAATTTAACCCAGAGATTTTGTTACGTTTACTTATGTATCGATACTTTGACAGTGAAAATCCAATAATGATCCATACATATCCATACTGTACATACTGTTGACATTTCGAAGGTTGTACACCTTTAAACGGTCGTATTCTTACGCATGAACCAAGCATGCCATTGGTTTGTTGAGATTTGTGCCCATACAATTTCCACTTCATCACTTTGTGGGCTTTCTCGCCCCATGAATCAACTAGGCTTGACATTCTTCCGTTGTTATTGCAGGGATTTCTTCAACGTTTTAGATCGGGAAGTTGCGGCCATAGATGGAACTCCTATTCACCTAGTTGATCTGATGCCAAAAAAAATCCGTTAATTATCCCATTGTTGGTAAAATTCCCTGTGAACCACCATTGCCGCATGATAGCATTTCAAAAAAGAACATTCCCCATGATTTTCTGTCCATTTCCTTCAGGGATGGTCCTTTCACCTAGGAGGTTGCTGGCGCCCAGACTTGGATATGTCCGATTTCGCCAAAGCCGCTTGGTGCGGCCAGTCATCATTGGAACATATTGGAACTAAAGTGACAAAGGCCAAACAAGAAAAAAAAATCTTGGCATCCCCGGCTTTGGTTTTTAGATGTTTCTCCACTGATGCAATTGTGTCGTTTGCGTATGTCACGGATTATGATTGTTGCTTTGCCGCGCTACTTACACATGTTTGCACAATGAAAACATCATCACATGAAACATATGACACTCGTATGTTTAAGCCAGTCGGTCAAAACTGGGCATAGCTCTTGCAGCTCCAACTTGAGTGGTTAAACCGCCTCGAGCCCCGTGGTCCTTGGAGTTTCCATCATGTACTGAGGATTGCTCTTTGAAGACGGTAGGGAAGTGCAGGACGATAGCATTTTGACGTTGGACGGAACTTTGAACCTGCAGATGGTCATTTGGCTCGGTTGCAAGAAGGAACTGTGGGTTTACTGCTTCTTGATTGAAGCTTCAGAACTTCTTAGCTAAGAAAAATACTGACATCTAGTAAAGCAATGCCAATGTTAAATGATACAACTAATTAGTTCTTGTTGGAAGAGTGGAAGAGTGCTCTGTTGGGATTATGCTTCACATGTTCGAAGGAGGTTTCTTGGATATTCATCTTCCAGACTTGGATAAAGGATATATATATATACACATAATCATATAATCATATATATATGTATATATATAAATCTGAAAGCAATTAGCTCTATTTCATGGTCGGATCTTCGTTTTTTTCGTCCAGTTATATAAATCCAGGTGTTGCTGAAATTCATCCTCCGAAACTTGCGTCGATCTCCCAGGAGCGGCGAAACAACCACATGAATAATGGTTCACCCCTCTGGTAAACCAACATTTTAATGGGATCTAATGGGAATTTATGGGAATTTATGGGAATTTATGGTGGTTTAATGGGATCTAATGGGTTTTATCCTCTGGTAAACTAACATAACTATGGAAAATCACATTTTTTAATGGGAAAACTCACTATAAATTGCAATTTTCAATAGCTATGTTAAATTACCAGAGGGTAAATATGCCTTGCAATGAATCAACTTTCCCAAATATGAGATACTCCGTAGAAACTCTGGTGTTGCTCATTAAATTCTTCTGGGTTTGTTCATTTTGACCTGTATGGGATGTGACCTGGGTTCCCACAGGCTGAGTTGATTTACAACTAGGTGGGCAAGAAGCTAAGAAACACAACTGGGGTCAGCATTTTGAAGAGTACATCATACATCACCAACTTCAACTGTTAACATCACCTATGCCGAAAAAACATCATTTGTTTACTACAACTTTACAACTGTTCATACGTTCACATCACAACTTGGGCCATATCTATCAACAACAACTGCTGGTTGGTGGTTTGGAACATGTTTTTTTCCATTCAGTTGGAAATGTCATCATCCCAACTGACGAGCATATTTTTCAGAGGGGTAGGCTCAACCACCAACCAGTTCATTTGATTCCCATAAAAATCACCATTTACAGATGAATTTCCCATTTCCCCAGTGAATATACCTATGATCCCACTAGTATTCCATTAATATCCTAGTATTATTCCCTATTAAACCATGATTTTCAGGAGAAAATCCCTTGAAACCACCAACCAGACTGTCATCGTTCCATATCGTTCCGGGAGTCGTTGAGGTCTTCCTGTCGTACTGCCCCAGCGACGACCCATTGGACCTGCAGCTGGTCTTCGCCTGCCACAAGGGCGAGCTGTCGACGCTGGAGCGGCTGCTGAAGGCGCCCAGGGATCCCATTGTGACCTTCGACACGCTGGGGAAGCTCGGTGGTATGATTTTAAAGGGAGCAAAAAGGGGGGAATCTGGGGATATCATGGTATCCATGTATATATACATATATGCATTTAATTATATGTTTTATGGATATACGCATATGTATATATATATATGTACATATGGATCATATCCTGGTAGGTCTGGTCATATCAACCCAATAATCAACGTTTTTTCTTAAACAAAAATGGATATATCGAGTGGAGAGAATCTTGGTTTTATAATAAATATGGAATGATTAGGGATAGAATTGGGAGGATATTGGTTAATAAATTATATATATATATATATATGCATTTAGTTATATGTTTTATGGATATATATACATATGTATATATATATATACATATATATATATATATATACATATGTACATATGGATCATATCCTGGTAGGTCTGGTCATATCAACCCAATAATCAATGGTTTTTCTTCAACAAAAATTGATTTACCGAGGGGAGAGAATCTTGGTTTTATATGGAATGATTAGGGATAGAATTGGGATGATATTGGATAATATTATATATATATATATATATTTACATGCTAGAGTCAAAACATGGTCAAGTCGGCCCGTAGGAGCGCTGAACTGTTGTCACATTTGGAGTCACTTGTTTTTGACTTCTTATTTCAATTGTGCAACCCTCGAATGTATTTGAAGACTTCAAATAAACAAATCTGTGATCCATGGCACCATGCTATGCAAAATTCACTGTAGGGCGGTGGAAAAAATGGGCTGTCTTGGGGTCAGCGATTTTGTCCCTGTGTCCGCCCTTTTTTTTGGAACAGTTTCTTCGAAACTGTCTTCAGTACGCAATAAGTATGGCTACAGCTCCTTTTCCTTGGTCTTTGCTTGTGAGTTTGTAGTCCATGAATTCAATCAAGACAAGATGTTTGAAGTGGTGATTTCAAAAGGTTTCTGAGGAGGTTTGCCGGATGGGAAGTAGAAGAAAAAAGGTTAGAGCGTAGCATCAAATATTTCAAAAAGTAGAAGAGAGGATGTTTCAGTGTAGCATCGTGAGCCCAATTGTTCCCATCACTAAGTTCACAATAAATGGGTGGCGTAACCCCCCCAAACTTGGAGTTTTTTTTGTAGGGTTTTACCACGTTGCTGAGGATGCATGGAATATTGGATAATTCGGTGAGAATGGGGAGAACATCTGGATAAAGTATACGAACCTGACAGCCACGTCACTGCAAACGATGCTTTGGATTTCAGGAACCATCGCCAAAATGCTCGACCTTTTTAGGGTGGTGAAGTATTATATAATGCCTTGTATTTGTTGTCTTTAGAATTATCATATTCATTCATATGCTAGTTGATCTTCGGAAACAATGATATATTGTAGTGGTTCTAGTTGATCTTGGTATTTTTTGGAGGATTTCCCATTGCCACGTTTGATTACCGGAGGGTATAGAAGTTAGGCCGATGTTTTCGGCCGGTTGGACACAGGCCACAATGGATTTTGGTCGGTTGAAGTATGAATCTACTACAGTTATGGCCCGAAATACCAATCATAAGTCAGTAAGTCACCCCATGTATGGAATGATAACCCCCCATGTATAACAATTTATTATAATTTGAAACAATTTATAATGTAGGCTGCCTAATAGTAAATCCCCCCCCTAAATAAAATATTCTTATACAAAATTAGGGGGGGTCAACATTCCAACAGTATTTTTTTGGAACCTTATAGCTGGGATCATGATATGTATCTGATAGATTCTCCATGGTTTTGTTGGGTTTCTGATAGATTCTGAGTCGATTTGGTTGGGTTTCTGAGAGATTGGCGAAGAGTTGGGAAAGGAGAAGGAGGAGAAGGAGAAGGAGAAGGAGGACAACAAAATTGGAGTTGCGGAAAAAAGTTTCCACTATTGCCAGAACTGGTGCAGGTTTGTTATTGCTATTCTGGGGCTTGCAAAGGGGGTACCCTGTGTGGACCTGTTTTCTTGCTTTTTTTAATAAGGGTTTTATAAGGAAATCAGCTGTTTGGTAATTGGATCAGATTTCTGGAATCTAAGCTTTTGCTAATCAAAAGTGAAGGCTGCTTTGAAAAGGATTTGCTTTACTTGACTCTTTTGGCAATACTAAAAGTAAATGGAGCTAATTGACCTTTAGTATTGGAGAAAAAATTGGAGTTGCGGAAAAATGTTTCTACTATTGACAAGATATCGCTATTGGCTAGACAACATTAACCATTAACTATTAACCATTTATAACTCCATTTATAACAATTTACAACCTTTTTTAAAACCATTTACAACAATTCATAACCATTTAAAACAAATTATAACAATTTATAAGCATGTATAACCATTTATAACCATTTGTATAACCATTTATAACCATTTATAACAATGTATAATCATGTATAACAATTGAAAACCATTTATAACCCTTTATAACAATTTATAGTCATTTATAACAAATTGTGACCATTCATAATAATTTATAACAAATTATAACCATGTTTAACCATGTATAACCATTTACAAACATGTATAACATTTGTGTGACCATTTATGACCATTTACAAGTTTCATCCCTGGCTTTAACTGTACCTTACCATGACCATCGCACACAAACCCAGGACGCCACTTCATATGGCATCCTGGATGGGCCACGTGGGCTGCGTGCGTTTGCTACTGGAAGCAGGTGGGGGGGAAGATTTTTTCAACCGGTAGATGGGCAAAATCCCATTGTAGTCCCATTATTTACCCAGAAGGTACATATGTAATCCCATTGTAATCCCATTGTTTCATAGTTACCTAATGGTTACCATCTGCGGCACCATAGTAATTCCACATTGACCGGATCCTAAGTCATTTCACGGAGATGATGAAAGCTTCAGAATGCTTTTTGCAGTATTAAGACTGGTTTGTGGTTTGGAACTTTTTGTTATTTTTCCATATATTGGAAATAATCATCCCAACTGACTAATACTTTTCAGAGGGGTTGAAACCACCAACCAGATTAAGTGTGTCCAAATGTAGGCTCTCATAGTCATACCAGATTGCCATTTGTCTCTCCACACAATGATTTACCCGTCGACGCGAGACCAGAAGTACGAAGCCACCAGAAGCACATGACAATACAATATGTCGCCCATGCAAGCAATGTAGATGCCATGACAGATCAAGGCAGTACAATAGGGGGTATAGTTCACCAGGCTAGACGGCTAGTTTTTGTAAAGCTTGCAGAAGCTCCAGTGTAACCATCTTCAACACAATTCATCCACAGGGACAGGGATATTGATCACAGATCTGATCCAATGGTTGATCCACTAGATGACTGCTGAGCCATGTCCATGTGCCAATTTGTTGGTTGTATTTATTGTCTCTGATGTTGGTTGGCTGAATTTTCTATGATTAGTCTGAAAAATAGCAGGAAAACACGTAATCAACCAGATTTATGATATCTAGGTGTACGGTTACCCTAGTTTTAGACGGACCAGTCAAATGATATATCCACCGATACAACCGTGATGGCCCCGTTGTGTGGCTCATATCTCCTTTACGGTGGCTGACAGATCATGGCAAAAGTTATAGCTGCTGCTTATAGTTGGCTCATTAAAATTGTAGTCTGCATACTGGGAATCATTCCAAAAATGACATTAACTTCAGGTCCACAAATGAATTATGTACATTTTCCCAGATCTTACCCAAGATCACCCATTTCTGATCATATTGATATATGGTAATAGTATGGATGGTTGCGAAATTCTGCACCAGCTGGATAACTATTGGTAACTAAGTAACTATATATTAATAAGAAACATTAAGTAAATCATGGGCTTGTTATTTGGAGATTTGCCCATCAACCATCAACCTTACCCTTTGGTAAACGTTTACATAACTATTGAAAATCACAATTTTCAATGGGTAAATCCACTAGTTCTATGGTCATTTTCAATAGCTATTTTGAAATAACCAGAGGGTAACAGGTGGATGTTTGCCTACCAGGTGTGGACCCGGACTTGGCCACCAGTTCCTTCATGGACGGAGACATCAACACCCCAGTGCAAGCTGCGGCCGATTTGGGGCATACGGAGGTGATACGGCTGCTGGTCACGGCGGGGGCAAAGAAGCTTGGCGTGAGGTTTTTCAGAGGGGTGCTGAAAGGATCATTTGGATCTTACCCTCCGTCAATTTGTTGCAGTTTGCTCTTGAACATTCCCATTTAGTTCGTTGATTTAGCTATGAAAAATGATGGTGTTCCAGTTTGCGAACTGTTGAATTACCGGTGAATCGCCGGTGAAGTGGTTTATAACCATAGTATACCATAGTTACAATCTTTTTATAGATGGGACAAGCTAAATGTTAGAGACTTCGCCACCAAAGTTGTTAACCAAATACCCTCCAGTGGGATGATCCTCCTAAACTAGTTCGCGAAGTGGAAAATCATTATGTTTCATAGGTAAATCAACGAACTAAATGCTATAAATGGGCCATTTTCCATAGTTATGTTAGTTTACAGGGTATAACATAATATTACCCAGCAAGAAATTGTACTTGGATGGAATGAACCACCGAAAATAGGATACCTATGCATACTTACCCAAGTTAAAGTCAGTTGTATATTCACCGCTAGATTTAAAAGCCAGGCCTGGCCCTTTCCTTGGAGATGCCGTGGTATTAAGCCGATGAAAGACGGGTACGCAACCCTAAATAAACATGAAAGTAATCTACTGTGTGGGAATGTACCCTTTGGTAATTTAACAGTTTGCCAATGGAAAATGGCCATAGAAATAATGAGTTTTCACCTTAAAAATGTTGATTTTCCATAGTTATGTAAACGTTTACCAGAGGATAAAACCCATTAGATCCCATTAAACCACCATAAATTCCCATAAATTCCCATTAGATCCCCTTAAAATGTTAGTTTACCAGGGGGTAACCATGCTATACCACGGGGCCCCGTGTCACCGTATCCGTTTGGTCGGTTCATGGTCAACTTCAGGAGGGTGTCGTCTCCAAGCCATGGTCATGGCTAGTGTGTGTGTGTGTTACACATATACAAGGACGAATCAAGGAATACGTCGATAAGTTCAAAATTGATTATATCTATTATATATATATTCTATATATATTGTATTTATTATTATATATATAATATTATATATATAAATATATATAATATATGATATTATATATATTATATATATATTATTTATATTATGTCTATTATATGCTTTTTGATTTATTAAGTTGAATCCTTGACAAGATGAATGGATGAATCAAGAAATCGGGCCGAATCTACAATTACTGACGATGTCGCTGATCCTATGACAAGAATGATTGTAGATTAACCATTTGCCGCCCGTGAAAATCTCAAGGCTCATCATGTCAGACATTCCCTATGGAATCGTCTCAGTGAGGCTCAAATGTTTAGCCAAAACTCCCAGAACCGTGTTCAATTAGCCTCCCAAAACCCATCATTTATAAGTTGGTTAACAAAAGCCCCAGTAACTACAGTTATAAATACTAAATACCATAAACCATAGTTATTGGACATATAAATCAACTTAGCTATCTTGGGGACCTCACATTGTAGTCTTAGAGATGCATTTTTTCCAGCTCGAAACCTCCATGGCTAGTTCCGGGATTTCCTCTGATTTTCCCATGTCTTGTGAGAAATTGCACCATTTATAGATGATTTTCCTCGCTATAAACCTCAGCTATGTTTGATTGCCAAAGGCTAAATCAGCAGATATTTACGTAATTATCGGCTAATTATACCATTGTGAGTTTGACCTGTCTAATGTATATTTTGTATAGCCAAGTGATCACATGCCCCGTTGACATTTGGCTTTAGGGCCCTTGAGTCATACCGCGCTGCCGTGGTAAAAGTTGGGCATTTGACGATCCCGTTTCCAATTCATATTGGTAGCGGAGCGGGTGACGACCCGCATCCGGTGGTATGTCAGTGACCCAGGGAACCCTTTGTGAATTTGAGTCTGGTAACTTTGGGAATCAACTGAACTTCGAGTGTGTCGTGGTTCGGGAATCTGTCTGACCCTGACCTGGGCAGGCACTTGTTAACGTTTTTCCTTGTTCGACTCCGAACGGAGCGAGCATCATGTCGATCAATGGCCTTCGTTTCAATCAGGAACGCCATTCGTCGGCACCACTTGAGACGAAGAGTGGATCATACATCTATGCAGGTGATGCGGCGAACTTTCATGATTGGCAGTTCAGGACTCTCCTTCGGATTCGTCTTTATGAGCAACAATTGGAGGAGGAGACAAGTAAGCCTGCGGATCCCGTTGGGACCACAGCAACAGAGCCTGCCGCAGAAGACGCAGATGAGTATGCTACTTTTCCAGATTTGTCGGGTGCAACTCAAGCAACCCAGCCTACATCAGCGGTCTCGACTCCGAAGTCTGGAGCGAGCCGAAAATCCTCGAAGTCCGGCAAGCAGAAGACAGATGTTGATCGTGGACCATTAGTCAACAAGGTGATTGAAGGACTGAGAGGAGATGCTTTCTCAATAGCTAGGGATCTTGGACTTGAAGTATTGTCTGAACCTGGAGGGCTAGTGAAACTTGTGGGTGAGATCAAATCCCACGTGTTTCCAAGAGCTCGTGAGGAAGCAAAGGAACTTTTCCGTGCAGGACAGAAGCAAGGTGGTCCTTTGTCTCGCCAACCAGGCGAACCCATGCTTTCCTATGTTCAGAGAAGACGACGTTGGTGGCATATGCTATGCGAGTTGGATGACACAATGGTGTTTTCAGACAGCTTGAGGACAGAGTTGTTGTTGGAGTTGAGTGGACTCAATCGACAAGAGATCCTCGTTGTGAAGGCTTGTGCAGACACTCAGGATTTTGAAGGTGTTGGCAAGGTGCTGATCGAGAACTACAGTGGCACTCACTTGCGAGAAGGGTCACGATCCTGGACAGGACGTGGCAATCCTCAACAGCATGGCAAGTCGTCAGGCAAGGGTTATGGCAAGGGCAAACCTTCTTCGAAGGGATCGTATTCCCAAGCAGCCTATGCAGCCTACCCCGATGATGGGGAGGAACATGCAGAACCTTGGGATGAAGCTGTGGATCAATCCTGGGAGGATGATTCATATGTTGGCATGCTTGGTAACATTGCAGAAGAGGAGCCCGGAAACCTAGAAGGTGACAACGAATTTGATTACTTTGACGACGTCGATGAGTACGAAGCAGTTGCATTGAACAGCTTGCTTGAAGTTGAAGGTGCAGAAGACGACCGACAAGCAGGAGACGCCATCCAGCTACAACTTGCTGCTTTCACCGCAATGGGGAAAGCAGGTGGCAAGGGCAAATCCTTCGGGAAGCCCAAAGGAAAGGGGAAAGGAAAGATCGTGAAGTCCAACCTCACGATCGATCAGAGAAGACGGAAGCTCACAGAGCTGAAGTCGAAGAGCAAATGTTTGAGATGCGGAGTCATAGGGCACTGGGCCGGTGACCCGGAATGTAAATTCCCGGGGTCGAAAGCCGGAGCCCCTGGAAAGTCAGCCCCAAAGCCCGCAGCTCACTTTGCCGACATGAGCGATTCTTCAGATGATGATGGTGTGACTTTGACGGCTTCACCTGACCGTGACAGAGATGCAGTTGCTATGATGGCAGTTCGACAAGCGAAGCCTAGCAGCAGACCTTCACGTGCAGCAGCATCCAGCAGCAACGTTGGCTTGATTTCCCGGGATCTCGATGTTACAATGAGACCCGAGGACCATGGGTGCATCTTTCCTGTTGGACAGTTCAAGGGTTTGTCTTTTTGGAATGTGTTGTTTGAACAGACAGGGTACTATCATCATGCCAAGAAACATACCCCCAAGATTCCATACTATGTCACATGGTTGAATTGGGTTGACAAGTACTTTGTGGTTGGTGCTGATGGGATTCATTTGCGCGAAGTCCCTGTTGAGCATGTCGAGCACCGAGATTTGTTGGTGACTCGGGAGACTGGCAGGAGAAAACCCCCAAATCCACCCTTGCCGAACAAGTGTCAGGAATGTCGTGAGTTTACAAAACAAGGTTCTACGGGGTACACCATCAGGAAGACTTGTCTTGTATGTGGTCATTCCGAAACAACAAGACGTGACATGGTACCGTTGATGACCCCTGAAAATTGCCCTCATGACGACACAGATTTTCGGGGATCCAGCAAATCAACGCACCGTACTTTCTGCAAGAAGTGTTGCACTTTCATTGATGAAGCTCCTATGCAGATTCGTAAGGAGCGAGTTGCCATTGCAAAGAAGGTTGAAACAGCATCAGTTCGAGCAGTCCCCATTGTTGAATCATTGGTTGAAGAATCGGATGGATTGAATCCAGTCCAGTTGGAAGAGTTGCTGCCCCTGTTTGCCACTCTTGTTACCGAAACCTGCCAATCTGAGGTGATGACCCGTGCACGTCTACATGAACTACTCCATCAAGCCATCAATGACGTGACAGAGGAAGAGGACAGTTTTTCTCTTGTCAATGAAGATGGGCACGGCGACCCCTCGGGCAGGGAGTTAGCTGGGTACGTTGGCATTTGTTTGCATGGAAGTGACATTCAATACCCTCAAGACTTGGTTTACATGAACTTTGAAACTGTTGACATTGCCAGGTCATCCCATGTCTTTGCAGTGTTGGATGAAGGTTGCAACAGCACTTGTCATAGCAAAGCCTGGGCAGTCGATGCAGAAGCACGACTGGCCCGTTTGGGTTACAGCATGCCATTGAAGGATGACGGTTGTAAGAGTTTTGCTGGTCTGGGAAGTGGTAGTACCAAGACCGAAGGTGTGAGATCTATTCCTTTTTCGCTGCTGCTTCCAGACGGGAACATGAATGGGGAGTTGGATTCATATCAATTGTCAACAGGCAACAGCCCATTGCTTCTTTCATTGCATGCGCAAACCAAGTTAGGCCTAGTGAAGGACCTAGCAAAAGGGGTGATTTCCATCAAAGATCAACCATTGAATATCAAGAGATGTTCCAAATCAGGTTTACTTGTGATGAACTTGACTGAAGGATTGACCAACATCAACAACACACCGTCGGATGAACTTCCCCAAATCCCGAAGTGTCACAGAAAGTACAACATCGCATACACAGCATCCACATCGGAAGT